AGGCGATCTACGAGATCCTGTCAGTGGTGAACTTTGTGGAGATTAAGAGGCTAAAGAGAAAATAGTACAACAATTCTATTCTAACTTATATACTCCGGACCTTCCCAATTACCATGCTATGAACAGATTGATTGCTAAAATTCCTGACAATGTGAAATTGAATGATAGTCAAAGAGACACCATGATGCTGAGTATTTCTATGAATGAAATATTTGAAGAATCCAAGCGAACTCCAAGACAAAGTAGCCCTGGCACCGATGGTCTTCCATATGAAATTTTGAATCTTATCATGAAACATCCTAGTCTTCACACATTGATTACGGATGTATATAATGATAGTTTAGCTGGTAGTCTTCCAATGTCATGGAATGAATCATTGATAGTGTTACTACCTAAGAAAGGCAATCTATCCGACATGAAGAACTATAGACCAATCACACTGGCTAACACGGACTATAAAATCTTTACAAGGATACTAAACCGCCGTATAATGATGATTGCTCCACAATTGATTACTCAATTTCAATTGGGTTCATACCAGGGCAATTTATCGCAGAAAATGGATTGATAGTCCGAACCATTATGGAAGACGCACAAGCCAGAGTACAGCAAGATACGACTAACGGCAGAAGTAGTGACCATGATTTAGCGCTTTTACTTGATCAAGAGAAAGCATACGATCGGGTACACCTCACATATCTTAAGAGAGTGCTGCTAGGCTACGGGTTCCGGAATTGATTGCCGATACAATACACAAATTGCTCTCAAAAAACAAGATCAAAATCAATATTAATGAGTTCTTTACCAAAGAAATCAAGAAACGAAGAGGATTAAAACAAGGCGATCCACTATCACCAGTTTTGTATAACTTGACATTTGATCTATTTCTACGCTTGATTATACAAGATGGGGGGTTCAAAGGATATCAGTTTCGACAACAAACACCAAGGCCTGACTCTTCCTCCTCTGCTCCTATAGAAACTAAAATTCTTTGCTACGCAGATGATGCTTTAGTATTTATACATGATCCGAATAATCTTGCAATACTGCAAAGACATATATCAACCTATTGTAGCGCATCAAATGCAAAAATCAACTTTAACAAGATTGAAGCTCTATCTTTATCTGATACAAACCCCTGGCTATTTTGGCATAGGTATCTGCTACCACTACAGATACAGCGCATTCAGCCTTCCATGGATGCACAACCTATTGTGTACTTAGGTTTTCCATTAAACCAGTCAGTTGCACAAAGACAAAATTATTTTGAGACCTTTTTGGCAAAGATGAAATCTGCCTGCTTGATACATTCTGCCCGTTCCTTGTCAGTACTAGGCCGGGCCACGGTAGTTAGCACCTTAATATTATCTAAATGTTGGTATCTTCTTCGGGTAACGCCGTTCACGAAGACTGACATTTCTCGAATCCGGTCTTTAGCACAGCAGTTCCTAAACTCCAAAATCTTTCCGAAAATTGCTTGGCCAACTTGGACTTTACCGAAAGAAGATGGTGGTGTAGGGGTCCTTGACCCGTTATTGCAAAGAGACGCGCTTTATAGTCGCTGGGTCTTTCCTCTGTTGAATCGCTCTATCAAAGTACACTGGCATCGTATACTCACAAGACACATCCAAAATATCTCCGGATATTATGAGGTAGCTATTCCTTTGCTCTTTCCTTTGGCTAGACACAATAGAACCTCTCACTTTGGGTGCGGTAAACGTATTTCAACAATTGATCTATTTTATGCCTCAATAGATTGCTTGCCTCGAGATTTTGACCAGATGACACTAGCTCACCAAGCATGTCTTAGTTTGCCGATGAAGGTCGTCTTACAATCTTTAAGACCACGACTTCCGTCATTGCCGAAAAGGATTCAATTTATCCCAGTTCAAGCATTTATGCTTTTCAACCACGATCTTAAGCTAATCCATTGGAAGCATCCGGATCATATTCCGCAAGAGCTTCAAAAATTCTACTTTCAGATCACCCGAGGGCTAGAAAGTAACAAGTACCAATTCTTTCCTTTCTTTGTCAAACACTGCCAGCCTCCTACTGTAGAGGTATTGCCTACTTTACCGTGCTCACCACCTTTATCTTTTGTTCCATTTGTCAACTCTTTCCAATTTGTGACCCTGACTGGATCAATCACCCGGGTATCGACAAAGGAGTTTCGGTTAACTTGCCAGAGTGCTACATCTGCTCCAGAGCGCCTACGAGCTATCTCTAGTAACTTTTGGACTGATTTCTGGAGCTGGTCTCTGCTGCCAGTTGCTCGTAATATGATATACCGATTCCTGGTTTCCAAACTACCCACAAGACAACTTCTTCACTATATACTTCCTGAGAAGTTCCCCCACCTCTTTGTACCATTTGCTCAATTCATCTGGAAAGTGAACAACACCTCCTGTTCTATTGCCCACCAAAGAGGTTTTTTTTGGAGCAATCTCATCTTCGAATTTCTTTGGCCTACAACCACTGTCGAAGATTTTATTCAAGCACTGGTTACACTAAACTTCACTAGAATAGATTACTCACAAAAAAAAATTTAACCGTTGTTGACATTATCATTACAGCCGTATCACAAGTTTGGAAAGCACACTGGAGATTTGTCATGAACAACGTAGCTTTTGATGCCTAATCCACTCTACAACAAACACGTACTGCTTTACAATTGCTTGCAGATGAAAAGCAAGTACACACAAGACTGTAATTATTCTCGTAGTTTTTTTTCCACTAATAACAGTGGCATATCTTTTACTTTATTCTGCTTAGTTTGCTTTCAGCATAATTGTATAATATAATTCAGTATGAATTGCGCCCGCCTCTTGAGTGCCATTAGGGTAACTTTACGCGGAGCAATAAAAAAAAAAAAAAAAAAGAAAAAAAAAAGAAAGAGTTCATTACACTCATCGAGAAATTCTAATGTTTACAAGTTCTGGAGTAATTTTTTTTGTCACTCAAGCTATTATGATTTTTAGAGAATCCATACTAATAAAAAAAATTTGGTTTGTAATGGCGTTAGCCATATATATTCCACTGCTAGCGAATCACATAAATGTTCTCAATTCATAAGAAAGGTAATCAGCTGATCTGGCCAATTACCGCTCAATTCCTCTGACATTTATTTTAAGAAAACACTCAAAAAAATGCATCGTTGGATTCCTCCAAAACCAAGAATTGCCTTTAGGCACTACTCAAGATGGCTTTAGAGAATGCGTAAAGTTGCTCTTTTAGGCTCAGAGGTGCCATGCACTAAAGCAAGTCTTACTCGTCTATAACTTACGTGTCGATTGATGCATAAAAAATTACCTATATGTTTGTCAAAATCTATTAAAAAATGCTTTTTTGTATTATTCACAGTCTATAGCAACCTTGGATTGCAAATTTAAAGGCAATGCTCAATTGACTCAATGATTTCGTTTTAGTAGACTCGCTTTCTTTTTGTTGGAAGTACCTAAACATGGATCCACTTCATTTCGTTTGAATCCGGTCTACATTGGTCATTCTAAAAATTCTCGATGAACTTTTCTTTCATTTTCACAAACCTCTCGCGATCCCCCCCGCCCCTCATGGGTCAAAAAATAAATTTTATGCAGCAGCCAAACCAATAATACCGTTCGATTTCTGAATTTAAAAGAACATGTTTTAAACAAAAAATGTACTGCCTTGATGGTCTAGTTGTCGAGCAATGTTCTATCAAAGAATGACATATTTAAGCTGCGTTTTGAGCATTTTTGCTTTATATGTATATAAAACCTGTAAGCAATAAACTTATAAAAAGTATATTATGCTATTTTGAGTACCAAAAAAACATAGGAAAACAGAAATAAAGACACTTTATGATGTAAATGTGGGAGTGAATGGACATAGGACATACAGGATGGCTGGGTGTGGAGATTGAAATAGAGCAATTTCAATTCATCTAGCCACATGAAAAATCGAGCTTTTGCTGAAAACTACATAAAGACGCGGTTGTCTGGCTTTAGTGTAGTGACAAAAAGCGGTAGATAGTTGCTTTCTAAACCTGTTGATATAAAGGACACATAGACTTTGATGCTAAAATATTGTGTAAATAGACAGAAATATTTATGTGGTTTTTCATTCACATCTCATTATTTTCATGGTACAATTGGTAATCAAACACACTAACCAAAAACTAAAGCTTTTGACGCACATTTCGAGTATTTAAGCTTGTCGTTAGCTTTATTTTTCGCTATGTAGCGTCAAAAAGAAGATTTGAAGTTTTCAAATGAGTTTTTTTTCATAAGTAATACCCTTCGGATTAGAGCTATTTGTATGACTATAAACATTAATCAATCATTATATGTCAGCTTCTAACGCACTGCTCAACTACAACAAAACTCAAGCTTTCTCTTTATCCGGACCACCTCTTCCACATTGGTCACTCTTTCTTCACAAACACAGCCTTACTACCTGGCATGATTCTGATTCCTCCTCTCATTTAGTTTATCTAGGATACCCTACCTGCTCTAGCACTCAACAACGTAATCGAATTGCCAACATACTTATCAACAAAGTTCAACTCTTATGCAATCTTCACCTTCAACGTAACTTATTTGTTCGTAGACATGCCACTGTCCTTAATACTCTTGTTTTTTCAGCCCTGTGTCACGTTACGCGCCTTTTCCACTTCATCAAAGAACAACTCGCCAAACTTCAGCAAATCAGATCATCCTTCCTCAATAATTGCCGCTACAACAAACTTCCTTTCTCCACTCTGACTCTCCCCAGGGAGAAAGGTGGCCTCACCGTTTTAGATCCCGTTGTTAAACAGAACGCCCTTCAATGGCGTTGACTTCACCCTCTCCTACACTCCAATATATTCCATTCCTTAACCCAACTTTCTCTTCCAGTCCTTTATTTCAGTTTACATTATTTTTTTTACATCTGTCACTCACCCTACGTACCATTGGTTTCTCCTGTTCCCTTCTTGTCGTTTATAACTTCCTACCCTAATTTACAATTACTTTGCTAACATATTTCAAGCCGTTGATGCATTACTACACAATTTCGATTCCTGTCAAGTCCCTCTTCAAGTCTGTCTCCGTTTTCCTGTCTCCGAACTTTTCATTCATCACCCACAAACCTCTGGTCCATCTTCTCTCCTTTCCTTTATACCACCTGATTATCATTTCCGCAAACCCTCTAATCTTTCCCGCCTCATTGGTCACAATCTATTCATCTACGATACTCAATCTCTATCCATAAGATACCGCACACGCAATACATTGACTCAACACCGTCGTATCCCCCTTCAAATTCTCAAACTTATCCACAAACAAAAACTATTTCTCAAACCATTTGTCCTCGCTCACCTTGAATCTACTATGATCACACCTTTCTTTAACACCTGCAATATCCTTCATTCTTCTTGCCTGTAATCTTTTGTCACCGCATTTACATACTTTCAATCTGTCTCCTCATCACTAGTTTTCAAATCTGCACCTCTCACTATCTCTGGTTATAAAGTCTTACTTCCCCAACACATTCCTACACCCATCTCACCTTTTGAAATTGTCCCCAATTGGAAAGCCTTTTGGTCACTTCAAATCACACATCGCTCCCGCAACATCTAGTTCCGCTTCCTACACAAAACCATCAACACTCGCTTCTACCTACACCAAAAATTACCGAAGCTCATCATTAGCTCTCAATGCATTCACTGTCCTTACTTCTGTTGCAACACCATTGACACACTTGACGATTTCAACTTTCTTTGTCCATTCAAATACAAAATCTGGTGTCACATCCTCTCCACTTATATTAATTCTTCTCTCACCGCTCCTTCAATTCACCTCTTACAACAGCTCCTCAATCTCCGTATCACCATCAGTCGCTCCAGTCATTCTGCATTCCCAACCCTATCCACACAACAAATCTGCGCTAGCACATTGGAAGGTTTATGGTCCCTTCACCTTTTCTGCTGTACTCTCTATAATCAAACGCTTACTGACTAAATAATCCGATGAACAAGAACTAATACTTTTTGACTGAAATCACTTTCCTTACTAGTTAAACTTATGCATCTTTCCTCTCCCCTTCTTATTGCATATCATACCTCTCCAATCTTAGTTGTCACTCATTATGACATCTTTAGGACTTTAAATGAAACAGGAACATAGTTCCCCTACAAAAAAAAAATCAGAGTGATTTTTGGCCAAAATTTACAAGTTGCTTTTTTTTTGTCCAAATCAATTCCAAAAGTGATTTGAGTGTTAGAATATAATGTTTGTAGGCCTTTAGAGCATTTATGTGCATATAAACAGGCTTTATGTACCCTATTATGGTTATGCAATCATGCTTATTTGTCTATCTTTTGTTGCATTCAATCTTATCATCGGTTAGATCAATGGCATTTTGCGTTAAAAAACCTATTCTTGATATGCATAATTTACGAGAAACGTTATAAATACTAATGAAATGCGGCCGACTTATGAAATAATTTTAATAAACATTTTTTTTCCTGTTTCTTTTTTTCTTTTCACAAAATGCCTACGATTACTCGCTTTGTAAATAGCAATATATTTGTGTAACAACGGTCGCTTTTTAGAATGAACATTGGGATGAGCAGAGCGTTTCTTATGAGTGAACAGCTTGTAAATACTGCCATGGCACGAAGAAGAAAGCCACGTCTTTCTTTTCGATGGAATCCTTAGGCTTTATGGTAATAGGATTGAAGTGTTCTTATTGAAAACCTAAGGCTTCTTCTCTAACAAGGACAAATCTAAAATTAGATTTGGCCATCACAAGAGTCTCTTTGGAGCCCTCGCAATGCTTAAAGTCATTGCTGATATATTATCTTTGGCGAGCGTCAGCTCCTTTAAGGACGACTTTGTAGTCCTTGTTCATGGAATAGGTAAAAATATTTACATTGTGCTTGTATGTATATATCTTTGTTTCTTACTTTATCTGAGGGTTTTGGGTGAGACAGTCTACCTTCGAAGCCTTAGATTTAAGCTAAAAGATTCAATTTATGAACTATGGTTGAAGGAATGCTTCATATTCAACCTGATATCGATGATGCGGTGGGCCCTTTGACCAGCTTTCTCGAGTTCTTCTGAGACACGAAGGTATTTATCACATTTTACTCTCTGTTTGAATAATAATTAATTAACTGCTCTTTAAAGGGTAATGTCTTTTCACAGAAAGCATCTTGGTTCTTATCCATCTAAGAAAGGGACATCAAGAGTTCCTGATGAAGAGTAAGTTTAGTAGCATTCTAAGCAAAAAAAAAAAGTCTGAACCAAAAGAAAAAAAGATCGACTTGGTTAAACCTTTGTTTAGGCGCAAAGGTTTTATAATAGTGTATAACAAAATTAACCATAGAAAAAGATTATGTGTTTTCGTGCTATAGTCTATTTATTCAAACGACAAATTTCATCTAAGTCAACATTATCTAACGTGTCTTTGGTAGACGACCGTGAGCGAACAGAATGCCTTGTTTCGCTTGTATCATCACTATCTTCAGAGTCCAAAATGAGACTGACATCAGTAGAAAGTCGAGCAAGGTCCACTCTATCATCATCAGCACTTAGGATAAATGTGGGATGTGTAGGTGTAGATGCTTGACTATATTCAGGATCTTCAAATAACGTAATGGACCCATGAGGCACAATAGGAAGACTAGCAGGACTAGTAGGCTTTGATAGTTCTAAATTGTGATGTTGATTTAAGTTGAGAAAGCTTTGATGAATGGTGTCTTTAGGTGGTGGTGGTGGTGTAGCGACAATGGACGATCTAGAAGCATTATATTTCTGTGCTTTATCCGTTTCTTCAGTAAAGATAACATTGTAACAAGAAAACAAGTCGCGCATTAATTTCTTAGGGTGACGATCATGAACATTCATAGAGGAATACTTTTGTGGACGTAATAGAACATGCTCAAAAAGTGTCAAGAGGTGGTTGAGTAAATCGTCTGTCTTTCTATGCTGTAGTATGCTATGGCATTATATGTCATTTAGACAATTAAAAAACATGAAGACTACTTACTTGAATAGATAGGAGCTGAGGGCTTTCAGTGTATCATAGTTAGATTGCGATAGTGTAGCCAATAATTTACTAACAGATGCTAGTCTGCTCTTTAATTCTTGTGGAGTCGAATAAAGTATTTTAACAGGTTCATAAAAATCAAATGTCAATAGACATTCAGGTAGCTCCAACAGGTAGATACGAACAAGATTGGCTACGGTAGTAATTTCGTAACTTTCTAGTCTTTTTCTTAACTGAGCAGGCTCTGTATATCGATCTAATTCCTCGCATAACAGATTGATTTCTTTAATAGACTTTGTATGAAACCAAACGTCTTTATGATGTTCTTGATCTTTCTCAAAATCTATGCCAATGTAAATAAGAAATCGTTTTTAATATTTCTTTACTTTGTTCAAGGATCTGAAAGGCATGCGTTAGAAGAGGCGGAATGGTTGTGCCATGAGTATGTGTTATTTGTTCAATCGGAACACCAAACACTTGATCTAAAGCAGAACCAAAATAATAGTTTTCATAGACAAATGGCCTTGGACAAAAAGGGCCTGTTTTAAACTGTTCAACAATACAACGAATGTCTTGTTCAGGCTTAACCGTTTCTTGGAAAAGAGCCATACGATTATAAGTTTCTTTGAAAATAGATACTGAGTTGGAGAGTGTCACAGCCATGTTACTAAATGCTTTTGACCACCAATGAGTCTAGATAGAAAAAAAATAGGGTTACTTACCTTCTTTCACTTTGAGGATTCTTTCTTTTTCTAATTGCTCCATGCTATCTAAATAAACAAGCTATCAACAAGATTATGGTGATTAGCTTGATTTGTTCAAGTAAATATCAGCATTACCAGATCTTCTTCTAGTTTCATTCTCATTTTGTTTACTGCTTTTGTCTTGTTCTTGTAGGCGTTGTCTGCTTCTACCATTTCTGTGTATGCTCTAAGGACAGTATCATTGGAGGATTTAAATCGATCAAAAAGTCCGGTCCATAAACTATTATTATTAGATCTGTCCAGATATCGATAAATCACATCGTGTTGCACTTGATAAAGTGTGCCATTCACAGGCCTCAAAAACTCGAGTGCCACTAAATTCTCACAAATCTCCTGACTTTTTGAATGGGTCAGATCATGATTCTCTTTCTGAATACAATCAAATATATCTTGGCTCGTCAACTGTGTTCCATTGAGCTCCCTTAAACAACAGGCTATTTCTTGATAAGGTAAGCCAAGGAGTGGTCTAAATCGAGGACATGCAGACTCCAATGCACGGCACCGAGACCAATACACTGACCGAGTCATGCGAGCAGATTGTGCTTCATGTTTGAATTCTTCTATTTGTTCGTCTAGTGCTGCTTTATCAGACAAGATCTGTTGTTCAAATGTATGTGTAAAATCCAATAATGGCTCAAGTATTTCCTGAGCAAGTAAATTGGCTCGTAACTTGTGGCAATGAATTGTTTCGGTGCTTTCTTGACAAATCATATCAAATGCACTTCCTAAGCTGGTGTTGATGGTATCGTCCATTTGTTTAAGAGCAAGATCAATTGCAGGTTCAAGTTTTGAAGAGAGTAGTTCTGTAACTTCTGTTTCTGTATCAATGCGCTTTTGTAAATAAGCAGTAATGGCTTGATTTTCATGGATAGAATGAATTAGTTTATCGTGTAATACTTGGATTCCAGTGGTGTAATCTGGCATAATATTCGAAGAGGATGAAGAGGAAGACCAAAAGGAGTCACTAAAGCTTTCTTGTATAACCATTGTTGATAACTAAAAAAAAAAAAAAAAAAAAGAGAGAGAAACGAAGAAGAGAAAAAGGGAGTAAATCTAAATTAGTTTTCGGTATTTCAAACAGATTCATGCTGTCATCTTTTGTTCAAAAGAAAGTTAGTGTCATTTCTTTCTTTTTTTTCTCTCCTTATGTCCAATTTAGAGAATGATAGACCATATAAGAGAAGAAGAACAGAAACTAAACCCTCAAGGATAAGACAGCTGGTAAATGTTTGTACTCAACATTTGGCTACACCCAATATACCTATCATTATCTCTAGGTTTGATACAGCCATTCTTTTTTGCAGCATTCTAAAATACAATAGTTATTTACGAGTTTTATTACACGCTACTGGAATACTGTTTATTTTGTTTGTGACATCCAGTTTGATACAGTCCTTTACAACTGAAATACGAGCAAGATATCAGTCACAATCAGAAGGTAAACTAAGCAGTCCAAAGGTATCTTATAGACACAGTGCATCATAGAATACGCAGAACAAGCAAGACTATGTCATCAAAACTATATCAGTCATCACTGTGGACCAACATTAAGAGGTGTTACATGGCAGTCCTTTTGTGATGAATGGGACAAATATCCTTTAAAATATATAATACTTTGTCTTTCTTCTCTTTTGTTTACCTTAACTATATCATTTCTACATGTAGGCATTATCAACCTAAATTGGTAGGCAAGTCAAAGATAGCAGCACACGCAATAGGGGAGCTATTGAATGGATTTGTAGATCCGCTTAGCATGAAAGCCATGGTAACATATTTACATTTTGCTCGTATTAGACTAACAAAAGAGTAGTTTATTATTTGCCTGCTTGTGTTTAGTCTGTTTATTTTATAATTAAAACTTGAATTCTTTCTTTTTACTTTCTTTTCGACTTTCTTGTGTTTTTGCTTTCTTTGCTTGTCTACTAGCATGTTCAGCATACATATCTGACAAGTCTTCATTTGAATCGCCCACTGGTAACTTGGCACGCATTTGAGCATCGTATTTAGCACGCAATGTAGCCTCATCAAGGCCACCTTCTAATTCACTAGGATCAATAGCCACATCTACATCATTTGCCTTTCGTTTTGTCTGTGGTCTACCAGGGGGTGGCGCAATCACAGGCTTCTCTACTGTACTTAAATCATAACCATGCTGTGAGCCCATAAATCCAGTAATATTCTTTTGAACTTCAGGCAGGACTTGATAGAGTTGTTTGGGGCCTTCATCTTCTTCTCGCTTACGGTCCTTACGTAGTTCGATATGATCGGGTGTCTCCAGTCCAGAAGCAATCGATTGTATACCAGAAGGAGTGGCAAGACCATCTCCCAAATCATCTGTAGCACTTGTCTCTTCTTGTGCTTGTTCCTCCTCCTCCTCCTCTTCTTCTTCTTCTTCCTCTTCTGATTCATCATATTCTTCTTCTGGTTCAAGTTCACCCCATAATTGCTTATCTACAGGCTCAACAACCTCAGGTGGAACAGTAACAGGTTGAGCCACACCAAACACATCACCATACAAAGGACGGTTGTACTCATCTACAGGTGGTCTACCCCAACCACCTGGATGATAACCCCATTGCGCACCTTCGGGTATCGGGGCATTCAAGCCAGGAATCTTGAGATTAGGATAACTGGGTGGAGGACCATATCGCTGCATATTAATCAGCCATGGAGGAGGAGCCAAAGGAGGCATGTTTAATGCTTCCTTTAGATCCTCAGATAATTGACCTGGTTTTTGTTCTTTTAATCTTGTCTCAAATTCTTTACCTTCATAGTACAGTTCACCATGCATGGTGTATTTGCCTCTTGTCTGGAATCTGAAAAAAGCGTCATGAAGTCTTTGATAGTCAATATCGAGCCTGCCCATCTTGGGAGCCACTTTTTCTTTCATTTTGCCTTTGAGACCGGCTGCACTTTCTTTTTCTCGGACAGCATCACGCATTTCCATAATACCGGTGTCTTTGATAAATTCAGGCAGTTCCCATGGTGGTTTTTCAATACCACGCTTTCCTTGAAGATATTTACGCTTTTGACTCCAATGAGCAGGCACTGGTACTGAATTACGATACGATTTAAGAGCCACAAGGAGTTTAGGATCACTGGCTGTCACATCCCACCACTAAAGAAAAGAAAGGATCAGTATGGATTGTTGACTATCGTCTGACTTACTTCAACTACTTCAGGTTTCTTAACAAGTTGTTTTAGTTCAGCTACTGATAAACGTTGAATCTTTTTCATCTTTTTCTTTGACAAAGGTTGATCAGAGTCTTTTTCTTCATCATCATCAGATTCACCTTGGTCTTCTCCTTGCGCTGTATTGTCATAGACAGGGAATTCCTATTTACCGTCAACACCATGTTTTATGTATATATTTATACTTACTTCATCATTCTCTTCAGGCTTTCCTTCTTGAAAGTGTTTAAAGATTTCTGAAAACTGTTGAAGTGTATTGTCATCCAAGCTAGACATGCCATCCAAATTCTTTAGTGATGACATATCAACAGGTTGAACTACATATTCGATCTGTACATCGTCTGGTACTTCGTTCTCTTCTTGTTGTTCTAATTGCTATAAACACGGTCAATAAACACGTCTTTTTATTTGTGTCTGAATTACTTACAGCTTTACGTTGTGCTTCTTCTTCCTGACGTTGCTTTTTGCTCTTCTTTTTGTTTCTTCTTCTTGCTTTGTGATGTTGTGCTTTCTTTTCCACGTCCTTTTTATCTAGGACATTGTCATTGGTTGCTGCTGCGACTGCTGACATTGGCTCGATAAAAAAATTGGAAAAAGAGGATAATTTTTCTAACTTCTAGGCGTTTTTATAGGCCCAATGACGCAAAAAGGACAGTCACCACCCTGCCTTGGTTGGTGTCTTGGTGGTTCCCGCTAAAGTACTCGCTTCATTACTTTCTTTTTCTTTTTTTTCTTTAACTAATTACGTATATATGAATCAAGTGCCTGAACCAGCAGGACAAAAAAACAGGCCGTCTTCTTTTCTACCTTTTGTCATTCCGTCCATTACTACGGATGGAGGTTCTAAATACCCGCCTTATTTTGACGTAATCTAAATAGAGTTGACAACTTGACAGTATTGACAATGCCATTTTCTTTTTTTCTATAGGCCTGTATTGCTGGTGGCATAGGTGGATCTACAGCTGATTTCATTATGCACAGGTAAGAGATAGACTGAGATCATACTGTGTTTATTCACATCTCAACATTCAGTGTGGATACAGTCAAGACAAGATTACAGGGGCAGCCTCATACACGAGTACAGAAATACACAAGCATGGTACAGGCATATAAGCTGATATTTAAACAAGAAGGTGCCATGCGAGGTTTATATGCTGGTGTGACACCTGCCATGATTGGTTCAAGTAAGTCTGTTGTATCAATAAGTCTTTTGTTCACACTGATTAGTTCCCGGTACTACTTTGTATTTCGCCATTTATGAACTCACCAAACGCACATTAAACGAATCAAATATACCAGAAGTTGTGTCTCATTTAACAGCTGGTTCGTTGGGTGATTTAGCAGCTTCTTTTATCTATGTGCCTTCAGAAGTACTTAAGACGCGATTACAACTTCAGGGCAGATACAACAATCCTCATTTTGTGAGCGGATATAACTATCAAAATACATGGCATGCGACCAAGATGGTAAGTGGTTGGTTTTCATAAGCTGATATTGATACACCACTAGATTGTAAAATATGATGGATTTGGTGCATTGTTTCATGGATTTAGAGCAACTATTTTAAGAGATGTACCTTATTCAGCTATTCAATTTGCTTGCTATGGTAACCGGTTGCCTAGATATATACATATCATACTAACGCGCTCTATATAGAACAATTCAAAAAGATTGCACAACATAGATTTAGAGAACCAGGCCAAGAATTACCTATAGGCATAGATATGATTACAGGTTCATTAGCTGGTGGTATTGCAGGTGCCATTACAACACCACTGGATGTTATGAAAACCCTTTTGCAGACACAGATTGGTACAAAAAAGAAACCTGCCAATTCAGATCTTCCACCTGTCAAACACTATCATGGTATTCTGGATGGTATGATTTGGAACTACAAAAATCAAGGCATGGCAGGTCTTTTTCGAGGTATTGGTCCTAGAGTATTTTGGACTAGTCTTCAGAGTGCGATCATGTTTGTTGTATATGAACAAGTACTTCATATTCAGTCTGATTTAAGAAGTAAAGGTGAATGGCCACCTACCAAAATGGCTCAACAACTTTTATAAGTTTATATTTGTATCATAGAGTGTAATTTAATAATAAAAAGAAATTGGTTTTTACAAGTCAGGTAATGTTGAAAGTAAATGCTTGATAATACGTCTGCCTGCATGAAGATTCAATAAACGAATACGCTCATTGTGTAAATGAGCTTGATCTGAAGATTGACCAAAAGGAACATGAACAGCAGGAGCATGACAGAACTTTTCTAACCAGCGTACGGCAGGAATGGACCCACCTTCACGAATATACAATGGCTTGATTTTCCATTCATGTTCAATGGCTTTCTCTACTGCCTTGAAGTATTTGCTTTCCAGGTCACCTATCCAATACTCTGCAGCACTTTCAATCGTAACTTGAATAGTATTGTCCGAGGCCAAATCTTGATGAAACACATTCGTCACATACTGTTCAAATTGAGCACAGATATCTGTAATGGACTGATCAGGAACCACACGCATACTAACACAGGCTTGTGCACTACGAGGGATAATGGTGGGGTTATTGATAGAGACATCAATCTTGTGTACAGTTAAAGTAGGATAACGCCAACGAGCCATGAGTTGCTGCTTCATTTTATTCGCATCAAACTGTTCTGCAGCAAATTTACATTGCGTCTCTTCACATTCTGCCTGATTGCCCAAATTTGGTGAAGCAATCGTAGAATGGTGGGTGCGTGTACTTGACTGAGCAGTTTCTGAAGTGCGCATCCATTCCACAATAGGATCATATAGCTTCTCTTCTATTTCTGTCATTGGGCTTACGTTGTTATAAAATCCAGGTATTAACACTTTCTTGTCATGGCCGACTAATTTGCCTACCACATGAATCAAATCTATCAAAGGCTCTGATACAGCACCGCCTTCTACACCTGAATGTAAATCAGCACGATTATTGCTGATGTTGATTTTGGCATGAATGACACCACGAAGACCATAAGTGATACAAGGTACATCTTCACCGAGCCAATAAGAATTACTCAACAAGATCATATCGACGTCTTTAAAGAGTTCTGCATTGTTTTCAACTGCTTCATAGAATCCAGCACTGCCACTTTCTTCTTCTCCTTCAATCAGAAAGATAACATTGACATCCAAAAGGCCTTCTTTTAAGAGTTCACTCACAGCAAATAAAGAGGCAATGATAGGGCCCTATACAAAATGACATTTAAGTAACACACAACTATGCATGTATAGCTTACCTTATTGTCACTTGTACCACGGCCATACAGATAGCCATTTTTACCTGTCAAAGTAAAAGGGTCACTGCCCCATAAGTCATTTTCATTTTCTGCAGCAATCACATCATAATGACCATAGATCAACACAGTTGGAATCTCTTTCTTAGTCGAAGATCGCTTTTTGCCAGTGAATTTACCATAGACTAAAGGATTACGACCACATACACCTGGAATCTGTTGTATGTTAATGCAGGTAAGCAAACTAGAAAAAAAATACGTACCATTCGACTGTGTGCACCTAATTGTTGCAAGATATTCTTAAGGAAGCGTGCTCCTCGTCTACATTCTTCCATGTATTCATGACTACCACTCACAGTACGCATAGCCACCCATTTCTCTAACACATACAGCATGGTATCATTGGTAAATGCTGTTGCATGCTCAATATGTTGACTGCTAGGTCTTCTGAATGGTTCCGCATAAGGAGAATAGGTAGGCATATCCCAAAACTTGATACTATGATCATTACTGCCTGAGATTAAATTGTTGCCTGAACTTGTGAGTGATAAGACAATGCCTTGGTGATCACCTAAACTTTCTCGGAATTGGAACCCTTCACTCCAAAATTTGATAGAGCCGTCTGCTGAAGCACTGACAAATCCAGAACCACGAATAGTAACAGCCAAGACATCGTCTGTATGAGCCATGACAGATCGAATCATTTGGTGTGTTTCCAAATCCCAAATTTGAACATCACCACCTTGAACACCACAAAACAAATAACCGTCTTCTGAAAGTGCAAGGCAAAGAATACCTTTGTCAGGGTTGCCTTCAAGTGTATTAAGTAGTTTGATGCCGTCTTCTTGAATACGCCAAATCTACCAAACAGAGGATATCAGTTTTCCTTGTGTGTGTGTGTGATGACTCTGGTTTTTTTTACCTTGACATCACCATCTCCTGATCCACTAATTAAGACGGGCTTATCTACATTGGGTATATCTTTGGCATACAACAAGCAATACACATAACCATTATGTGCATTACCCAAGACATTTTTTTCTCGAATAACACATTTAATCACATCTTTATCAAGCTCTTGTTGTAGTCGTTCCATTTCTTCATTGTTATTCTCGTCGTTTTCAAAAAAGTTGATGGCATTGCAACCGATTCTTCGAGAAGCTGGTATTGAAGGAATATCTGTATTAGATCCATGGGTTTGAGGGTCTGTAAAATCATACCACTATGCATTTATTGATGAGGAGCTACGTATGTGTTTGATCGTTGTATATACCTGAATACTGGTATTCTGGCTACCAAAGTAAAGTACATGGTTTACATCTGAATAGACAACAGAAAAAATATCGCCTACATCATGACAGGATTGAATTAAATAAGCACATTGCAAAGTTTCTGTATTCCAAACCTAAATTTTTATAAATCGGAAAATTTGAAAAAAAAATTGACTTACTCGAACAGTGCCATCGCCTGAACAACTGAATAGATATTGTTCATCTTCTGATAGTGTTAAGCCTAGTACACTGCCACGATGTCCTTTCAAGACAGTGACGAGCGTAAATGTCTGTAAATCCCATACCTTAAAGGCCCATTAGAAACCATTGAGTTTAAGAAATACATACATGAATTTTTGAACTTTGACTTCCACTAAACAAATATTTTTTGCTGGCTGTTAAAGACAAGACAGAATTTCTGTCTTCTTGTGAGATCGTATGAACACAACGTGTTGGGTACAAAGGTCTTGTATTTGACAGCTGAGAAAGACTGCCTTATCATACTGTTAGTTTCTTATCTCAATTTCATGGTTATACCTAAAGGAGTTGGACTTTCTGTTCTAAAATAAGGAGAGTCCATTGATAATAAAAAGAACAAAGAAAATAAGCTTGTAAGTTTTTTTTTTTTAAAAAAAAAGCATGAGCGGAGATGAGCATCAAATGAGTCCATCGACAGCCAATCAAGTAAACAAGATGTAAGGCACCCCCCGAAAGAGTCACATGGATACTTTTTCTCTCTTTATTTTTTCTTATGTCTATACGTTTACTATTTAGTTTATCAAGAAGACAAAAGCCTTGTCGTATCACCACAAGAACTTTGACGCAAGCAGGTAAAGGAAAAAGAAAAAGAATAGCACTCAAGGAGCAGTAAACTAAAAACCAACCCAAAGCTTCTTTACAAAACGACAGAAAGCTAGTTTATCCTCGGTTCAGTCTTGTACCCGAAACACACGGCCAATGGCTTGCTGCAAAAGACTTGAAACGATATGCATGCTTGGAAAAGGGACAAAAAGCAGAAAGTGATTTAGTGACATTGACAGGTCGCGTGGTATCCAAAAGAGAATCCAGTGCCAAATTGATCTTTTATGATATTGTACAGAATGGAGAGACGGTTCAGGTTGTGGCATCAAGAGGAAGATATAAGGGCTCTGCTGAAGAATTTGCAGAAAAGAATCGAGATTTATGTCGAGGCGACATTGTGTGTATGTGTTTAGCATGGTAGTACAGTCCCTGATTCTTTTTTTTTTAGCTTTTACAGGTGTGCCAGGAAAAACCAATCATGGTCAATTGAGTGTATTTGTGACAAAAGAACTCAGAGTATTATCACCTTGTATTCAAGATATTCCTCGTTCAGGGCTTAAAGATCCTGTAAGATACCATGTTTAGTTATAGCGATCACTCACCATCTTTCTTTAAGGAAAAACGATTCCGTGCAAGACATTTGGATTTACTTGTCAACCCTGAATCATCCAAGATATTACGCACCAGATCTCGCGTTATTCGATTCATCCGCGATTTCTTTGACCAGCGTGGATTTCTTGAGGTTGAGACACCCATTCTTTCTGCTAAAGTAGGTGGTGCTAATGCCAGGCCATTTGAGACACACGCTCATGCACTCGATATGGATATGCATCTTCGCATTGCACCCGAACTTTATTTAAAGCAACTGGTGATAGGTGGATTTGACCGAGTGTACGAGATTGGTAAACAGTTCAGAAACGAAGGTATTGATGCAGATCATAATCCTGAATTCACCACCTGTGAATTTTATCAGGCGTATGGTAACTTGGACAGTCTGATGCAAGATACAGAGACCTTGTTGGCAGAGATGGTAGTCTCTATCTGTGATCATCCTGTTCAGTCAAAATCGGGTGAGCTTATTGATTTCCAACGCCCTTTTCGACGCATCAATGTAACTGAGAGAGTTGCTTCTGAATTGGGGACCTCTTTGAGCTTTTTAGAAAATGAAGGTAGGCTCTTATCATTCCGTTGTATGTTTATTAATATGCCTTTTTTTTTTCTTAGATTCTGGTCTTGATACGCTAGTGTCACTCGCTAAACAACGCGGTGTAAAGTTATCGGGCCCACTCACACTGTCTCGTGTACTTGATAAACTTATTTCAGAATTTATCGAACCTGAATGTATTCAACCTACTTTTTTATACAACCACCCACTGGCCCTTAGTCCTTTAGCTAAAGAATTCATAGATGAAAAGGCAAGTATACTGAAAAAAATAGATGAGTGGCTTATGTTGTTACCTAGGGACAAACTGTGGCTGCACGATTTGAACTCTTTGTAGGCGGCAAAGAAATTGTAAATGCTTATGAAGAATTAAATGATCCCAAGGAACAACGTAGACGTTTCAAATTGCAACTGAAAGATAGAAACGATGGCGATTTAGAGGCTCCTTTACCTGACAATGATTTCTGTGACGCATTAGAGTATGGGTTGCCACCTACAGCCGGATGGGGTATGGGTGTCGATCGTGTTGTACAATTAATAACCGGAACTTCCCATATTCGGGAGGTCTTAGCCTTCCCTGCTATGCGTCCTGTGGCTCACTCATAAAATCAAAATTAAAAGACTTTTTGTTTTTTTTAACATTTCTATATTTTTTTTATACGTCTATATTTTTATATCTAAATTTTATAATTTAACAGGAGGGGGGGCCGATGTTTTATATTCCCCCCCTTTACCATCTTCTGGTAATATTCCAGAAGCCAATAGAAAATGCAACCCGTTAATTCGGCCCATGGAGCCCGGAATAGGAAGCTTCCCTCCTCTCTTGAACGAAACGAGGGCCATGAGCTTAAGAGAGGCTTTCCTTTCTTTTCCTCTCTTGCCTTTTATCAAAAAGAGAATTTGCCCTACAAAAAAAAAGAGAGACAAATTTTGTAGAGCAAATGGCCCAGATCCAAACAAGAAGGGAAAGAGAGAACAAAAAAGAAAAAATAGGTATCCTATCGTCTTGTTTAACCCAAGGACAAGCAAGCGCCTTTTATCAGAAGCCAATCTATCAGTCTTGCTCCAAGATTTGCCAACCACCCACCCAAAAAAAAAACAACTTTCCTTTCCCAACATGAAAGCAAGTTATTATGATTCGAAAAGAAAAAGAGTAAACCTGGTCCACATAGATGCAGATCTACCTCTGTAGGCAAATGCTACAGACAAGGATCAAGTAATCTCCTCTATTAATGGTCCCCGGAAAGAAAAAATTGGAGGGGGGAGGAGGAAGGGGACCGAGTAATCCAAAGCGCCTGGACACAAGAAAAAAAAAGCTATAACCCAAGCATGATTTCGAGAACGACCATTTCTTATGACCCCAAGAGACAACAAGACCAGGATAGCATCAAGGGTAGACGCATTGATGTGGCCACCTTCACAACAACGCGACCATATTGTTAGCTCCTCCCCCCAAAAGGAGAATTCCCATTCATGGCTGAACCCGAGAATTTTTTTTTTTTTTTTTTTTTTTTTTTTGTAAAAAGCGCAGACAGAAAGAAAAGACAAATGAAACCATAGTCCGAATTAAATCTGTTTTGATCTAGAACCCAAAATCCAAAGACAGACAAGTCTTTTGTCTTAAACACATGGCAAACTGCATTGCTTGCATTCTTTTGTCTATATATGCGTCATTTACGTCTATTTTTGACAGTCAATCTACTTGGGTCAATGTGGTAATTAACTTACTTTGGTTAAATTCCTAAATTCCAATACAATTTAGGCAACAAAGACCCAAGAAAAAAAGAGAAATGGCAAGAACGACAACGGGTGTTTCCTTTTTTAAAAGCAGGATCAGATAAACCAGACTTTTGTCGAACGAGAAAAAAAGGAAAAGATTTTTTTACCTGTCTTTCGATATCTTTCCCTTTCTGTTTCTGCTCTTTTCTCTTCAGGTGTGGAAAAGTGCATGGGAAATATGATTTATTTAAATCAATATTTTTTTCTAAAACGAATCTGTGATGGTTGTTTTGATCTGCTACATGCTGCTAGGGATCTTATTTGGTTGGTTTTTACTCGAGAAATACAACTGGATATATTTTCATGTGGCTTCTAGGTGAATGACTGCTAATAGATTTGTTTTTTTTTTCGGCGACTCTTTGCGCAAAAAAAAAAAAAAAAAAAAAAAAAAAAAGATAACAAGGTCAACCACAACCACAATGCTATGTGGCTCAAAGCTTTTGATCCACTTTTGTTGCCGTCGAATAAAGTAGACATCAAGAGAGCCCTTCATATATTGGCCAGGGTTACTCCTATATTTTAGAGGCAGATATTTTACATAGACTATGTTTCAGTAAGCACAAGTCACGAAATTTCACCTCAAGTATAAGCTTGTTAAATAGTTATTTACTTTCAGGTCCTGAAATTCAATCCATATACTAAGTTTTCAGGTGCTGCATTCAAATGTTGCGTAATCGAAGTGTATAATACTAAAAGAAGAGTGTTAGAATATTCTGTACTATAAATTAGTTTTATTTATTTACGTGAAGTGATGGCTTAGATTTCCTCGTTCAAGATAGATGTCCAATTTGAATTAATCAAGATAGAAAGAAAAAGGAAAAAAAAATTGGGAAGCAAATAACAAGAGTATTATATGAGGAAAGAAAAAGTAAGAAAGAAAAAGGGAAATGACGAGTATTTTAAACTTTCTTGGGGCACTTTAAGGACTTGACCGTTGATATACGGGACTTAAATGTTTAGCAAACAAACCATTCCTGGTCACAGTCACTTGCGCTATCCCGAAACGCGATTTAGCGTCATTTAGTGTTGCATATCCAATAATTTAAAGTTTGCGATCCAATTCAATCTACAGTCCAAAAATGATTGTTTTTGTGTAGATGTGTTGAATTTGAGTAACAGTAACTTGAAAAATGCTTTCTAAAGATTCTATATGAGAGAAAGAACAAAAAGAAATACAGCAAAAAGAAAAACAAAGCCTATTTACATACTATAGCGATAATTGATTTCATTCTGAGTCTTTTATTGTTGCTTGCTTTAGAGAAAAACTACATATATCAGATGCATATGTAGATTATAAATAAAACGAAAAATCACATGCTGTTCATAAGAATGCCTTTATATGATAAAATGAAGTGGATAGACTATTCATCTCTCAGAGATAAAACACAGGTCTAATTTGATTCATTTTTTTTTCATTAAAAGAAACCATTTTGCGCTTACGGTAATAAACATAAGATAAAAAGGGTAATTAAAGATGTCTAGTGGTACATTGTGTCCTGCTAAATCAATTTTCCGTTAGTATAGCGCAGATTTTGAGGCGTAAATAAATTCTTTTAGAGAAACTGTATAGATTTTCCCTTTTCTTGCTTATAATACAATACATTATTCCGCGCAATGTCTTCGCTAAACACGGACGTTATCTTTGTTTCCTTTTTTATAAACGCCCAATTTATGTAGTTCCTGTAACTTGGTAGTGATGTATATATAATCTCAAAATACGCTTGTGACACATAAAATATCACGGTGTACCAATCGGCTGAACTTAGCATTCATAGATTTATATTGTTTTTTTTAAAAAAAAATTGTTGATTTCTATACTTGACGTGTCGCCTCAAATGTTTTATATTTTATTTTTTTACATGCCAAGCAATAACGTATCTTATATTTTACTAAATTCACTTTCCAAACAATTGGAAATAAAGCAGTTGAACATAAATATGTAAGTCTAATCTATTTAAAGTTTGTTATGCGTATCACAAGAAAAGAAGCTTTTTTGAGATTTTTTAAAATAAAAACAATTGTCCAGCGTTGAGATCGAGAAACCAAGTTGCATTTTATTCTTGCCTTCTGAGATCATATATACTGTGATTTGTGAAAGCAAGAAGAATAAAAAATAAATATTTAGGAAAAAAATGTTTGGTTCTCAATGGTTATAAGGTTTTCTTTTTAGTAGTTATAATTACGTAAATGATTTACAAACAATGATTACTTAAATGCATAAAACTTTTGATATTGCCTTAAAGAGAGGGTGCCAATTTGTTTCTATAAGTTTTGCAACTATGAATTTATGCGCAAAATATACTGTAAAATACAAAAGTCTTTTTTGAAGTTTGTTCAAGTAAATTTTTGGGCTGTGTTATTTTGTATGTTCAAAAAGTATAAAAAATAGCTAATATAAACACATATTGATGATGTACACCTTTCTCGACGAGATTCTACAATTAAAACATAGGTTACTATGCATGACCATAGCAGGAAAAAAAAAGTTCTTTTACTTGCAGAAATGCGGGGTTATCTTCTTTTCCTTTATGCGCTGCAAAACAAAGCAGGAACCAAATAAACAGTCGTTTAGTATGACAAAAGAATAGCTCAAAAAGTTGAGTTAAGTCATCGCAATGAGAAAGAAAACAGTTTTGCTGGTGATATTGTATCATTCAAAAACATTAATCAATGTTTAAATAAATAGATACATCCTCCTTATTTTATCTGATAAAACAAATGGTTACACAGTCATACAAATGTCCGGGCAAGTCCCATTGTACAGTTTGTTGTCCGGTGATTGTACAAAAGAAAGTGCAGTTGCCCCCATCTTTTGCTTAGCTTTTTTTTTCCTTTTTTCTTTCTCTTTATCTATAAGACTGTAAACACAACAGAGGATACTTATCTTTTCAAAGTGATTTATGTCTACCTCACACACAAATCACTTCAAATTTTCTGGCAAAAGTAAGAAGCCTAGGTGTATTTTGTGTATAACTAACAGATATTATTAGTTGGCGATGCTTTTGATTCACTTCGAACAATACGCGTACCAGCCAAAGATGGTAGAAGCGGGCAAGATATTCAGCTGCAATATTCGCATCAAAAAGTAATTGGCAACGGCTCTTTTGGGGTTGTTTATCAAGTAAAGCTGACACATACAGGGGAAGATGCAGCTATCAAAAAAGTGTTGCAAGACAAACGATTTAAGGTAAGAATATTTCGTGTTTATTTCTTATTGATCACATATATAGAACCGAGAACTAGAAATTATGAGGCTAATGAACCATCCTAACATATGTGGTATTAAAGCCTACTTTTATTCTCAAGGTGATAGTAAGGCAAGTAAAATAAAGAAAAAAAAAGCAAGCAGCTCATATCCTAAATAGAAAGACGATGTTTATCTCAATTTGGTCATGGAATACGTACCCGAAACAGTTTACAGGGTTACTCGTCATTATACTAAAATTAAGCAAGCCGTACCAATGCTTATTGTTAAACTTTACATGTACCAACTATTTCGTTCTTTGGCTTATTCACATACGCTTGGTATTTGTCATCGAGACATTAAACCACAGAACCTGCTTGTACATCCTATCACAGGTGTATTAAAACTGTGTGATTTTGGATCCGCAAAAATCCTTGTCGAAGGTGGCATGAATGTTGCCTACATTTGTTCCCGCTATTATCGTGCACCAGAGCTCATCTTTGGTGCTAGTTGTTATACCTGCAGCATTGATATCTGGTCAGCTGGCTGTGTCATGGGTGAACTATTATTAGGACAACCATTATTTCCTGGTGAAAGTGGCATTGATCAGTTGGTAGAAATCATCAAAGTATTGGGCACACCAACAAAAGAGCAAATTCTGACGATGAATCCCAATTACACAGATCATAAATTTCCTTCTATAAAACCACACCCATTATCCAAAGTGTTTAGATCAAGAACACCGCCTGAAGCAATTGATTTGTTGTCTCATATCCTTCAATATGACCCAAAACAACGCCCAACTGCTAGTGAAGCTATGGTTCATCCCTTTTTTGATGAATTGCGTAATCCTGAAACAAAAATGGCTACAGGAAGAGATCTGCCTGAGTTGTTCAATTTTACTCGAGAAGGTAAATAATAATCAAGTTTTTTTTCTTTACTCATTTTATATATTAGAACTCTCTATCAGACCCGACTTAATACACAAGCTTGTACCAGCCCATTATGTTGAAAAACTAGAAAAATCAGCAAACATCAATATCAACCATTTTACACCTATTCCATTAAATGATTTACGTTTGAATAGTTTGGATTAAAGAGAATAGTATAGTTATCACATGATATTGTAGCCCTTATTTAAGTCGCTTCTTTTCGTTTATTTTGGCTTTTTGTCGCTTATGTCTCATTCTTTCATAATAAGCCTCTGATTTTGGCTTTTTTATCTTTTTATGCTCTTGTTGTTCGTTCACCAGTTTCTTTCTACCTAAATCATCAAAGAGAGTATAAACTCTATCCAAATAGATATCTGGTTCAACATCCCAGTCCAATGTACGATCAAAAGGGTGAGCACGCATATAGCTACCCACATTTGAATGCTGCTGCAGAATCTTTAGATAATTTATGACTTTACGCAGATCATTGTCGAAACACACTTGATTTTTCTCGAATAATTTGTGGTCAAATGTACATACTTGAATCAGATTGTATGGTTGATATTTGAGTTTTTTTGCCGTATCATCAAGAATGATTGTGTTGGTTGAGTCATACTTGGGTAGTTCTTTCCATACTCGCTCGAGATCTTTGACTGTCTCTACGTTTCTGTAAAAGTCATTCATCGTCAGACCAAAATGTTGTCGATCCCACCTGAGCAACAACGGGTATTTCCTGCAGGGAAACATTCGACACATTGTATTGACTGATCTCTTTTGTGCAGAAGACCATACCATAACCTTGAAATTCGAAAAAATGTAGTCAAAAAACTTATCATGATGAGGACGAACGTAGAATGACATTGTTTGCTTGATGCGGGAGACAAGTGTGCCATTCAAGTCGAGAATAAGTAGTTGTTTTGTTTGTTTTTTGCCTAATATTTGAGAAGGTTCCGAGCATTTTGCCAAGTATTCTTCTGAAGGACCTATGGCAGTATTCAATGGTCGCTGCATATGGTAAAGGACAAGAGCAATAGGAAGGTGGGAGGGGATACAATTAAATAGCCACAGAAAAATTGATAGTCACTGATAGAGTATGGTCTCAAAAGTCAGAATGACAAGTATAGTGTTTGATTTATTATTTTCCATGGACAACAGCAGAGTTGACCCACAATTGCTTCTCTTGCAGTAAAGAAGGGTCAAGAAACCTTCTCATATCAGCTTCATGTATAAATAAAGCGAGTCTCATGATTTGTTTACCAGGCTTATTCTAGCCTAAACGAATCTTATTCCGTTTGTTGGGGTCTTTCATAGTATCACTGCTCAAAGGAAGTGGGAACTGGACTCAAAAAGATATGAACAAGCTAATTACACTATATCAATCAGCAGCAGTTGCATATAGTCGCTGACTTCACTTTTTTTTTCTTGAAGTAAATGATTTTTCCGCTTACCGCGAGGAGTCATGAGCTTATTGTAATCGGCAATCAGAGATACCGGAGTTTACTTTAATTTTGAAAAGTATTTAGCCGACAGAGTCTTTGCGTTACTTGAGCCCTTTCCTTATTGTCTTTTAAAGTACAACCATCATGCTCTCCTTTTTTTCTGCATAAAATAACACTCTGTTGCTGTCTCTGTCTCCTCCCTTTTCTCCTTTTGTTTCTTAAAAAAAAAGGATAATGATAGATTCGATGAAAAAGGAGACGATCGAATAATGTAACATTGAGCTCATTGTCTTTATAAATAAAAGACGGGGTTTATTCTATATAAATTCCTCTCTCTTTTTTTTTTCTTTTGATAAATTACTTTTTTTTTATCATGACAATAATAGCAGCCAACAACACTCTTAATCAATCAAAAGAAATGCAATTCATGGATATAGAAAGCGTTCATTTGTCTTATGATGATCATGAAGAAGAAAATATTAGCAGCAGCAGTAACAGTAGTATATACAGTGATACATGTGCTTGTAAACAAAATAAAATATTGACTGGTGCCGCTGACTGTGCTTCTTGTCACCAGCCTATACCTTCTCTCATTCACTTACACCATGATCTCGAGATTCAACGTACCAAAGCACTCAACTTGCGATCTCAACTAGAAGAGAAACAAGCTCAAGCCGAAAAGCATGCTCAAGAGAGACAACACCTGCAAGCAACATTAGACGATGATAAAAAAAAGCTCGATAAAACAATGACAAACATTGAATCGCTTACCCAAGATATCGATATTGTCAAGTCCAAGCATAAAGGAGAGATAGAGCACACCATTGCCATTGAGCAATCAAAAAAATGCGTGGAAATTGAGTTGCACGAGTTAACACAAAAGTTGTTTGAAGAAGCGAACCATCTTGTCTTGGCCGAAAAGCAGCGTAAAATGGAGATTCAGGCAGAGCATGATTATGTTAGGTCTCAACTGGAACAATCGGAGAGTGAACTCATGACAGTCCAAGCCGAGTTAAACGTGTTACGGGAGCAAATGAAGAGCACAAATGAGACTCCCATAAGCACGCATGAAAACTACATTTTAAGGGCTCAATTAGATATGGCATACTTGCTACAACAACAACAAGAACAACCTGTAGAAATAAGCGAGCTGTACCATGACCCGCTCTTGTTGAACGAATTTGAGCAATTCATAGTCACAATGAAGACAACACCGCTCTCTAAGCTCGCCAGCCTGCCATTTATGAAGCAGTGCCTCAAATCAGATATCGAGCCCTGTTTAAGGTTTGGCCCTTCACCGAAAATCACAACTAAGAAAATATCAGACGCAATCCTTGTCAAGAGTTGCTTTTTAGAATCATGTCCACCAGGATTTGTGGAAAAGAAACTCAACCAGCCAACAGAAAAGGTGCGGACAAGTCTATGGGACCGATTTTCTTCATCTAGCAATACAACAAATATGTTGCAGGCGACATGTTTGTATTGTCAAGCATGTGGTAGAGTGATTTACGACAAGCAAAACAGTCAAGAAGAAGGAGAAGTCACGATTTGGCGATTCCGTATTTCCTATTTTGATGAATGGGCTCTGATTGATAGATACTGTCATGACCGTATTGTTTCTGTCATGGAATTTTATACGTTCCTGAGACGATTGAAAGTAGGTGTTTATAAAGAATTTGATATGCCATTTCTCTATAAAGAATTCTATAAACTTCAATTGCAAATGATGCTTAGCAGGTAAGTTACACATATCCCAATTTTTATTTATAATCATTACTCTTTATAGGATGGGAGCATTACCAACAATATTAGGCGAGTTTGGACTTGACCCAAACAGAATTGGAATGGCTTTTACGGAACTAATAACAAAGTAGATTTGAATCTCAATTTCATGATACGACATTTAAGAATTTTCTTCATTTTTTAAGAAGATAAAAAGAAAAGCAAAGGAGTTCCAACTTCTTTTACTAGTGACCATATATTTGTACATAGCATACATTAAAGCATATTTTATTTATTTCTCACGCTTTTTGACATTTGTACCATAGTGTGATACGAAATCCCAACCAATCGTAACTTGGTCTGTCAAAAAAAAAATCATTTAAATGAGTTTGAATGACATAAAATTTTTTTTCTTTGCTATAAATTATGACAGCTAGTGCACTGACTAGTTCTTGTTTTTTCTCTTTTTCTTTTTCTCTTTTTCTATTCAAGATTCAGTTCCTAAATTCAAAAGATCTTTCTTGTTTTTCGAGTTTTAATTTTGGTTAGATGTCAAGCAAGGAACTTGAGCAGCAAGATACTATGGTGTATCGCACGCAATCTAATTTGACAGAAACCTTAGAGTCTCATTCTGATGTCAAGGGACAAAACGAAAAAGCTACTTCAACTGCTATTGATATGCCTTCCACTATTAGTGAACAAGGCTCTAGCACAATTGATGAAGAAGAAATAATCAAAAAAGATACCTGGCTAAGTCTATTTTACAAGAGACACAGACCTTGGTTTCAGTAAGTCGAATTTGTTAATAATCACTCTGGTTTAATGCTTTCTTTTTAGTGCTGCTTACTTTCTCATTGCTACTGGATTCTTGGCAGCAGCTTATGCTCTTCAAGTACCTAAAGGCTATAATCAAGAAAACCTAATTCTTGGTCTGATCTATGCTTTTCTTGCACTCAAACTTGCTACTAAATATATACCTACTTCTTTTATAAGTACATCATGGCTATACTGCGTTGAAAAAGTATCTCAGCCTCTCAAACGTGCTCCTGAACGCATCCGAACTATTGCCTATGGTTTCTTTGTCTTGGCTGTGGTGGTGGTTACTGTCTTTTCTTTGCCCGAAAAACCTGAATCCATGCGTGTTCAACGCGTTGTTGCACTGTTTGGTATGCTCGTTTTTTTCGCCTGTCTCTACATTACGTCCAATAACCGCAAACTTATCAATTGGAACACTGTACTTACTGGTATCTTGATGCAATTCATTTTGGCCTTGTTTGTCTTTCGTTGTACCGTGGGTCATGATATCTTTCAATGGGCTTCTACATTTGCTCAAGGTTACCTTGAAAAAGCCACTAATGGTACTTCCTTTGTCTTTGGTACTGCTACTGCTGAATCAGGCGTGTTTGCTGTCACTGTGTTTCCTTCTCTTATCTTCTTTGCTGCTACCGTACAAGTCTTGTATTATTTTGGTGCACTCCAATGGCTTTTGAAGAAATGTGCAGTATTTTTCATGTCCTTGCTTCAAGTATCTGGTGCTGAATCTATTGTCGCTGTTGCTTCTCCCTTTTTGGGTCAAGGTGAAAACGCCTTGTTGATCAAGCCTTTCTTGCCTTATTTGACCAACTCTGAAATGCATCAAGTCATGGCTTCTGGTTTTGCTACTATTTCCGGTTCTGTCTTGTATGGTTATATTGCCATGGGCGTATCAGGTCAAGCACTTTTAACTTCCTGTATTATGTCTATTCCCTGTTCATTGGCTGTTTCCAAAATGCGCATGCCTGAAGATGATGTACCTATCACTGCTCAAGAAGTACGCGTGCCTCCAAGTGACGAAAAGCCAGCCAATGTGCTCCATGCTGCAGGTTCTGGTGCTGCCACTGGTATGAACATTGCTTTGTTAATGTGTGCCAATTTGATCTCCTTATTGGCTCTTTTGTATGCTGTTAATGCAGGTTTGACCTGGCTTGGTAATTTCTTGACGATCGAAAACCTGACTATCCAATTGATTACGGGTTATATCTTTGTACCTGTTGCATGGTTAATTGGTGTTGATAGCAAGGATGTTGTTATTGTAGGTCAACTGCTTGCCACTAAGATCTGGGCCAATGAATTTGTTGCCTATCAAAGTCTTTCTACGGATTACAAGGATGTTCTTTCTGATCGTTCTCATTTGATTACGACATATGCACTTTGTGGCTTTGCCAATTTAGGAAGTATTGGTATGCAAATCGGTGTCTTGAGTACGATGGCACCTAAACGTAATGCTGATATTGCTCGGTTAGCTATTTCTGCCATGATATGTGGTGCTTTTAGTACATGGATCTCAGCTGCTATTGCTGGTATGCTTATTTAAACTTTTTTTTTGTATATAGATTTTCAAAATAAAATTTTAGTACTACTACTACTACTACTACTACTCTTGTATCACAGATCGAGTACTTGGTAGTACAATCCGTGTTCTTTAATATTTATATGAATAATTCTTTATTTTTTTTTTATTACAAGGATTGTGTCGGAAATGTAAAATCGAACGAAACATAGAACCGACGTCATTTATAGTTCAATTGTCACACCCTGGTAAGAGCCAATCCTTTTTGAACTTGTTTTTTATTCTCTCTTTTCTCTCTTTTAACACACATTATTGGTTAATAATAAATGGCAGATACAACACAACCACAGCAACACCATTTACTTCATCCTCATGAAATCTATGCAACCAATCAATCTGGTTACGCAAATGAGCTGCATCAACAGCAACAACAACAACAGCAACAACAACAATCACCTATAGATCCAATTCGCCCTCATCCACTATATCAACAGCAACAACAACCAATATCACAAGCGCCTTATGCATTGGTAAATAAATAAATAAATAGAAATATCTATTTGATAGCTTATATTCTATATAATAGCAACATATGCCTCATTCACCACCTAGTATGCATCCTCCACCTCCTCCTTCCATTGCTTATCGGACAATCGAACAGTCTGTTCACACAATCCCACCCGCAGCCAATGATCCTACAGCTGGACAAGTAGAAGAACCTCTCTATGTGAATGCTAAGCAGTACCATCGTATTTTGAAACGAAGAGCAGCAAGAGCCAAATTGGAAGAACTCAACAAAATGTCAAGAGCAAGAAAACCTTATCTACACGAAAGTCGACACAAACATGCTATGCGTAGACCTCGAGGACCCGGAGGTCGTTTTTTGAGTAAGTTTTGTTGATAAAGAGAATTGGTTTTGACTTTGATTAGCTGCAAAAGAAGTGGAAGAATTGGAGCGAACAGGAAAACTGCCTACACAATCATCAAATGATGGTAAGAAATAATTATGATATTTTGTCTAAATCTTTTTTAGTTTAATCGTCTGTGCGTACATACAAACAATAATAATAAAATGCTTACATAATAGTACATGGAATTGGGTTACCAAGTTGAACAACGTCTCCTTTTTAAACACGTAGTATAAATAAATAAATATATATATATAAAATTCATGTGAGATTCTTTATCTTTTTTTTTTCTTTTTTTTAAATGACAAAGAACGAAAATAACCATAAACTACCTCATCTCACTATACAGTGGTAAGTAGTCATGAGCTTCATGGTGTTTATACTAAAGACCAACTATCAGGTTTCATGCTATTGACTGTCCTGTTGTAGACCCTATTGCTATCAGAAAAGCAAAAAGAGAAAAATCGATACCCAACTTGACAAAACCCAATACTGCTGCAGACATAGTACGAAAAAGCACACCTAAAAATTGGATTCCCTTTTCAAAACGAGATAATGCTGCTTTAGAAAAAGCATACCAAGTAAGCATACCGTGAGTGTATGCCTGGACTTATGCACTGTTTTTCTTTTAAATAGACCAATCAATCAAGCATCATACCTGTGAATGAAGACTATTTATTTGAGGTGGATATTGCAAAACGAGAAATTAGTCCTGTGTACTGGGAAGGACCTGTATTTGAAGTCAGAAGAGCAACTTGGTTTATGCAGACAGATAGTTTGGCGAAATGGACACCTTGTGAAGAATCCCTGTCTAGTCAGATTGAACAAGGCTATTTGTAAATACAGACTGTTGTATCTAAACAAGACATATACTGATCATTGATCTAGGAAACGTCGTCCTTATGCAAGACCTGCAAAGACAGACATCGAAAAGGAATTGAGCCAAGAAACAAATAAGGTCACTTCTAATGATACCATACAAAAAGACTTTACTCAAGAACAACAGCAAGAGAAAGTGGATTCATATATAAATGAGAAGACAAAATATGTGGAAGAAAGAGAGAATTTATCAGGACCTTATTCGGGTCGATATGTTGTCTATACAAGTCCAGTACAAGCATGGTTATTAGAGTAAGACTCTGTAATTAACAAAACTTGGTACTCATTACTTATCAACAGAGATACGCCCGGCGCAAAAATCGCAAAGAGTTTTTTTACTGCAATTACCAACCATCAAAATCTAGGTGGTATCAATTTATTGCGTGGTTATCAAGAAGTAAAAAAAGAAAAAGTCAAGAAAGAGGACGAAGAAGGCAATGCAGCTGAAGCAGGTCAAGAAAAGCCAAAAGAAGAAAAAGAGTCTATTAAATCAAGAGATATATCCTCTGAAAAACAGAAAGAGATAGACCATGAAATAACAAAGCAACAAGCAGAAGATTATGATAATGAAGAAAGCGAAGAAGAATTAAGAGATATAGATCAAGTTGTCTTTGTTATTCATGGGTGAGTTATATCGATTAGTGTGCTCTTGTTACTCAACTAATTCATACTAGCATAGGACAACAAATGTCAGAACGTATGGGACAAAACTTTGTTCATGGTAAATATCTTTTTCTTTTGAATAGAACTAAACAAGATTCACTTAGATGTCAATGTCTTGAGAAAGACAATCAAATCAACATGGCCAATAGCAGTTTCAGGCACTAGTGCTTTAGATCGACCTAATGGTATCCAAGTACTACCGATCCTCTGGAGAAAAAGTATTATTTTTGGGACAGACGAGGCAGATAAAGACAATGCATGTGAATCTGATTTAGGCACAGTATCTGATAGTGATGACGGATGTCCTACCATTGATGAAATTACGCTGGAAGGCGCGCCGAATATCCGTACACTTGTATCAGACGTCTTTCTTGATAGTAAGTCTTGACTAAACTACAACGCATACTGATAGTTTTGCTAGTTCCATTATATATGACCAGTAAATACCATGAATTGATGATGCAGGTTGTAACAAAGGAAATTAACCGAGTCTACCATCTGTTTATTGAAAGAAATCCTCAGTTTTTAAAGAACAACGGTCAAGTTACTATTTTAGCTCATTCACTTGGGGTAGGTTACATAAGACGACAAGACAGTTTTATCTTATAGCTTATAAGTCATTACTTGCATTTGATATATTGAGTTGCCAACCGTTTGCACAAAAACAAAAACCAAATACATGGGCCAACTTTTCATTCTTGTCCTCAGAGAGTAGCACCAACAATACCAAAGTACCTAGCTTATCTTTTTCTGTAAAGAATTTTTTTGCCGTGGGTTCACCTTTAGGTATGATTCTGCTTTTAAGAAGTAACAAGATTGTATCCAGAAAAACCCTTGATCGATCTCCACCCAACAACGACAACAAAACTCTTGTTACCTTTGTCTATCCTGCTGCTGATAATATTTATAACATTTTTCATAAATCAGATCCAGTAGCTTATCGGTTAGAACCTCTTGTAGCTCGTCACTATGGCTCTCAACTAAAGCCTATGCCAATTCCTTATATTAAAGGCGGACTTAAGCGTATGCTGGATGCAAGTTTCCATGTAGGCAATGATTTGGCCAATCGAGCAGGAGCCATGTTTGAATCATTTAAATCGGGATTCACGAGCAGTCTGATTATGCGTGGACTGGGGTTTTCTAACATGGTAGCTATGGAAGGCAGTGCTCAACAAGAAACATCATCTGATTTATCAAACATCGTATCAAAAGAAGCAGCCAAAAGTGCAGTAAAGCTACAACTTCTAAATCCTCATTATGGTCGCCTTGATTTCTGTTTACAAGAAGGATTACTTGAAAATGCTTATTTGAGTGCCTTAAGTGTTCACATGTCTTATTGGCAGGTAAGTCTAATATCCAAAATAGCTTTCCATGTTGATGTATATATATATATAGGATGTAGATGTAGCTGGATTTTTGATTCGAGAAATTTATAGGACTGAATAACAATCAAATAAAAAGCAATAGCTGATACATTTATTTATTGTGACCGAGTAAATGTAGTAGAAAGGAATTTTAAAGCGTTATCAAGGTCGCTTTCGTTATTCAAGAATTTGGATTGAGCAATATACATATCTGGGCGTACTACAAGAAGAACACTAGGAGGGTTTGGTGTAGCAAAATAAGACGAGATCAAAGGATACAGACCAATAACATTGGTTACTGAAATAGACGAATCCATTCTTTCCTCACTGAAAAACGAGTTTTTTGCCTCTTCCTGTTCTTCTTCCATGTCCACAAAAGAAGGAAACTGACCTGCTCGAAGCACATGCCATACTGATTGGATCACCAGACGTTTGACAGGATATTTGCGAGTTTTTTTCCAGAACTTTTCCATTAGATCCATGTTGGGCGTTTGGTTAGGAAGACAAGTACCAATAAAGATCACAGAATATGTCTGTACAAAAGTAACCAAGTCTCGAAGCGTATATCTTTGAATCAGCCCTGGCTTTTGATGGCGTGGTATAATACTCTTTCTTAAACGACCACAGTCAGGTACAAATTCACCAACACTTGTTAGGCCTTTGTCCGAAGTATCCATAATGTCACTTGTCTTGGGATCAATGGTCAAATTTAACTAAAACTTATAAGTTACTCTATTCAGCATGTCATTTCCTTTTACCTGCATCAAGTTCTTAAAAGCATAATGTCTTACTTGAGGAACCATCAAGACGACTGTCATAAAAGAAGCACGAAGAACTTGGGACAAATAACCTCCAGACGTACCAGTTTGTGTAGCATCGCCAGTCTTTTTGATGGTAGCTTTAATGATAGGTTCTCTCTAAAGCAGAAAAAAAAATGAGATTAAGGCTCAAAATTACGCTGTCTCTTACCTCATCATTATAAGAATTCAAAAGCTTCTCTGGGTCTGCTGCAACTCCTTTTAAGACATCTGACATTTTCCAAGCAAGATTGAATGCTAATAAATTCACAAGTAAATATACCATACTTCTATTTTTAAACTACTTACCATCTTGTATACCCATATTCATACCCTGTCCACCTGCTGGAGAATGACAGTGTGCAGCATCTGAAACGTATTAGCATGCGATCAACAAGCGATTGCTTACATACCTCCAACCAAAAATGCTCTTCTTCTTCGAAGTCCGTTTGCCATTCTCTCATTGATCTTAAAATAAGAAGACCAAACCAACTTACTCGCTTCAAACTTCATCGGAGCAGTCATCTTGTCCATCCAAGACTGAACAAATTCCAGAGAAGGAGTTTCTTGTTCTTTCTTGTCACGCAAGCCATGAGTAACCTCTGAAATACCTTCTTGGCGCTCATAAGCTTCAAGGTTACCAAATACCCGAAAGATAGGATTTTCATCTGTATCCGAAGGGTGATTGATACGTCCCATACCAAACATACCTAATGACGGTCATTAACTTATTGACATGATCAAAGACTTACTGTAATCATTAGTAAACAAATTGAACTTATTGTTTACTTCATGAATTTGATCTCCTTTTAAGACCAAATCTGCCAACGCAAATTTTGTTTGAATTGTTGTACCTTCATAAGTCCAATCTGGATCTCCTTTTCGAACTCTTGAGTGACTGCCATCTGCGCCCACAATATACTTTGCCTCAATCATGTGCTCTTGTTTAGTGTAAATATCACGCACAGTAGCCACTACCTTGTCCTCTTCTTGGACATAAGACACAAGCTCAGTATTCCAATGGACATCACATTCAGTGTCTTCTTTGATCCGGTTAGCTAAGAATTCTTCTGTCTTGCTTTGTATCATCAGTGTAACTTGAGAAAAAGGAGATTCACCGCAGGCTTCCATTTGGGCAATCTAATTAAATCAATATATATACATACATACATATATATACGGCTACTTACAGGTGCACCGTGTCGAAACATGCGTGTACCACTAAAGGCATAGGCCTCTGAAAGAAAACCGGAAGCCAAACCTTGACTTTCAAGGATCTCCAAAGTACGAGAAGTAGTTAAAAGAGCACGGCTTTGATCTGTGGGACCTGACTTTGGATCCACACAATAGACGGTATGACCACGTTGAGCCATCAAATAGGTAAAGAACAAACCAGTAGGACCTGCGCCACTTACAAAAATATCAACTTTGTTATTGGACATTGAGAATAGTAATAATAATAATAATAATGAAAAAAAGAGGAAGTTTCGAGTTTCAATATCTATATATATAGATGCATAAATCAATCGCGGAAAAATTAAATCGCCTTACTTGACGAATTTAACCGATGACTCAAATTATTACGGCGGGGATTCCGTCAAATAACGTGCCTTCAGGCTTAGACTGCGTTGACGAAAAACTTGGCCTGAACCGATAACCAATTGAATAGTGGTTTTTATAGGAATGGCCAATTACTCAAGCCTTTAAATTAATCGTCTTGCTTCTAATATTGTCCCTTTTACTACTAAGATTCTCGCGGACGTGCAGCTGCATTTATTCTATTTTTGTTTTGTTTAAAATGTCTACTAGCTTTGACTTGTCTAACTCGATCAGATCAGGAACAGATCGCATCTCCAAAGAAGTGACAAGAGACCTTGTTGTAACAAATATTGTTACAAAAGCTTTTTTAAACATATAAGATAAACACCTTCCTGACTCGATTGATTTACTAAATGGCAAGCATTCTGATGTTTTGGTACCCAAAATCGATAGACTCTGATCTCTCGCCTATTATTATAGAATTTCAGTAAGACGTCAACAAGAAGTTTATAACACGAGCGGTTGGGTATTATCTTCAGGCATAAAAAAGATTTAAAGTCGAGCTGATTCTCTTGGTTATATGTATCAAGTCGCTTTGCGTTCCAAGCTTATTCTTGCAGTGTTTAATGTGCTAGAAGTTGGTTTTAGATTAAAAGGCCGGCTGTACAATACTTCATTATTAAATACAAAATTCTCGAACTTTATGTTTTCCAAAAGAGTAAGACAGTTTGAAAATGGTAGTTTTAAGCCCAAGGGCACATTATATTAAAGTATCTATAGAAATCTAAACTTGGCAAAGCTTGTTTTCGTCAAGCATAGCAATGGAAGCGCCCAAGCACCATCCAGTTTCTGCTCCACGAATCTTCTTGGCTGTACGGACCAAACGATCATTTGGAATATCATAACCATATTTAAGCAAATTATGAATATAAGTCAAGTCAAGACAATAACTAGGTGTGTCTTGTAATAATTGGATTGCTTTGGGCACATGTTGGAAGGGCTTTGTTTCTCCTCGACAGACACGCTCAGTCAGTTCGCCTAATTCACGAACTGAAAATTCCGAAGGCATACCCAAGGGTTGAGTCAAGTCATAAAAGAAAGAAAACACATAGAGATCTCTGTCTTTAAAGGTGTCGGTGATTGGAGGTTGGTAGATACCATCAAAGGCACAGGGAGCCAGTTCACATAACTTATCCTTATTAAACACTTTTTCAACAATACCACGACAAGCTGCATGACCTGCACCTGTGCCTACCAATTGGATTTGAGTTCCATTTTTTAATTCTATGTCTTCTTGATAATCTAAAGGAAGACAAGGATGGTAGACTTTGCCAGCAATAGATGCAACAGATGCCCACGTGTCAATCATGGCTGCTTTAATTTGTTTGCGAGCTTCTTTTAAGCCATAACCTAAATAGGAGTGCTGATAGAGATTGTGCGTAATGTTTTGGTAATCTAGTTGGTATTTGTGTTCACCTTCGGACATACTTTCGGTAGGTACATCAAACATAGGCTCGAACACAATTTGTGTGGAAGCACCACCCAAATCGAAAATAGCTGCTGATTGTCCCAACTGAGTCTTTTTCAATTTGCCCAATAAATAATTGACGGTAATCCATGCATAAACACCTTCAGTATGGTAAATATTTACATTTCTGTTTTAAGATATGTTACCTTCATCTTTGCCGTCCATCACTTCTACACCATGTTCACCCGCAATTGGGAATGGATATGTCTCTAAATATTTACGGACAGCATTAAGAATGCGATCACTTTTTTCTTGGCCTAGTAATCTTAAACCTGCCGTGGCCTTTACAGCAATAGGTGTACATCCTTGCTTCTCTTTAGGCACACTCTTGACTGCAATGTCCATTAATTCCTTGAGAGATTCAGCAGCAGCTTGAGGATTATTTGGATAAGAAGACAAACCAGGTTCTAACATATGAAATACTTCATCTTCTAATTCTGGATCTCCATTACACTTTTTGAATCGATAGACATGAACACGGGAACCTGATGAACCAGCATCAATCATCACAGCATATTCAGTTGCAGGTTTTCCATCTTGTGTGGCTGAACATTCAATTTTGCTGATTTGATTTAAAGAAGGTACTACATTTTGATCTAAATTCTATAATTAGCAAAATTTCATTTTTTGGCTGAAGAATGATGTTACTTGCCTTTAGTATTTGGTGTAGGGGAATAGTTAATAGGTGGATAGACAAGTAGTAAAAGAGCAATAAACATAGTGATAGCAGCAGCACACTTCCAAAACAGACTCTTTCTGGTCTTGATAGAGGTCATCATGGTTGTGGCCTTTTTTTTTTTTTTTTCAAGTAAGAACAAAAGGAAAAGAAATGATTAAGAAAGGAGATAGAAATAGATATTTATACGCTAAAATTAAAACGCAGTTCGAGAAGGGATATATATATAGCTGCGTGCATCATTGTTTACAGTGCATATCATACTTGATGCCATATTTGACATAACCAAATTATAGTATGTAATAATATCTGCTCGACATGTATTAATGCTTGATCGATAGTCCATAAAATAATTACTCTTGTCTTTCTGTCGATAAAAGGTAAGTCCTTGACTGCCTGTTTTTGGCCTACATCCACTCAGTATGACAGTGTGTCTGCATAATGATTCTCTATTGACAAGAACTGTAAAGCTGCTGGTATTTTTTCTCTTTTTATGAGAGATGATGATATTTTGTACAAATAGAAAATATAAAAGAATCAGAAAACATACAAAGCTTTTTGAAGCATCACTTTAAATACCTAGAAACTATGTTTACTAACATTTATAGTACCTTTGGAATTGATTTGGACAAAAAAAAAGCGACTGTAAGTTTTGGCCAAAAATCACTAATCCAAAGGGTATTACTCATGAAAAAAACTCGTTTGAAAACTTCAAATCTTCTTTTTGACGCTACATAGCAAAAAATAAAGCTATTGACAAGCTTAAATACTCGAAATGTGCGTCAAAAGCTTTAGTTTTTGGTTAGTGTGTTTGATTACCAATTGTACCATGAAAATAATGAGATGTGAATGAAAAACCACATAAATATTTCTGTCTATTTACACAATATTTTAGCATCAAAGTCTATGTGTCCTTTATATCAACAGGTTTAGAAAGCAACTATCTACCGCTTTTTGTCACTACACTAAAGCCAGACAACCGCGTCTTTATGTAGTTTTCAGCAAAAGCTCGATTTTTCATGTGGCTAGATGAATTGAAATTGCTCTATTTCAATCTCCACACCCAGCCATCCTGTATGTCCTATGTCCATTCACTCCCACATTTACATCACAAAGTGTCTTTATTTCTGTTTTCCTATGTTTTTTGGTACTCAAAATAGCATAATATACTTTTCATAAGTTTATTGCTTACAGGTTTTATATTACATAAATCAAAAATGCTCAAAACGCAGCTTAAACATACCATTCTTTGATGCGCTATTACTCGACAACCAGACAACTAAAATGACCTCTTTTTTCATTTAAAACATGTTCTTTCGAGTCCAGAAATCGGACGGTACCATTAGTTTAATGATTGTGTAAAGCTCATTTTTTGACCTATGGAGGATTCACGAGAGGTTCGTGAAGATGAAAAAAAAGTTCATGGGAAAATTTTTGGAATGTCAAATTGACCCCGGTGTGGGTCTAATCCAACTGAAATGAGATAAGGCCATCTCTAGATACTTCTCATGAAAAGAAAGTGAGTTTACCAAGATGAAAAGGGTGACTTAATTTGCGCATTAGCTTTAAATATGTACTCAAAATGTATTGTACACTGTAATCAGTACAAAAGAGGCCCTTTTAGTAGATACTGCTTAATAAACTGGCAATTATTCTTGTACTATTCGATACATAAAATATAACTGAGCAAGATACACTATAGTACTTGGCTCTTTTAATGTTAGAAACAACAATTTTGGACATGATAAACAATGAATGTCATGCAAAAGGAGGATTTGGTGTATCAAATACCAATTCTTCTTATTTTATGTCAATGGTAAGAACGAAGACTCATACTACATGGCACACAATTCGTTTCAAAAGATTGATGGATCACTTACGAAAAAGTAGTTTAAAATAACATTCATTGTAAGTGTTAGCCTTCTAAAAGTAGTCTTGGCGTTTTTAAGCCTTTGTTAAGCATTTCATGATAACATACAATATAATAAAAAGCTGCGATATCTTAATAAATCAGGAGTTAAAGGAAATCAAAGAGTTTTCAGCTTATCTGTTATACAATTCTTTTTGATTTCGAAAAAAAAGATATCCAATGTTTTTTCTGCGTGACTATATATTTTAAAAAGTAACAATTTTTTTTTTCTTTTTGATTTTCAATACTTACACTGTTTGAAGGAAGATGGAAGAGCCTAGTGATGTGAATATGTCTGACGCACCAAATGGAGAGGAAGCTCCTTTCGGTTTGTCAAAAGACGAATGGAAGTTTTATCAATTTGTTCGCAGTTCTTTAAAGGTAAAAAAAAATAAAATAAAAATAAAAACAACACATTATTTGGCATAGAAAACTAACAGAATATATACAGGGCGTCAAGTTCACCGACCGTCCTGAAGATATGGACGTTCAAGCAGCTTATTTAGCTATGAATGCATTATTAAAGAAGGTAGATAATACAACAACATAGTTCGTTCTAAAAATCAATGATCAGAATGCTTTAGAAGTGATCCAATTAAATGGTGAAAATATGCTAAAAGCAATCGACCTTCGAGACGCAGAAAAGTAATACCTTAGTCTACCATGAGTTTTGATTTAACATGTCTTATAGAGCAAGCAAGCTGACTGACGATGCACGAATTGTGTATAATACCATTCGAGCTGCAGGAAATAATGGTATTTGGACCAAAGATTTGAAAAAGAAAACCAATTTGCATACCATTGTCTTGAATCGTACATTAAAATCTTTGGAACAAAAGCAGGAAATCAAAGCTGTCAAACATGTTAAATATCCTACTCGAAAAATCTATATGCTGTATAATTTAACTCCTTCCAGTGAAGTTACTGGTGGTGCCTGGTATACAGATCAAGAATTAGATATAGACTTCATTGATAGTTTGAAGGCTGCTTGTTTGAAATATATTACTTCAAGAGTAAGTTGATTATCATACTGAAAATAGTTATAACATGTACATGTAGAGTTTCCCTCGTATTGAAGGTATCAATGATGCTGTCTTTGGTGCTGATCATGAGCATTATCCAACTGCTACTGAAGTCAGACGCTTTATTACAGAATCTCGCATCTCATCCATTGATTTATCTGTGAAAGACATTACGAGTTTATTGGATGTGTTAGTGTACGATGGTGTTGTGGAAAAAAAGCTTCCTTTTATGGCAGGCATGGAAGATTTCAGTGACGATGAAGATGAAGGCGAAGACACATCTGTTCAATGGTCTTATAAAGCCATTAGAAAGGTTGCTAGTCGTTTACCGACTGAAGCATTGACAGAAACGCCTTGTGGTAAATGTCCTGTTTTTAGCTTTTGTGTGGAAGATGGTCCAATCAATCCTTTGAACTGTGAATATTTCAAAACATGGTTAGATTGGTAAAAAAAAAAAAAAAAAAAAAAAAAAAAAAAAAAAAAAAATAGACACAAAGAAAGAGAGAGTGACAATGTAAATAGTTAGAAAATAAATAAATAAAAGTGCATTACACAAAGTAAGTTTATTCTATCCAATCTCTTGTTGCTGCTTTAAATACATGTTGACCCATAAGACGTGTTACAACTTCACCCATGGCTTCATGCTCTACTACGACCTCTGTAGACCCAGCAGCGTAAGTATGCCAAAATACTTGATTTTCGGCACTTTGTTGTTCTGCAACAGATGCAGGAGTTTGCTTGCATAATTCTTCATATGTCTGCTTCCATCCTGATGTTTGCTTTTGCTGTAACATGCGTCGAGCCATTTCAGCCGAAGGTAACGAACAAGGCAATGATGTTTTTGTTCTTAAGGCACAAGCAAGTGTAAACAAATACAGGTGAATAGCAGACGCCATTTCTTTTCGATAAGCATTTACAGGATTCATAATGGCTTTACGTACACTTTCTGTGATAAAAGATTGAGCCTTTAGAATATGTTCAATCCAATAAAGAATGTTGCGCTCATGCTCCAAAATTAAACCATATTCTTTAATAGGAAAGGAACCTTTTGTCAAGCGAGGTTCATCGCCAGAAAGAACCAGCATTTCTTGCACTACATGTATCTGCCTTGCTAACGTCTTTTGGTTTGCTTCACATTCTTCAAGTGTGGAAAGATAACGATAGGATTTGACATTCGATTGACATACAAGAGAAGCGACACGGGAGTACTGAATACCAGTGGCAATCAGTAAGTCAGCCAGACTAGTACGAAGTTGCTTCCTAGCCCATACTGGCCAAACAAGTTGATTCACAAGCATCACGACAATAATGGCAAAGATAGCAGTGATTGTACGCTTCCAAACAGGATCAAAGATGGATTCATTCATGGCATTCGTATAACCAGTGGAGGTAATGACAGCAAGTGTCAGGATAGAAATAAATCCAATACGAGGATAAGGCGATCCTAAGAACAAGTACCACATGGGGATTTGCAAAATAAGGACCATAACAGCCAATACATAAGGGTTTTGATTTCGATGAGCTGCCAACAAACAAATATAGCCGGATACGCCACCTATAATGGTAGCTATCACACGATAAAAGCATTGCCATACAGTAGATCCTACTGTATAATTGATGACGACCATGGCTGATAACAGTGCCCATTGACCGTGGTTTTGATTGTATAAAACGTTAACGCCGGGAATAGGTAAAAATGCCATCAATGAAAGAAGCGAGGTAGTAACCATGAACTTAAAAGCATAACGTGTGGGACTGTACTGAAGCCATTTGTTAAACTGATACAGTTTCTTTTTCCAAATATGTTTTCCCTGGGCATGTTGTAAAGGCTTAACTTCAGGCTCTATAAACTGTTGATCATCACTTGTGTCTTGGATATGTGATGCAATTTGGCTTGCTTTTCTTGTCAGAGTCAAATTAATTTGTTCCTCTTCCTCCCCTTCTTCTTGGGTTTTTTCGCCATCCATAAAGTGAGAGAGACCATCAGTAGAATCATGTTGAGAATGACCAGTTGTGTTTGCACGATGTGTTTCTCTTAGTTCCATTTCTCGACTATCAAGAATGGCTCTTTCTGACAAGGTTTGACCGCCCTTTTGATTAGATTCTCTACTAAGCCATCTTTCCCAATGAACACGAGAAAAATGAATTCGATTGATCCACCATTTGCCTTGATTACTATGTGAAATCAGTTCTTTTGTTCGGTCTTGCAGTACAATCAATTCCTTGCCAAATTCCACAAGTGTATAAATGACAGTATAGACCAAGAAATGGTCTTCTGTAGGTGATATATCAGTGCGGTCATACTCTTGTTTCAACAAGATTTCAGTCTGTTTAAATTCTTGTAAGGCGCTTGATAAATCAACTGGTCTTGTGTGATTTGTTGTCTTTTGAGCTTTTTCTTTCTGGACTGTAATAGCCTTGTTTTGAACAAGTTCTTGTTCGATCTGATGGAGGGCGTCAATACATACGGATATAAATCGCTTTACAGAAGGCTGAATGCATGACTGAAGTCGATCAATATCTTTGTATTCTCTTCCATGCAACAATGTGTCTCCTGATAAAACGCTTGCATGAAGCATATGGTCATGATATAAAGCCGCTGTTGTAGGCAATACAGTTTGTGGTATACGTTGTGTCTTGCTGGCTGAAGAAACTGCTGTTGAGAATGCTACATCGTACATTTCGTGCTCGTCCTCTTTACTCATAGACGGTTTGCTTAAATTCTGCAAGTGTGCCTTCACTTTCTTTTCCAACATGATACGTACTTCGCGCTTGATCGATAAGGAAAACCCAAGCAAGTTGTGAGAAAGTTGCACAATCGATGCTGCTAAAGGCTTGTAATGTTCGGGCGCATAATAAGATACAACAATTTCGTATTTAGCATCTTTCTTTGCTTCTTTCATACTAGCAATATCTTTTTGTAACTTGTTGTTTAGGTTTTGAAGCTTTGTGCTTGCTGAAATATCACCAGTGATCACGTTTGATTCATCGTTCTTTAATAAGTCTTGATGCACAAAAGAAAGCACTTGCTTAATTGATTCTATAGAATTGCCAAGCGAGCGTCTAAGATATACAATGAGTCTTGAGAAAACTTTATCAAATATAAATATTTACTCTGCTGCCTTTGCTGCTGTTTCAGGCCAGATCAATAAATTACAAAGCAATGCAATCGCTCCACCAATCAATACTGGATAAACAGTATTGACAACATTCAATACATTGTATTCTGTGCTATAAATATCTCTTGTCAACACAAAAAAGGGTAACGTAAAGCCTTGAAGGGCAGGAATAAAGAGTCTTGGATATTTCAGTCTGTAATAGGCTGTTAGAAAAACGCACAAAGCAAAACTGATAGCACCAATCACACCAGCACCATTACTGTACAGAGATGGATGTGTGATAAGTGCTCTATTATAAAGTGTACATAGGTACGAAATGATACCAGTGAAGATAGCAGGAGGCACCATCATCACAACATTCAACACCATCATTATAATTTGGTTTCCTGCTGTTCCACTCGCATGAAAGAACAATGTGCCCAGCGGCACAAGGTAAGGTGGATTACCTGCTGCTCGGTTGACAGCTGGGATTAATATTAAAATAGTAGCAATTTCATATGCAACCACACATTTAAAAATCTTTTTCCAAAGCTCTTTTTTGTCTTGTAAAAGACACAGTGGCGATTTCATTTTAAAGAAGAAGAAAAAAGGGTTTTATTGTTTCTTAAAAAAAAGAGCGGGGAATTTAACCAGAAGAGCGCGGCTTGAGCCGATGTTGTTTTATGCTGATACGGTTAAATAATTCAAGCAGAAACTAAACCTTCTTTCCCCCTTTAAAGTACCTGTATCACACTTGTCAAAATAAGCAATGCTTTGCTCAAAGCGGTTACCACTAAGCCATTCAAGATTAATATATACCTGGAACCTGTTGCTGTATAAAAATAGATGCATATGGTACAATATGATTTTATTCTTGGTTATTAGCAACAAATGTAACTACGCCCTTAGGTCCAATTTGAGCATAGTAAGATGGGCGACCATCAATAGACTTTTGAGCATAGCCGGGATGTTTTTTCTTTGTGACATTGAATCTGTCAACTGGTTCAGGTGGACCAGGAGGGAAGATATCATTTGATTGCTCAAATAGCTGTGAAGCAGAATCATTAACAGCAGCCAAGGCATTCATTCTATCACATTAGTGTTGTTTTGTGTTCCTTGTCACTTACAATCTGGATTTTTCAAGACGAGGTTCAACACGAGAAGCCAAATAAAAGTCGCCAGGACCCTTAAGCTTAACGAAATCCTATCAACATGTAAATAAATCGTTATGAAATGCATTCACATACAGGAGCACCAAGGATCAAGTTGCGTAAGGTTCTTGAGAGACTATCTAAATACTGTAATTTAGGTTGAAGAGAAGGACTATCGACAATGTTTCTAAAGACTTCATACTGTCTAAGTTTGGATCTTGGTGAAGGGACAACAGGTTTTACAGAGTGAAGTCGGGTAGGGTTCAATCGCTTATCCCACATAACTAAACTACGTGGATTTGCTTGATATTCTTCACCAGCAGCAAGTGCGATACGATAGATACCACCATAATGACTGATAGCCAATGTTCCTGGACCACTCACAGTATGAATCAACTTATTGGCTAAACCCTACTCATATCAGCGCAATGTCACGAGGTTCATGACTTACTGCTTCATCCTTATTAATGCCCAGATCAAATGTCACTTTTTCTGTCTTGGCTAAAAAGGCATCACGTCGCAAAATGTACTTTGCACTGTTCTTCAATTGAATTGTTGTGATTTCTCCAATACGCTGAGGAGCTAATAAAATATCGCCTGCTGCATTTTTGGTATAATACTATACTATGTTATGACTCAAGTTCCTGTAGGTCATAGCTTACTTTTTGATAAAACATGGCATCTCCTACAAGTTTTCTACCAATTGATTTTACAGTGCTTTTGTCAAGAGATAACTTGGAAACTACTTTAGTGGATGCACCCAAAGCAGAACCAGTTGCAGCTGTAATTTCTGCTTCGGGCGGTAACTATCAACAGATCTAATAAGCACATTTGCTTAATCAAATAGAGTATACCTTGACCAATAATGCGGACCCTATGCTAGAATTAATAGACATATACAAATATGTGTAGATATTTACCAACGCCAGAAGAAACAACTTCAAAAATAGGCTCTTTTTCATTTGCCATATCAACGTCTATATACGCTTCGGTTAACAAGGTTGTTAAGTTTGTTCCTTTAGTTACCATTGCCAACTTGGGAAATAGTGCTTGTAGGGCCGTTGACAGTGTGTTGAAAGGATCTCAACGAACGATCAATAGTCTCCACAGTTTCCTGCTTGTGCTGCTGGTTAAAAGCAAGACCAACATAGGTACGTTGCGACGGTTTTAGGGTAGTCAAAACACGTCTGTACATTGTATTGAGTGAGAGAAAGAAAGAAAGAGTTTTTTTTCTAACCCCGGGGTGTTAAATAAACATGCAAGTCATTTCTATACGCGTTTCTTGTTTCTTTTTTTTTATAACAGAAAACAATATGGCCAGTGTAAAGTATTGTTAGATACCTTATACTCATAACTGACTTTTCTGTTGTTAGCGTCAACAACAGCTAGAGAAAGCACAACAACTTATGGAGTTTGCTCAGTTGAGGTAAAACGATATAAAAAAAAAACGAAGGATGTATTTATTCTATTTCTAGTGAAAAGGATAGCATAAGGCTATTAAAGGCTTCCAACTGGGATATCAACTTTGCACTAAACAACCTCTATGAAAGACAGTTCGCTCAACAAACCAACAATACACAACCAACAAAAAATTATACCCAACAAATTAAAGCTATCTTTGATAAATATAAAGGTAAATAATTATTTTTATGCAGGTTAATCATGCTCACTACTTTAGACAATGAAAAACCTGATACGATTAATGTGGATGGAACAATGGAATTATGTCAGGATCTCGATATTGAGCCTACACAACTTGAATTCTTATTGCTTTCGCAGCAATTAGGCTCAGAAAGAATGGGCGAATTCCAAAGAGAAGCATTTATTCGAGGCTGCCTTACGCTCCAAGTAGATTCGATTGATAAATTAAAGAACGAATTAAACATTACATTAAAGCAACGGTTTGAAACACAAGAGGGATTCAGAAAGGTTTATAACTATGCTTTTTTGATTGGTAGACAAACAGGTCAAAAAAGTTTATGTAAGTCTTGATTTGTCTTGACATTGACTTATATGTCTCAGCCTTGGAAGCTGCTATAGAACTATGGCGATTGCTGTTGACTGGGAAATATAGTTTATTAGAAGATTGGATCCATTTTTTGCAGGCAAGTGGTTTAGTATTAGACTATACAACTCACAGTAAAATAGGAAAAGCACAGAAAAGCTATTTCTCGCGATACTTGGAATCTGGTATGGGGATTTTCAAGAGAATTATTTGCGCTTACCTATTCTATATAGTTTTTGGACTTTGCTGATCAGACAGAAATAGACTTGGAGCATTATGATTCAGAAGGTGCATGGCCTATTTTAATTGATGAGGTAAATAGAGTAATAAATCATTTGTTTATTGATAGACATGAATAGTTTGTAGAATACAAGAAACAACAATGATTATCCAAAAGTGCTTTCACCAGCATATCTAGTTTTATATGAGTTTTATAAACACTCGTAAGGAGATACTTGCGAAATGTATAAATAACCATCTTGATCTTTGTATTTTTCATACACACTGCCCATGGTGTCTACATTTATTAATGTTTTCTAAACCTAAACGCTTTATTTTACCTGAGGCAATGGGCAGTACAGTGTTATTGATGAAAACAAATAATGCTTGATCATGACCAATGTTTGTCTTTTGTCGAATGACAAATACAAATTGTCCCAATGTAAAGTCTTTTGGGACAAGGAATTTTCTTTTTTCATCAGTGGTACATGGTTGTTATGTGCTCTCACAAATAACGGGGATACGATCTGCAAACTTTGCTTTAATACGAGCAGCTTCTTTCGTTCTACGGTCTTTCACAACTTTTATTATAGATGAACATATACAATTAAAGTGCTTACCAAATGGAATTTCGTGTTTATAATTCATATTTTTAGAATGAAAGGAGAAAAGGAAGAGAGAGAGAGAGAGAGAGAGAGAGAGAGAGAGAGAGAGAGAGAGAGAGAGAGAGAGAGAGAGAGAGAGAGAGAGAGAGAGAGAGAGAGAGAGAGAGAATTGATTTATTTTATTATTCTATGTGATCATTGTCAAAAATCCTTTGTATTCTGGGTAAAATAGCTCTTCTCCATTGATCTTTGCATGCTTTTCCAGATCGACCTACTTCTAGACCAACGGCTGCCCAGTCAAACGAAGTCATATCAGACAGTCCTTTATGGTTCACAACCGCATTTAACAAAAGAGTTCTCATTTCTGCAGTCCAACGAGGTTTTTCTTTTCCATTCTTGCTGGCTTTATAGGAATCAGGACTGTTTTGAATTGGAAAAGTTGTTTCCATCAAATCTTCTTCTTCAAAGGATTTAATAGACTTTGGGGTATCTTGGGCTATGTTTTGTTGATAAATATGATATTTATTGATTGTATATTTTTGAGAAAGTGTCGGTAAACGAGCCATGCGAAGGCGGTCGTAAAATGAATCTGATAAAGCTTGTTGGGAATGATAATGGTTATGGTGAGAATGTTGGTTAATGCATTGATGATGATGTATGAAGCAGTGACGAAGTTGATAAGATGAATGCTTAGTTGAAGGAGATAAAGAAGGTTCCATGGGACTATGATCATGCCGAGACATATGAGACGGTTGTTGGATAGGAGCCAATGCCATCGTAGGGATACTTGTTGAATTATGTGCAAGAACTTGTCGGATAGGCTCAAGCCGAGTTTTATTCAATGGCATCTTTTGTTCCGGAAAAGTCGAAAACAAAAGTATGTTTGAGTCTTGGTTTTCAAATGGACTAGTGACAGAAGAAGGTGTGGTCATGCCATAATTGTGTTGTGGGGTATTTCTTGATTCGGGTGATATACAATATTCTCTCAAGTCAGCAAGTCCTTGGGCAGCATCATGTTCAGCCTGACTAGGTGGTGTAAGAAGCATTTGAATATTTAGTGATTATAGTAAATACAAATGAAACAAAAACATGAAGGGAAAAGAAAAATTAAGTTTCTTTTATAGACAAAAAAATAAAATAAAATGGTGCTTTGTCTTTATCAGGAAAAAAAAAAGAGAAAGAAATAAACACATGTTTTATCTGTCCAGAGATATAGATGAATGAACTTATCTCATTAATTGTCTTGAAAAAAATATGCAATCCTGATCTGTATAATGAAAAAGACTTCATTATCTATTACATGAAATTTAAGCATGTTTATTCTTTGTTTGGACATAAATTGTTCCATTATTAACTTTTTTGTCAAGCGTTTCTTTTATAGGTATAAGTCTAAGCAGTTGAAGAAACATTGCTAGTAAGCCGCATTATGTTGTATGTCAGACAGACTGTCATGATAAACATGCCATACAATGCCAGCAGGACAGAGCTAATCTTGGCAGAATTCCACTGATCATTTTCATGAATCTTGTAATAGAAGAGGCCAGGTAAAATAAACGAAATTGTTGTAGATCCTGTTGATCCCACAAAGGATAAGACCTTAAGAGAATGGAAAGAATAATGAAATTTAGTTCCGAGCTATACATCGATGTTTTGCTTACCAAATCTAGTTCTGTGATAGTGATGGCTACTAAATAACTTGCTATTAGTATAGTGGTTGTCATTGCGAAATATTTGAAAGCAGAAGGTGGCGGTGGTGACGACAATGGCGATGCTTTGAGGCCTTTGGAAGGCGATAGAAGAGTAAGGACTTTATCTAAAGAAGCACGGCAAGGATGCGCTTGAAGGGGATAGCTAAAAATGCATGATATTACCATTGCAAGGCGTCCTCCTGCAACAAAGTAACTGGGAGGATCTATATGGCTTGAGTAATTTGTATACATAAAGTTTTACATACATTCCATAATAATATTGCCTCGAACCTGTTTACCAAAGCTCAAATAGCCTAAAATGGCAATGGCTTCATATACAAAAGCTGAACCTCCGATAGAAGTAGCAATAACCTTATTGATTGCTTGTTTGCTATTATCTTTTAATTCATTATATACAGAAAAAATCTAGAATTCCAACATTTTAGGGCTCATCTCCTATTTTCTCCTCCTTTTCTTTTTGCAGATTACTTACATTTTGATGGCATGTAAAGGCAAACACAAACACAGGCAAATGACCAAGAATGCTCGCACTAAAACTGACCAATTCAACATCTTCCTTTTGTGGTAATGGGTAATTAGGAGAAACGTAATGGTACAAGACAATGACGCATAGGTAAATGACAGCCACCAGGGCTACCAAACTGGTATATTTCAATGAGTCCAGCTTTTTTAAGAAACTTAATGGCAAAATCAAAACCAACACGAATAGCGTGATCCAAAAACGTCGATCTGTCAAAAAATAAGCTGTGTGGGCATGATTTGAGAGTGAATCAATCACTTGAGGCATTAAATCACCGATAATGATCAGATAAGATACAGCAACACCAAAACATTTGATGGCAATGGCCAAATCAAAAAATACGGCTATTTTGGGCCATGTCAATTTAGAGATAGCAAAAAAAGATGCATTTCGACCTTCTGTGCGTGCTGCACATCTAGATAAAAAATAAAGACCGGTGCCTGACATGAGGGCCGAAAACCCGATCAGGAAAATTCCAGGTAAAATACCTACTGAAGCCATGGCGGAAGGCTGATAAAAAAAATTTACATAAGAAAACAACTTCAGCATATTTATCATATTACCATGGCGAGCATGCCTGTTCCTAAAATCGTATTTGCTAAGTTGATAATACAACTGATAGGGGTTGCGGTGGCGTGTTGTTCATAGTCTTGAACATAGATGGTAGTAGGTTGAACAAAAGGTGATGTAGAAGAGACCGAATCTTGAAGGAGAGGTTGACGATCTTGTTGAGGCACAAGCTCTAATCCAGGGTCATACTCTAGTGGTTGATATTCACTAGTAGTCATGATTTTACAAGAAAGAAAAGAGAGAGAAAAAAAGAAGGGAGTAAAAGAACAGCGAAGACAGAATCGCTCCGCTTAAACATGGTGATCAGTTTTAAGCTATACAGTGCGGCTAATAAATTTTGTCTGTTTTGCAATTTATTCATACCAGAAATATGGTAATGCTCTCAAAGAACAGGGACAAGCTGTCTTATGTGTATAAAAGAGGCTGAAAGTCAATAAGCCTTCTATCTTCGCATTCAAAAGGCTCTATGATGTTTCAGACAGACTTACGGGTTTAATGAGGGCTACAATAGGAATGATAATGACTTAGATTAAACAACGACCAAAAGAACAATTGAATTGCACCATAGGTGATGAAGCATTATGCATTTAGAAATGAAAGATTTCGGCCAAATTTTCGCTCAAATATGAAAGAAAAACGTAACTGATTTTTGAAGGTAAAGGCCATGTTAAATTCGACATACATCTTGTCGCAAGTGCTTTTGGTTTAAGAGAACACCTTGACAGGATAAATAACTGTCAATATAGAAAAAAAAACAAAGCTTACGTAGCCTGTGTACCGAGATCCTTACACTTTTCTCAACTTTTTCAGAGTAACAAGATTTACTATATCAGTTTTATTTGAATAAGAATTAAATAGTAATAAGAGTATATTTACAGATTGTGAAATCATAATGTTAATGTATCGAGAAGTCTATAAAGTCTTTTTCAATCTATCAACAGGATATCTCTTTGCGAGATAAGAATGGACTGGGCCAAGTACTACAAGCTTTTCATAAGCAAGGGCAGCAATCATATTTCCAACACAAAGGCCCCAAAGCTTCCAACGGAAATCAGCGGGCATAATGTTATGACCAAGAGGTGTATTATAAGGCTCAATGTAAGTAGGTGGAGGAGTATAACCAAGTTGTGTCAAGACTCCCTTTGTACCACAGTTGAATCTACAAGAAAGTTCAGTGTCAATGAAACAAAATAAGAAAAGGCTTACCTAAACAAGCAACCAAAACGATTGGGACCAGCTAATGTCCAGTAAGAAACAATGGCAATATAAAGCAGCCATAAAAAGACAAGAGCATAATTTCTCCAGAAGGCCTTACGGAACTTATAGCCGAAATTGAAAGCAGCTGCATTGTTAATGAATTGGAAGAGAGTGACAAGGGCAAGGACTTCTGCTTCGTAGTTATCAGCCAACAGCCACCACTTGGAAATATCAACAGCAGAAGCATCAAATTCATGACAACGGAACCATGCTTGCTTGAACAGCATAACAAAGGCACCAATTAAGAAAAGCCAGTTAATAGCCACAATACCCATAGCAGATGAAAGGGTTTGAGGACCAAGCAAACGAGCAGTAGGACGTTGACCTTCAAGACGCTTAGCGGCATGAGATTGAGAGACAGCCCAAGTCAATAAGACAGTAATAAGGACATCAATAGCAATCCAGACGTTTTGACTCATGGTGATAGAGAAATAGAAAGTAAAGATTTTGAGCATCATCATGACTTGACCATACATTACCAAGTACTTGTAATTAGTAATGGAGGTAGCAAGAGCACCACGACCTTGACGAATCAATTCAACGCAAGAACGAACACTACGGTTACTGGTGCTGAAAGGAGACACAATAGAGGCTTCTGCATCAGACATAGCAATACCAACATGAGCAGCACGAAGAGCACCACAATCATTACCACCATCACCAGTCATAGCAGTAATACCATATTCCATGTGAAGTTGCACACATTGAACCTTGCCTGAGGGAGTCATACGAGCAAACACACGGGTGTTTAAAAGATACTTTCGAATCAAATCATTTTCACAGAGCCAGTCAAATGCTTTACCAGTAACAGCCAGTTCATAGGATGTATGAAATCGATTTAGCATAACTTCGTCAACATTAACGTCAGAGAAAGTTTCAGGTTCGTCAACGTCTGTCCATACAAGACGATTCAGGGTCTTATCAAAGTCACCAAGCAGGACGCGAGCACCATCTTGCACCATTTTACACTGTCTAGCAATGTAGACACCAGTCAAGGCAGTATCACCAGTAATCATAATAGTACGAGTATCGCCACGCTTTAATTCCAAAATGTTTTCAGTCGTATCTTCTTTCAATTGATTTTTGAAGATGATCAAACCACAAAAGTTAATGTTCTCTTCCATTTGATCACGACTCCAGTTGCGGAAGCTTTCAAGTCCACCAATTTGTTCGAGATCTATTTCCCGATGAGCTAAAGAAAGTACATAACATCCTTGGCGAGCTAAACCTGCAGTAGCAGCGTCGTAATCCTTAGGAATTGAATCAGGGTTACATAGGTCCTTGATCTTTTCGTAGGCACCTTTGACAAAGATATGAACCTTGTTGGTATGAGCATCAAGTACAGCTACAGACATGGACATTCTAGCATGGACAAATTCGAAACGCTTTAATACGTGAACAGGTGCACCTATTTGACCGGGCTTCTCCATAGGTGGAGTCAATGTGTCAACATATTCTTCTTTTTCAGGCTCATCATGTAATTTCCATTTAGATGAGCGGAACATTTCAATATCAACAGGGTTACCAATAAACTGGCCGTTTAATGTTGTAACAGCATGACAAGTGGCAATACCGATTTGCATTAAACGAGGAATGTCTTCAACAGCATCGATATGGGCATCAAATTCAGGTTCAACTTGTTTGGCTCTTTGTTCAACAATGGAATTAATGTTAGCAATAGGCTTGGCACCAAAGAATTCAAGGCCCTCTTTCGTCAATGTGCCAGTCTTATCAAAGCAGAAGAGTTGAACTAATATAGAAAATACGGTTAGTACATCACTTTTTATAAAATGACGACTTACCTTTGCCTGCCATCAAAATACGAGGAAGGTCAACACAAAAGATGTTCTTCTTACGCAAACGACCAGCTGCAACAGACTGACCAACCACAAGGCCAGCAGGAAGCAAAGGAGAAACCAATTGACAGATAGCGAACATAGCATAAAACCAAGCACTGGTACCGCTGGTATAAAGCCAGATAGCCAAACCAAGCATGATCAAACCACAGCAAAGCAAGATTAAAATCACAATCTTGATTTGTTCATCGAAAATAAATGAAACACGGGTAGGAAACAAGATCTTCTTGACCAATTCACCCTTATCAGTAGCAGTACCTGTCTTTAATACCAATGCAGTAACTGGAGTGTCATGCTCAGTACGTTGTGCTTGAGAGATCGTAGTACCAGAGAAAATAGTATGAATTTTACCAGAGCCCATACTATCATAAGGAGTAGGATCATTGCTGCGAACAGGGAACTTACGAATAGGCAAGGGTTCACCAGTCAATGAACTTTCATCGGCAACAATGTTACCTGTCAAAACAATAGCATCACAAGGAGCAGTCTTTCCTTCCACAACCTCAAATACATCACCTGGAACCAAGTCAGAAGTAGAAACTTCTCTCCATTGACCATCACGCAAAATGTTAATGTTGTCTGTGAATTCGGCCATCTTCTTGATACGATGCTCAGATTTGAGACGAACAAAAACTTTAACCATAGCAGATACAAGAATGACAGCAGTGTCGGCAATACCAACTTGCCAATAAGCAAAGTAATAGAACAACCAAAGTGCAGTGAGTTGATAGATGTAAAAGAATGAAGAAAACTCACGAAGAATGGCCATAGCAATATTGGGTACATAGACCTCAATAAAGTTAGGGCCAACAAGTTCCTCACGATCCAAGGCTTCCTCAGAAGTCAAACCATCTGTCAATTGAGCAAATTCAGCATTTGTTTCACCGAGATTGAATTGGTGAGGTTTGAACATTTGTGTTTCAGGATGATAGACATAACGAGTACATTGGTATATAAAATACTTAGTTCCAGTACCAGTCTTTTGCAAAGGAGCAGTAGCAACAACAACATCGAGGCCAAACATGCGTTTACCGATGGATTCAAGGCGACGAACAAAAGCCATAATCTTATCATCATCTTCGAGGAAAATAATAGAGGGTTCTTTGCGTTCAACTTGAACATATTGTCCTTGATAATAAGCGCATTGAATACGGAAAAAGTTGGGAAGACGGGATTTAAAGATAGTAAGCGAGGCAAGCCAGATGAAAAATATATACCACATAGCAATAAAAGTACTAGACTGAACAACAGCAGAGCCACGGAAAAACAAGTAGTTTTGATAATAGTCATAAACCAATAAAATCATGTAGGCAAACATCCCGATCGTTTGCAAAAAGTACACGACGCAAACGAACAAACCAAAATAATCACGTTTGTAAGCCTTGATAACCATATCTTCTTGATCCGATATATAAGAGGAAGCATCGGAATCAGAGCGACGGTTGCTTTGACTATCCAAACCCTCTTTCTTTTCATCCACATTGTTGTAATCATCGTGCTTGGTTTCACTCACTTTTTGGAAATAAGTTTTGATCACCTTCTCTCTAAGCTTTTTATACAAAGTCCAAGCGACAAGGAAGAAGACACAAGAGCCATAGAACACATAAAGGGCAATAAAGACAGGTTCAGCAAATGTCAATTCACCATAGTCTGGAGTAGGACAAGAACCCCACATGACGGATGCTGGATTAGGATTCCAGCTTTCAATGTTTGAGAGACCAAGGTAGTTGGAGCAAGCAGCTTCAGTTTGTTCAGTCTTGTCGGAAGCGTTAAAGTTCTCAATATTGACTCGAGCGGCATCAAGACATTGGTAGATTAAACCACCTTCAAGAGAAGGAGCACCAGGACAGGAACATTTGGAAGTAATTCCAGTTGGACAAGAATCACGGCAGGTACCGTCAACACAATATGTCTGGCCAGCAGAGCATGAAGGACGCACAGATTCAGGACATTGGGAAATATCTCTGACACAAAGTGCAGGACAGGGATATGCATTGTAAGTAGGTAAAGGGCATTGGTTGCCATTTACATCATAACCATTTACTAAAAACGACATTGTGAACATCCCAACACATCCATAAAATAAATCTTACCTGTATTCCATGCTGGAGTTGCGCTCACAATAGGCAACAGAGCAATGAGGCAAGTTAAAAAATACTTGTGGATCATAAGTTTATGGGAAGTCTCTTTACGAATTATTTTATTATTTCTCCGGTAGTAGGATTAAATATAAAGACAAAGATTAGAGAGAGAGAGAGAAAACAATGATAAAAAGAGAAAACATGATTTAGTCTAGATGGCACTGGCTATATAATCCTTGATCGAAAAACTGGATCTATCTGGCCTTCAATCCTGATGGTACACCAATTGCCTTAAAGAAGACATATTGTTCCTTGAGCAAATATATAAACACCGCAAGTCGGTAAAGAAGTGTTTCGAGAAAAAACATGACTAAACTTGGAGAAACTCCGTCGGTGAGATCGGAAAAGAAGTATTCCCACTATGTCCCAGATGGTTGACAATCGAGATAATATAAAAATAAGAATATACCTTTACGGAATATATAAGTCGAGCTAGTCTTTAAACTGTTCGCGAAACTTGGACCGTTCAACGAGTATGTCACGCCATTGATAAAAAAAAAATTGTACATAGAACTGTTGTCAGATACGGAGTTTTGGCTTTGACGTCATGGCCATTTTGTTTGTGTTCAAAGATTGGAATCACAAGCAAGACTAAGATCCAATCAAGATCTTCATTGGCCACAGTTGTTCCAAATCGCTTTCATTTTTCAGGAAGGGAAAAAAGGGAATAATGGTTTTAATCCCAGGTGATATTAATGGCGTGAATACCCACGCCCTTATCCAAATTATTCAGGCACCTATCATTCGTATTGACTCGTCTAATAACAAAGTAGACACGGCATCACGATGCATGCTGTCCTCCATTACTTAACGCTACAAAAAGAAAACTGTCAAAAAAACAACAGTAACTAGAGTCAAATGCAAATAGAATTTTGAGCGTGATAGAATTAGGTTTAATTTTTATGCTGTCATGATGCTTGCCCTGAATACAATGACTTTTTTAGTACAATAAATCTACACACATACATATTTTACTCATATAGAACTTGGTATGTCTCAAATTCATAACAATTGTTTCTTTCATCATCAGTAATAAAAAAAAAAAAGAAGAATTTTCTAGCGAATGCTAAAGGCCATACCTGATTAAATCTCAGTAACAATTTCTGCTTTCTGACTAGTTCATAATGGGTTAGGCCGCTTCTCATTGTTTAAAGTTGCTGCATTTCAATTACCAGGTACTACAAAAATCAGAGTCTCTTGCAGAAAAAAAGAAAGTGGGCTTTCAGTTGAAAAAATAAAAAAAAAAGCCATGTGGCCTCAAGCATTTGGTGTCAAACTAATTTGAGACGTTGTATTAACAAATAAGCTTAACGAATTTAAAGTTAAAATAGACAGCTTAAGCTATTGAAATAAGACATGTAGTACATATATTTAAGCTTAGTAAATTAAGCAATCTAATTTAAGAATGAAAAAGCCTAGCTATAGCAAAATTCAGCACATATCAACTATAATAAAAAGACATTGTTAACTCCTTTCTAAAACTTATATCTTCAAGTTAACTGCATAATCTCTAACTTGGGCTGCTTCAAACCCCTTGTGTATCAAATGGGAAACGAAATAAATGATCCTTGTTCACTTAACAAATAAGCGGGTACCTTGATTTAAGCTTTGCTTATATGAATTTAGTACATGGGGCAGTGTCACAAATTTGATAGGAATTATTTGCATTTAATCAGACTACATGCAAAAGCTACATATATACATATATATATTTGAAAAATAGCATTTTGTAGGGACATTACTCAAAGCTATTTCTTCTTTCTCCAAAACTTCTCTTGTCCTTTTATTTGATGGTGTAAAGAAGGGTGAGATCAAAGTTCTTTGAGAAGGTGATCTAGGTAGACTAATAAAGGACTGGTGAGAGGTACTAAAATCTGACACAATAAACTGTCTATTTTCCTTGTATGCGGCCAGTTTGATTTCATTACTCAGTTTAATCATATTATTACATCATAAGTAAAAGTGTCATGAAGTGCTTCTGAAATCATCCAGTCCCATAAGGTCCTTTGAGATATATAAAGAGCTGATGTATTGTAAATTCATAATGTCTTTAAACCGGAAAATTTGTGCCAAATATCCTTACTTGCCTTTCCAGTTCATGTATAAGATACTGCTTGTTGTTTTGTTAGTGATGTTATGAATGTTGCCCAAGATACACCCGTATTCTTTGATTGTTGTTGTATAAAAAGGCTGTCATTAGCACTAAGAAGTTTATACTCTATAGCACATAATTTAATATTGATTTGACTGTGGTTGGTTTCTGTTATCGAAGCAATTCTACGGTCACTATTTTCTTCATTTTCATCCAAGATCTGTATAAATGATGTAGCTGTGCTGAACTTTTCACCATCATAGGCTTTTACAGTTTCATCTTCTAGTAAAATATCGAGAATGTTGGCGAACTTTCTGACATAGGTGCCTTCTGCTAAATCGTTTTCTTCTTTGGTCCAGGTCTTGAAGTCGTAAATCAATGATACAGCTATGCACAGATTCTTGTAATCTTCTGAGTCTTTGTCTTCCTCAAGCTGTTTCTTTTTATTTAAGTACACTACTGCTAAGCTTTTGGAACATTGCTCTAATATAGGTAGATGGGTGCCACAAAGATTGGTGTAATACTCCATGATACATAGGACACCAAGTAGATTTCAGCTCCAATGCACGCTTGACGCATTGCATCAATGTAGGTGTATTGTACTAAGTCATTCTTTGTATTACTTGGTGCCTGAATGCCTACATTAGGATCTTTGGACGTCAAGTTATGTAAAAAACGGGAAAGGTTTTGTGATATATATTCGTGATAATAGAATGCTAAATAAACAAATAAAAAAAGAGCAATACTAAAAAGTCAAGTTTTTATTATTATTATTATTCGTGAGTGTGCATAGTGCTTTTTGTAGTCAGTTAGCTCACAAATGGCGAATGACATGTCAAAAAGAAAGAACAATCGGCCAAATAAACTGAATAAGACTCTTTTTTTATATGTATTTGATATTCAATAAATAGACAAGGAGCAATTCAAGTTGTAATGTCGTCCACGTATTTTTTTTTTTTGATTACTTAAAAAGTACTTGAACTTGAGAATACCTACACCAAGTTTGGAGCATTATGTTCTTTTTTTTTTTTGCAATAGTGTAGACATTCGATGTTTGCAAAGTGACAATATTTACCGCTTTCACTGTATCTAAACTGTCAAGTAAAATCTAAGTAATTTCCTTATCCATGAACACAAAAAGCAGGACACAGATCCTTTTCTCTTTTGAACCTACTAAACAGCTTAGAAGATAAGTCTGTTTTAAATGCATACAAAAAATAAAAGAGGAAGCTCCTCTCTTTAACTTAAAGTAAAAGCTATCATCTTTATTGTCTCAGCACCCTTTTTTTTTAAGCACATTGAGGTGTACCAGAATAAGGACAACATGGATCAAGTTCATCTTTGATAGAAAAAAAAAAGGAAGAAATTATAAGTACTGATTTTTCTTTTTAACACTTACTGATGAAAACACATTTGGTGGGACAAGCAGCTGGACATGGTTTCATAGCCACACGAGGACAAGGGCGTTTTAAGCATTCAGAAACAGGACAGGAAGGGCGATTAGCATAAGGGCAAGGCTGATCCATGGGATAGATACAATTGGTAGGACAACGAGCAGGACTGTCAAATACAGTGAGTCTTTTTTTTTTTTTGGCTTACTTGTTCTTACCATGGAATAATGACAGCAGGACAAATGATAGGTTCAGGAGCAGGAATCAAAGGTTGAGAACCATTATGAAGCGCCACATTATCTTCTTGACGGGGTAAAAGAACAGCAGCGCTTGCGACCGTAACAAAGATAGCTGCCAACAATGTCAATTTCATTTTTTTAATAGACAACCAAAGAGAAAAAACGATCAGGAGTGAATAGGAGCATTTATATATTGTTTTGTTCTTCTCCTCCCCCTTTTTTTTTTCTATAGAGAACGTATGTAAATGCTTAGTTCACTTTTGAACCCTTTATGCTTATACTTTACATTTTTTTCTTTAGACCTTTTTTAGGGTGTTCGGCTATCCAATGTTTTTTTTATTATTATTTTACAGTCTACAAGAAATTGACACCAAAACCAAATTGAAGTTTGGGTTGAGGCAAATCAGTGGCATTGTATTTCAAAGGTATACAATAATTAGCTTCAACACGAGCAACGGGATGATGAAAGATCAGACCGAAGCCAACAGAAGTACGAGGTGTTTCACTCAAATGCTTTATGGTATCGCCTAAAGGAACACCTTGCGTATGTGTAGCTAAACTACCGGCATTAGCAAAGGCATGCAACTTAACATGATCCACATTAGGCAAACGAGCAATCAAACTAGCTCCTGCAGCCCAATAAGCTTCACCGCCAACGGCATCATTGCCTTCTCTTTCGCCAATGCCGCCCATCTTGAAACCTCGAACGCTTAAGGGACCGCCTAAGTAGAAACGATCTGAGACCGTCAATGCTTGTTTATCGCCCACAGAAGAAATCAAACCAGCGCGAATAGAGGTACTAAAGACAACATGCTCGTTCAAAGGTTGATGAACAGAGGCGTTCAATTCATGCTTGACGAATTGAGCATCGCCTTGGTCACCGAGTCCTGCTAATTCTTGGAAAATACCGAGATAATGACCTTGAGTAGGAAGAATCAAGTTGTCACGTCGATCACGAACAAACGAGTGGAAAACAGAGTGTTTCTTGTTATCGCCTGACTGCGTGCGAACACTAAGAACATATTAATCTTCATTCCAGTCTGGTGATTGACTTACAAACTAGAAGCGTGAGACAAAGCCAATACATCACGGTGTGTAATAGCATAAGCAACTTCATGTCGACCATAGCTTGACAATCCCTTGAATCGAACACCTGTAGCTTTGGTTGTCTCTTTGAATGCATTGATTTGAGAATGGTCACGAATGGATCCATTGATAAACACACCCACTTTAGTATTGGCATTGCCGCGGAAAGGTGTTTCAAAAGCACCCTATACTCGTCTCAATATCCAATGACTCTTTTTTTTTTGGGGGGGACTTACTTCAACAGCAGCTCTTGTACGATTACCAAATGCAAAACTAGCCAATAGAGATTCAGCACCACCAAACACATTTCTTAAACCAACACCACCGTTCTAAGCAAGACATCAACAGGTGAATATCCTCTCATGAGCTCCTGTTTACTTACGAGTTCTGCTTGATTGTTACCAACATTGATATTGGTTTGAAACAATCCTTTATCTTTTTCTTTTAAATGAAGTGTGACATCCACTGTATCGGCAGTTTCATGGTTTGTGTCGAGGTAAATTTTGATTTCCTCGAAAACGTCATGGTTCTGTAGCTGACTAGCAACTGCTTGTACTTGACGCATCACTTCTTCTGTTGTATTGGCAGTGAAGATAGTACCAGTGACACTGTTGAGGAAAGAGTGACGTGTAGCGTTGGTACCCAAGATACGCAACGTATTGACGCGAAGAGGAGCTTCTGCAGGTACGTTCTATTATGTGTACAGATATATAAATATTATGGTTTATTTACTCTAATAATGGTCATACTTTAGGAAGTGGTGTAGACATATTATGCAATTCACAAAATATAAAAAGAAAAAAGAGAAAAAAAATTATTTCAGTGGGGAAAATGCATTTTTTTTTTTTACTGCCCCCTTGCTTTACACAACAACACCTCCGCTTAAATCTCGCTCAAGATTTGAATCTGCTTCACTAGGATGAGTAACTAATTGATCTGCATAACCTTCTTGTTCAGAATATCGCATCTTTTTAGACATAGTAGGTGTAGAAATACTAATGAAATAAGTTGATGTCACCTTGATGTCTTTTTTTTTTTTTTTTTTTTTTTTTTTTTTTTTTTTTTTTTTACCTGTTATGTCTTTTTAATAAACCTCTCATGTCTATTATCAGACTGTGTCTTCTTGCTTTAAACATCTTGACTTCATCTATTAAGATGGCCTTCATATCTTCCAAAGTATGTGTAGGAGATTCGAATGAGAAATCCACACTAATATCATGCGAGGGTTCATCCAGTGGATCATGAAAGAGTTCAACATAAGGATGTTCAAGTGCTGTATGAGCATCAATACGAGCCATTGGATCTAATGTCAATAGTTTCTCTAGCAAATCAAGAGCTAAACATAAAAACAAACAAACAAACAAACATCAATACCATTCTTTGTTGATTATTGTTACCTTGTGAACTCGCATTGGGATATAGTTTTTGAGTTGGTATTTTAGTGAATATGGCCAAACTTTTAATGTATGTTTGTGCCTGAATATGATATAAGCATGGCTGAAATCCTAAAGAACTTACGCGTTCACTTCCAATACGATTTAGAGTAGCATCATCTGGTGTACCCAATATATATAAGATTTGATTCAACTGATCGACAACTAGTAAAAATAGCATAAGCCCTTATTTAAGCCATTAAAGGGATACTTACAGTCTCTTCCTTTAAACAGTGGTTTACTGCCTAATAATTCTGCAAAAATACATCCCAAAGACCACATATCAACTAAACATGTCAGACGCTATTGTTTCTTTATTTTATTTTACTTACTTGCTTTTGTATAATTCTTAAAGGAAAGCATGATTTCAGGTGCTCGATACCATCTTGTAGCTACATATTCAGTCATAAACCCTGTATCTCCCTGTCCACTATCCACATAACCACGGGCTAATCCAAAATCACAAATCTAAAGTTATCTGTTTAATCAAACAAGGGTCCTTTTCTGCTTGCCTTTAATTCACATTTGGCATTCACTAGCAAATTCGATGGTTTTAAATCCCGATGTAATACCTATTATGTAGTCCAATCAATCACACAATATGGTTATCATATCTACTTGCATTAGCACTATGAATGTATTTTAATCCACAACAGGCTTGATAAATAAAACTTTGACAGTGTTCATCAGTCAATGGTTGTCCTGAACGAATGATTTGATGTAAATCTGCTTCCATTAGTTCTTGATACAAATACAGTTCATTGAAATCTTCATAGTCTACGATGTCCATATCTAACAAACGAACAATCTAAACCATTGATACATGTCGACTCTTGTTTCTTTACATTTTTATGTCCATTAAAATGTTGAAGTAATTTGAGTTCTCTTAAGGCTCTTTTGGTCAATATGGGTCGCTCAAATAATTTATGGATCTATGCCGTATCAATTTGATATCAAACCATCAAAATGTTACCTTTTTAATAGCACATTTCTGTCCATTCTGTGTATTCAGAACAGCACTATTCTCTCTTTTTTTAATTGAATAACATGGCCATGACTTATATTTACCAAACTGTGCCATAAGCACCTTGCCCAATAGCTTTAACAAGTGTATATTTTTCGTCTATTATAAAAGTCTGATGACAACAATCTATTGCATGGTATCCCATCGTCAAGATGAACAAAAAAAAAAAAAAAAAAAAAAAAAAAAAAAAATAGAAAATTTATTTATTTTAATTCCAGGCAATGATTTCTCTAAATGTAAAGGATATACGCTTCTCTCTATGAATCACTTGATCTTGTATTGTCTCTATCAGATCTTTGGATATACTATGCTTGTATTTATATCTTGCATCCTCTGTCAAGATAGCCACAGATCTTCTTGCTATACACTCTATTAGATCAGATAGCAAACTATTTCCTTACGTAATAGAATAGGCACATGTGTATCTTCTAGTTCAAATGTCATGATACAATCTGATAATAAAGATAAAGAGAGAATAACAGGTCCAAACAAAGCAGGTGCATCTAATCAGATCAATCAATATCATATTTTTATAAAACATATATATATATATTTAGATATGTACCTATATGTGGCATAATGCCTTGTCCTGGATTGTATTCATTCACTAATAAATGATTGGGTCGATTTGGCATCCATGCATGTTGCATAATACGGTCGACTAAACATTGACTAAATTCAGGCAAAGGACCATACTCTTCAAGAACTTTTCTGTTTCTAGATAAGCGTTCATATAGACACACATGATACCATTTACCTATATCGATAACTGAATAAATGACCATATTGTTGTGTTCTTCTTTTTAATTCTGGATTTGGTCTAAAAGGGGAATTTAATCCTTTTTGATATATTTTATGCATGTTACCCTATGCCTAAACCAGACCATGGTTGTTGATTGACTGCTTTGACCAATGTTTCTTCTTCTTGTTCAGTAACACATTCACAAACAACAAATAGCCCGGGAACTTGATGACTGTAGTCTATTGTATACATAGTTTACAAAAAAAAAAAAGAAAAAAAGGGAAAAAAGAAAGAGTCACAAAAGAAGGGTAATTTTCTTTTTTTTTTTTTTTGTTCTCTTTTTCTTTCGTGTATCAATATGCCAAAATATTACTGTGGTAAGTATGAACGAAAGGTCTTATAGAAGTATTATTAAACACAAAACTATAGAATACTGTGATATTTTCTTGACACACGATAGCTGTAAATATCTAACATCTATTGAACATGAAAGCTCATCTTTTTTTTTAATGTAGCATCTGTTCGAAAAGCTCATAATGCAGGCAAAAACCATATTCTCAATGTACGCAATTACTATGCAGGTAAAACAAAAAAGAACAAAAGAAGAGCGCGTTATTCATAGGGTATATCCTATAGAAATAAGTCATGATAAAGCACAGGCAATTATTGATGAGATCACAAGAGCATATGATGTTGCTGAAGCAGGTAAGATGTCATCATAAGAGAGAGTATGTGTTATCAACGCGTAGTATAGTATTACCTCCTCAGTATGCTGGATATCCTCAACCTCCTTATGGTGCACCATGTAAGTAGAATTGTTCTTTTTTTTTTTTTGTTTTGTAACATGTTTGTAGTCCCACCTCCATTTGGCGGTAGACCTCCACCTCCTCACATGATGGCTCGACCTGGTTTTCCGCCACCCTTTCCACCACCACCAGGCCAATTTATGCCACCACCACCTGGATTTAGACCTCCCCCTCCTCCTCCCCCGTCTCAACAACCACAAAGACCACCTCCACCTTCTAATACAGCTCCACCTGGATTCTACCCACCTGGTGCTCAACCTCCCCCTCCTCCTCCACCTTCTTCTTAATCATAATCATAATAAAAAAAAGAGAAAAAAGGGGAATCATGTAGATATAAAAAGAAGGATGATGTAAGCCACGTGTGTGTGTGTGTATATATATATACGCCTATTTTTTATTTTATTTTTTATTTTTTCTTTCTTCGTCAACATAATGGGTGTACTCTTCTCAAAAGAAAAGGTAAGAAAAGTGTATTCAACACGAACTAACCGAGTTAGAATGACTCAAAAAACTTTGAACAAGTTCTTTCAAGACTCGATGCCGATATTCAAAAAGCAGAAAGTCATTTAACACAACTCAAAATAAAACAGAGAAAAACGAGTTTCATGTGGATTATTTATTCGTTGGTGATCTGGACTGTCTGTGTCTTGTATTTGTTTTATCAGTGTGTAGATAATAAACAAGAAAACAGCACACAGGATGTGTTGTTGGCTGCTTTGCCTGTCATTGGTTTACCTGTCGTGTAAGTAGTAGAATACGAGTATGGGAGGGGGTTGTATGTAACTGTTATTTAGTATCTATCATGTACGTCGATTGTTGGTTTGGTGGTATGAATCAAGACAGAAAAAAGAAGAACTTCATTTGGCCCAGTTGCGTAAAGAACAAAAGGATAAATTGGAAGATTTGAAAAAGAAGACAAGTTATTATACAACACAATCCTTATTGGAAAAATACGATGAGGCACAAAAGAAGAAAAAAGAAGAATTAGCAAGACAACAACAACAACAACAACAACAACAAAGAAAGCCTGTCTCTATGCCCATGAGACCTCAGCCACCATTACTTCCACAACAACAACAACAACAACAACAAATGCAAAGAATGCAACAACCTATTTTACCTCCACCTCGTACTGAACCTCAATGGTATGATCGTATTGTCGATGCTTTAGTAGGGGATGTGGGTCCCGAGACTAAATATGCTTTGATTTGTAATCACTGTTTTGCTCATAATGGACTTGTGATGAAAGAAGAATTTGATACGATTCGTAAGAACCAAAAAAAAAAAAAAAAAAAAAAAAAAAAGGCTTATCTGATCTTGTCCTAGAATATGTGTGTCCTCATTGTAAACAATTTAATCCTTCCCGTCAATCCAAAATGATTCCCCAACAAGAGAAGAAAGAAGCAGTAGAAGAAGAGAAAAAGGATGTTATTGAAAAACAAGATAGTATAGAAGAAGAAAGTGATGAAAAAGTACTTGAAAAGATAAAGGCTGAATATTTACAAGACAATGATCCACCTACAATTGCATCCCGTGTTCGACAAAGACATACAACAACAAATAAAGACTAGTGACATTGAATTGATTTATCACCCGTAAGTCTACCTTGTCCAAACACAAAATGTCCAAAACCTGCTCCTAACACAGTTGCTATCATTAAATAGCCATTGTATGTCATAAACACCAACATAAGCCAGAAACTGATAGCTACCAAGAGAGCATATATGCTTGATTGAATAAATCGTCTTTTACTGGATAACCTACATATATAAAGAATTAGATGTGTTATGATACATAAGCTTACTTGTTGTGTTGTTGATAAGCATGAACAAGGGATCTTTGTTCACCTACTGCTACTTCTTCTTCTTCTCTTTCTTGTGTATTACGATGTAAAAGATATTCTGCCTCTTTCCATTGTTGATCTAATCTGATTGAATAGACGCGCATCCATTCATAAGCAGCCCCAATCAAAAAGATGGCAAGACAAGATAAGAACATAGTAAATGGACCTGAGATATGCCACCAACGAAATACAACACACGTATTTTCTACTTGCCAATTAAACAACATCTATACAGACACTAAGCCACTGCTTATATACCCACATATATACACATATAACATACATTCATACTACAAGTAGCTGGCATATCATGGTGTCCAGAATGATCCTCCATTTTAGAATGTAATGAAAAAGAAAAGAAATAAATAAATAAATAAAAAAATAGTATGCGTTATTTATGCTATTCCAATTAAAACACAGTTTAACTCATGAAGAACAACTCCGTCTTATGTTTGCATCAAATGACACTATTTTCTTCAAGTGATCGAAAGAGGCATGATAAATAACCGAGTACTCGAACTAGATCGATTTACTGACAACATTGTCCGGACTGTATTCGATTCAAAAGTCAAAGTCATGTCGAGAATAATTGACTTTGGTGTAAACTATGATTGAAAGCACGCATGCAACACACATTAGACGAAACATGTCTATATCCTATGGTATACCACACATCAAGTATTGTTGATGGCTCCTATCTATTTTACTTCCCATCTGTATGTTGGCGACGACTACAGAACTATTCTGGATTTCAATGTCCTGTATGCACTTTAATAATAAAAATAAAAAACAACAACAAAGCACTTTATTCTTGAGATCTGAGACGAGCACCAGCATTGATGACCTTGACGTTCAATTGAGCAGCACGTTCCAAAAGAGCAACACGCTTCTTGGAAGAAACGTTGTGGGCAATTTCGGCAGCGTAAGTACGGTTGTGCATCAACAACAAGTTGAGTTCACGGACGTTGGAGACAACGAACTTGCGGAAACCGTTGGGCAACAAGTTACGAGTCTTCTTGGCGGAACCGTAACCAATCTTGGGCATAGGAGCTTGACCCTTGAAACGTCTACGCATGTTACAATCGATACCCTTAGGCTTTCTCCAAGATTCCTAAATGGCCAACATGTGAATCATGGGATCATGGTCAACACGATACTTACACCGACACGCATGAAGCGGTTAGATTGGTGACGCTTGAAGTTAGCAGTGCGCTTCTTGACGATGGTGTGCTTGACAGCAGGAGTGACCATTTTAAACTAAAAAAAAAAAGAGTTAACATGTCTGCTGTCATCATCTATTCCATTTGGTCCATGTTGGTCAACTCGATTTTTTTTCTGTTTTTTTGTATCAAAGGTTTGTGTATCGTTGTTGTTCATGGATGGATGAATAGGATAGAGAAAGAGATCAACTTACTCAAAGATCTAATGGATGGATGCAAAGAGAAGGGGAAAAATGAGAATTGGCTGATTTCCTTCACTTCAATTCTCAGCAGCCATCATGCGTATGTGTCTGTGTGGATGTTTCTCACTGCTTAAAAAAAACACTGTCGGAGATTAAATTCGCCATGAGACAGAAAAAAAAAAAATCGAATTCAGGTACGGTTGCTATGGTAATGATGCATCCATCAAACTAATGGCACACATGTGTGTTGTAGTTTGACTGATTTATGCTTGTCTAATGATAGACTTGCTTATGCAGTGTATATCGATATATCTCTTACGCAATGAGACTTTCTTCTGTTCTATTTATATCTTTTTGGTGCTTTGTATTAGATAAAAGGCATTGTCAATCGTATAAAAAGATACCATTGAATTGGCAAGTATGATCAAAAGCCATCTAAAGAACAATAAGCATACATTTATTTTTTTGTAATAGCATTCAATCTCCGTAGAATGCATCTCTTTTACACTAGGGCATTTTTTTTTTATATGAGTAATTCTATTTATACCATCTACAGATGATATATGCATATCAGTTATTTTTTTTCCTGAGATTATTTTATAGATAAAATACGCCTATCTTCATTTCCTTTTTTTTTTTTTTTTTTTTTTTTTTACTTTATTCTCACCATGGTAGTTAATTCAATTCCTATTGTTGACTTTGCCAACTTCAAAACAAACCCCAAGAAAGTAGCTCAAGACGTGTTTGAAGCATGTAAATCCATCGGGTTCTTTTATATGGTTCATCATGATATTCCACAACAAGATATCGATAAAGCATTTGAATTGGTAAGCAAAAAAGAAAGTGTATATATATATATATAGAACGATGGTGCTCATACTCTGATTGAAAGAGCAAAGCCTTTTTTGACTTGCCGAAAGAAAAGAAGCGCAACTATTTAATCCAAGAGGACAATCACGGTTATTCTGAACTCTACAGTGAAACGTAACGCTATCTCTAATTTTTATTATTGGCAGAACTCATATCTCTTTCTTTTTCTGATATTAGATTGGATCCCGAGCATCAAAGACAAGGTGACCATAAAGAGTAAGTGATACAAATGAGACATAATTATATGCTTACATGGAATCAAAAAAAAAAAAAGAGGATTTAACTTTAGAAACTTCAAGAACGGTCAACCATTCGCACCTCTTCCTGATATATTTCAAGACAATGTCAAGTTTATAGAAAAGTTCTCAAAGGTATAAATTATCTACCCCCTCTCCTTCTCCCTCTCATCTCTCTCTCTCGTTATATGTAGGACTGTCATGCAACGGCACTTCAAGTACTTGAGGCGTTTGCCATCGCTCTTGAAATCTCAGACGATAAAGGAGGAAACCAATTCTTTACATCCAAACATAGCTATGAACACTCCGCTGAAATCCTCCGGTTCCTCAAATATCCACACGGAGGAGCAGCCGATTACAAAGATCCTATTCGCGCAGGCGCTCATTCGGATTATGGATCCATCACGCTCTTGTTTCAAAAAGATGTACCTGGCCTTGAAGTCCAAGCAAGTCGTGAACAATGGATTGCAGCTCCTTTGATTCCTGGTGCGATTATCGTGAACGTAGGAGACCAAATGGAACTCTGGACAAATGGACTTTTGAAATCTACAAAACATCGTGTCACTTTCTTGCCTGAACATCATCATCTTGATCGGTATTCCATACCGTTTTTTGTTCATCCAAATGATGATACGCCTCTAGTGCCTGTGCCTTCTAAACATGTGGATCAAACTCAAAAGACAACTATGAATGCAGGTGAACATTTGCGACATCGCTTAGATGCTACTTATACATATGAGAAACACTCTTAATAGAAATAAGCACATGTCTCTTTTATTGTCACATTTTCTACATGTATGTACGGACATTGAAAACGATATTTGTTTATATTTATTTTAAGTGTTGTGTATCTATGCAAAAAAATAAAAAAAAATAAGGGAAGAGGATGATAAATGACAAAAATGAAGAAATAAATGCTTTAAAAAAAAAGAGAGAGAGAGAGAGAGAGAGAGAGAGAGAGAGAGAAAGTGTGAAATAAATAGTATTTACATATATATATATAAACAAAATGTATACATAGACACTTTTGAGTATAAAGGTGCTTATTGATAGATGGAATGAGTGACCATTGGTAAATTTTCAAGCAAGAGGCGGAGTTGCTGGAGATCCGTCTCCCATCTGAACCTGAACTTTACAGTGTTGGTTGTGTCACCCAATATTTGCAATGCCGTTGTGTACTTGAGTTCACATAATTCAAAGGCTGCATTTGCTGTAGCCACATCGCCTTCATAATAAATAGATCCTTGAGATTCGATAGCATATTCAATCTAATCGATACGAGTCAGTAAGACAAATAGATAAAATATATCTCTATGTACCTCTTCCTTAGCTTCTTTATATAGGTTCTGTAGTTCAGAAGAAAGTGTCAATAGAAGCATATGATCATGCTGCGGTTGTTGTTGTTGTTGTCTTTGCTTTGGTTCTTCTATGGAATAGTTTGTAGGTTGATAGAATAACGTTTTTGTAGGTGAGGCTGAAAATACAACAGAGAAAGTAGAAGAGACAGAAGATGTACTGGCACGACGCTTTCGAATACGAGGAAGCCATTTTGATGTATTGAATAAAGTATTGTTACTGCTAGTTGAATGATAAGAGAAGCGTTTATTGTTGTTGTTGTTGAATAAACGAGCAGATGCAGATCGTAATCTTTTAGGAAAACTTTCTGAAGATGTAGTAGAAGATGTAGTAGAATGAAGCATAATAAAGTGAAGAAGAAGAAAGGAGAGACGGAGAAAAAGTTTTTAACATAAGCCTCCGTCGTATTTAAGTGTTTTTTTTCCTTGTACCTTGTTTAACATCTTGTCATACAACGCCATCATATATTAACATTTAACCGACCCTTTCCTGATCTGCTCTTTTATAACAGTCGTTCCAATAAAAAAAAAAAAATTAAGGGGCGGGTTCTTAAAAATCACATGACAACTTTTATTTGTCACCTTTACCCATCTTGATTTAAATATGCTTCACATTTAAACACTTTTCAAAAACGTTCACGGAATGCTGTACAGACGCATAGAAGTTATCGAGAAGGACAAAATTACAAGCTTCAGTAATTCGTGTGGCTAGCCCCTCTCCCCCTTGTCCTCAAGCTTACTACGCTTGATATTTATTAAACTAAATAAGTATTAATTCCATGACTTCAATTATAGCTCCTGATGATGATAAAATGCAGGCTCACCTATGGAAACCTGATCATGGCTTTTGTTTTCTTTAAATAGCGATATAGTTTTGAAAACTACACAAGCTTTGGAGAGCAGTTTACCTTGCAAAATCACTAATACCAACATCACAATGCATCATATAGTTTTAACTATATCGATTCAGAACCTGCCTCAAGCAAAATTTCTTATGTTATTAACTTGCCTTTTTAATAGAAAACGTGAACTGCGTAAACATGGATCGAGTCAACGACCTCTTAACCAGCAAGTATTACCATAAAAAATACAGGTTGACTGACACATCTATAGAACACATCTATAGCAAGACATGTAATATTCATAATGATATATTGAAAGTACATTCAAATACATCCTTTGGTGTTGGAGCGACTGTGTTGACAATAAATACCCAAAGAAAAAATTTAGTAGCCACGGCGAGTGTATTTCTATGAGGGCAGATATTTTGGGTATCCCGGAGCTTTAAATTAATTAGGCAAGCCACATTAACCTAAATTGCATTTTATGCTTCCGAACCTGACTAGCAGTAGTTCTTTATTTCCATCTATTAATAAGTCTATAAAAAAAACAAACGTTGTGAACAAACCTATTTTAGAATTCAGTTTACCAATGAGGAGCGTTAAAAATCGTTTAAAATTTAGAAAGTGCTGTTCTGGATGATTTTTCTACTTTTAATCTTGTTATTGGTTGGGCTTCAGACAAGAGAAATAAAAAGCTAACTAAAGGCCTCTCTCTCTCTCTCTCTCTCTCTCTCTCTCTCTCTCAGAAGCGAAAAATGATTTAGTACAGTATACTGTACAAATGGGCTCTATTTGTTTTTGAATAAAGATATGAAACCAAAGAACAGTAATGCTTACACTATAAGGGATTAATGCAACACAAGCGCTGTTCTATCAGAGTCAAGTACGACATGTATTTCGATTATACAATCAAAAAGAACATTTGCACTGTTAAGTGCAAAAGCGTCCATTCACATGGAACGTATAAGTGAATTCATTTGTCAGATGGTGATGCCAAAGAAATTCATCGAAAAAGTCAGGCAAGACCCTTTGATCACGCCTAAAAAAAATGGCAACTGGCAACTTATTTCGCATGGGAGAAATGATGGATGATGCCAGAAAGATTGACCTTGTTCTTTCAAACCAGGAAAAAGTTAAATATGAAATGAACAAGGTTAGTGCGCAATTCAATATCAGCAAGAGTAGCGAGTTCCTTGGAGAATTCACCAAGATCAGAAAAGAACTTGAGGGTTTCCTTTTCGCCTCCTGACATCTAGTCATACAATCTCCCTTTTGCTACTCAACCAATTGTCATCGATGTCACTTGCAAGGCGGTTTTTGAGAGCAAAAAGTATCTTTGTTCCTGAAAGAGACTGAAAATTAAAAAAAAATTGGTCTACATATTCAAAAAGCTTCATAATACTCTAAACAGAGTTAGAAGTTCAATGATAACTATATAATAAGTATGGTAACGATGATGTTTTATCTTGGAATGTAAACTACAAGAATGACAAATGTAATACTGATAAAGAATATATAACCACACAAAGTAGCTATACTGGTATAGTTTCGGAAAGTTCAATGGCAGCAAGGAAGGGAAACGGAGAGGACTAACTATTGAGCTGATAGTAATGGTCTCGTACTTTCGCTTGTTTTGAAACAACGCAAGTCTTATTTTTTTTCGCTCGACTTTATGAAGTGACAACGCCATTTGAGCAAATGTTTAAGTGTCGTTCTAAAGTCATCAAGCTCCAATAGAGAACTTGGGATATGCATCGAAGAAATACATTGTGCAACAAAGTAATCTTTTTGTTTGAACAGTTGTATGATATACCCATTGGTGTCCCACCAATTCATGTAAATATTGCTTATACAATGGTCTTTTGTGATTCCTGTGATGCCTTTCAACATAGTAGCGTTAATACGAATGTTTTTTGATTGTTGATATTGCAATAAGCTGTCATTAGCTGCCTGAGTTTTGAATTCTATCCCGCAAAATTCAATTTCATGTCGATTGATAGATATCAAAATCTATCATATTTTTAGTACCCATTGTTGTTTGAGTTACCTTCGCCAACTTCATCTTCTACCTCTTCTTCTGCAAAGCTGTTTTCGTTGCTGTCACCTACAATACCTTCTTCGGCATTATTCAATTGTTCTTCTTCTACATGATTGACGTTCTTATCGGCTTCTACTTCTTCATTATCATGCTCGTCATCATCAACAGATGTTTCTTCCTCTTCCTCTTCTCCTAAAAATGCTTCATCTACTTGAGCAGCTTCGCGTAGCAAGTGGCCAGAAAACGACATGTATTTTGAGCTGGTCTTCATTCCTTCTATAACTAAGTCATTTTTACAAGTTATCTATTTTATACGTTTAGTTTGAGAAGTTACAGAAATAAACATTTAATGGATATATGACTTACCAAGGCAGAAGTCAAGACAAAGATATTCTTGAATGTAATTGTGGTAGTTTCGGGACTGAATAATCGCGGATTAAATGATCAATGTAAAGCTTATGTATATTGACAACTTTATACTTACTGTTTTTGAAGAGCGGTACCAGGGATTCTATACAGGAGTATAGTTGTATTGTAATATTTGATCTAAATGAGCATTAACTTGTATGCATTGCAGCAACCGAAGCTGACAGAGTGGGCAGCAATTGGATCTGTCAACTTTGACGCAAAGTTGTTAAATGGAGGAACTCTGACTTTTAAAAGATATTTTTCGTGTATGAATTTTATTTCCATTGTTTCTTTGTGTGGATTGCTATTTGGTTGCTGGAGCCTTTTTGGTTCCTGGGATTTCTTTATACTCCCCATTTCTTGAGGCTTCTTAGGGCTCTTCATATCTTTAGTAATGAAAGAGAGAATGGAGAACAAAAAACTGTGCCTTTTTTGCGTGTTATCGAATTACCGCTTCTGATTTTTTTATTTTTTCTCAAGAACTACGACAATAGAAAAAGCAATTTTATCTCCACTATGTCACGCTTCTCTCCACCACTCATATGTGTGCAGGCTTTATCTTTTTCTCTTTACTACATCATACAGAATTAAATTTTTCGTATCTCCAGCCGTTTTATCTAAAATAAAACCACTACAACCAGCAGTTCGTTTTATCTTTTTGTGAAAATAAAAACTTTTGGCAGGAATTGTTAAAGGTTTCTTTCTAAGTTTAAACAACTTTATTTAGTGTCTTATCCATCCAATGCAATCCTCTTAAGTGACTTTAGGGCATGATTCCACTGCCATTTACTATACTGCTATTTTTGGCCAAGGTTACTGCCGCCAAATTTGCTAAAAATCCGATGTGTCACGAGTGTAATAAGGAGCTTTCTTTGTCATAGCTTATTTGAAGTGTCACCATCCTAATTCTCCTTTTTTTCTTTTGGTCCTCCCTTATTACTTAATCCACACTAAAGACCAGGCCAACATTCCAAACAATACAGTATTTTTAGTAACCATTGTCCATTTAGTAATAAAAATCCAAATTTTACATGATTGCGATAGAGAAGACATGTGTTCATGACAAGCTAGTGAACGTCCCCTCTCTTTCTCCTTTGATGCTCCTGTCTTTTCTTTCTTCTCAATATAACTGAGTCCAAAAATAAAGAACATCAAATACTGCATGAATGACAACTTGTAGTGGTGCCACTGTCATCTAAAAAAGAACTTGTTTTGTTGAATAAGCATATATTGATAAGGAGAAAGAGATTCTCGGAGAACTAGAAGTCCCTTTTTTTACGGTGGCAATGCGTTGGTTCTTTGCAATCTATCATCCACAAAAAAAATAGTTGTGCTATAGTACATGTTTATTTTTCTATTATTGGAGCGTGGTGTATAAATCATTTTTTTTAATTTAGAAAGGCATTGAAGTCTTTTGTTTAGCTAGTTCCTTCATTTTATCCTATAGAATTTAAGTTAGAAATCTCCAATACATGTATCACACTCTCTTACTTCTTTCCATGCTTGAATTGTTTGTGGCATCTTTTCTAAATTACGTCTAATGGTTTCTTCTCTTTCGGCACGCAAACGTTCATGCTTCTCCAACTTATTAGGACGTGTTCTCAATGGCTTCTTAGCAGTGGCTGTAGGCAATCCAATCGAACTAGGTTCAATGCCTTGTTGAATACAAGCCTTTCTCAAGTCGTTTTGTACACGTCGAGAGACTTGAGAAGGTCTCCAGAAAGACTTGCCTTTAGCTTCGTTGAATACAAGTTGAGGTTTGATATCAGCTTCAAGAAGCTTTAGTGTTTGAACTTTAGTTAAAACCTTTTCTGAGAATACACGATAAGTTGACATAGTCTAGGGGTTTTATAAGAAAAAAAAAGAGAGAAGGGAAGGGGGGTAGGGCAAAAAAAATCTGAGGATCCGCTGTCACATGTAATACCGAACTCAACCGGACATGATTCATTTATGCAAATGAAGGTAAGAAGAGTAAAGTCCGGCATCTAGCTCAGATCATGTCAATTTGGCCTTAAAAAATCAAAGAAGCAAGCTTACCCTATTGTTCTATCTCAAGCTATAGAACTCTCATCATCAAAGCAAGAAGACTTCAATTGAAGACTTTCAGCGTTAAGAAACCAAAGAAGGGCCGCTATGCATCATTTCATGATTATTGACAGGGCAGTTCTGTCAAGAAATGCAGTGCAAAAGATACAAGAGGCAGCCGATAAGAACTGCGGCTCATGATGGCAAATGAACTGATATACGATTGAGAAAATAACAGGACAAGTTCTGGATTAGAAGATACCAACTACCAGCCCAATAAGCCCAGAGAAGAGGATACAGAATAAAAATAAAGGTGATCCCATTTTACCAGTAAAACTAGTTCTTTGTGCTCATTTTTGGAAAAAAAAAAAAGAAAAAAAACTATCTCATTTGGAGCTTCAAGTTAACCTAACCCCATCTTAGCCTATTTTCAGATGCTTCCTTGCTTTTTTTATTATCAAACTGCATCTCAAGCAATACTAAAAAAAAAAAAAAAAAAAAAAGAAAGAAAAACTTTCAGAGTCAAGGACTGCTATAAAAATGAATTTTAGTTGTCTAATACACTCTAAATATACGATCAAATATACAGACGGTGTAAGAACGTATCAAAAGAAAAAAAAAAGAATCTCAATCTGCCCCCATCAAATGCGAAAGTGGCACAAATTGGATGCAAAGATACTATATTTGTGTCAGAAACAAAGAAGGGAGAGGATAGTTGCAACGATAAAAAGGGTTGGATTTGTTGTCAGTACTAAGCAACATAAGAATGCACCACAGCGTAAGCGATAGAAGAAATCTTTTATCTCTGAGCGCATAATTCTTCCATCAAAAATGGAAAATTTAACCAGATCTTCATTTAGATATGGAAGAAAAACGCGTTCAATGAAAAAAAAAAATGCGACCGCTTACCCTGTGGTAATAGCAGCTTGAAGAAGTTTTGCTGTAAAGTGGATCGGATACGAATGAAGAAGAAGGCATATTTGTGTGCCTTGAAATCGGCATAGAATAGCAGTAATAAAGGCTACAGTAATTGTTTGAATAGATTAGATTTGGAGAGCCTGTACCGGCTGCTAGGACAAGCTTGTCGCAATAGGCAAACAGCAGGTGAGCCCGTGCTTTCATAGAGGGTAATTCGATCATGCAAGCTATAGGCTTAGTGGATAATGTCTGAGAACCGCCAAAAATTGCTTGAGAGCAATTATTCTAGATAATTTCAATTGGCTTAATTGACTAGAGAAGGAACAAATTACAACTGAATTATTCTCCATCATTGTACAAAAACAATAACAAATGATGACAAGGGACAGCAAAGAATAGTAAATATTATATGTTTTTTTTGGATTTGTTTTCTAATCTCAAAACAGAAAAGTAAATTTTTGCATAATCTTTTTCGATTATTTTCTTACTTTAATTTGATTCTTCTAAATTGAATACATTATAGCGCAAGTGGTGGAGAAAATTTTACATCAAAAATAGAAGAATTTTTTACTCATTGAAGGGAAGCCTTGGCTAAATTTTCTATCAATATAAGGAAGATGCAATTGCTTACGCTGTAGCAAATTGGTTGAATGTTTTTGAGTATTGTTGTGAAAAAAACAACTTACAAATTTCTGAAAGACAAAGGGCTTAGTCAAGGACACTTTCGCGTTTTCTAAAGCCATCTTGAGAAGTATCTAAGGACGATGCTTAGCCTCGGAGAATTTCCTTGGTGCATGATTTGAGTGTTTCCTTGGAAGTAGTAGTCAGACTAATAGGTGGTAATTGACTAGATCGGCCGGGTTGTCTTTCTCATGGATTGGGACTACCTGTGTGACTCGTCAATAGTGAGGCGTGTATGGCCAACGTCAGCACGGATCAAAAACATGAAAAATCAGGAGACTACTAGAATCTATGCCATGTATACAGAAAGTAAAACTAGAGCCATAAAAGAATTATGATAATAGCTATAGATGTCAGGAACTTCACATGAATGCAATGGTTTTACATAAATATTCAAACGCCGATAACATTTATGCCGACTTATAAGTATGCCAATTGTGTACTCAAAAAAAATATTTTCTAGAAAAAATAGAAACAACTGCTTTAAATAAATCGAAAATATCTTCTGTAATGACAAAAGATAAAAAAAAAAGTAGAAAATTTCTAAATTTTCTGCTTAAAATAAGAAAAAAAGCGTGTTTTTCAATTTTTCTATTGTAAAATAAAAAAAGAATCTACCAGTCAGTAACCTCTTCTTTAAACTAAAGTAATAAGACTATTATCTGGTAGATTCTTTTTTTATTTTACAATAGAAAAATTGAAAAACACGCTTTTTTTCTTATTTTAAGCAGAAAATTTAGAAATTTTCTACTTTTTTTTTTATCTTTTGTCATTACAGAAGATATTTTCGATTTATTTAAAGCAGTTGTTTCTATTTTTTCTAGAAAATATTTTTTTTGAGTACACAATTGGCATACTTATAAGTCGGCATAAATGTTATCGGCGTTTGAATATTTATGTAAAACCATTGCATTCATGTGAAGTTCCTGACATCTATAGCTATTATCATAATTCTTTTATGGCTCTAGTTTTACTTTCTGTATACATGGCATAGATTCTAGTAGTCTCCTGATTTTTCATGTTTTTGATCCGTGCTGACGTTGGCCATACACGCCTCACTATTGACGAGTCACACAGGTAGTCCCAATCCATGAGAAAGACAACCCGGCCGATCTAGTCAATTACCACCTATTAGTCTGACTACTACTTCCAAGGAAACACTCAAATCATGCACCAAGGAAATTCTCCGAGGCTAAGCATCGTCCTTAGATACTTCTCAAGATGGCTTTAGAAAACGCGAAAGTGTCCTTGACTAAGCCCTTTGTCTTTCAGAAATTTGTAAGTTGTTTTTTTCACAACAATACTCAAAAACATTCAACCAATTTGCTACAGCGTAAGCAATTGCATCTTCCTTATATTGATAGAAAATTTAGCCAAGGCTTCCCTTCAATGAGTAAAAAATTCTTCTATTTTTGATGTAAAATTTTCTCCACCACTTGCGCTATAATGTATTCAATTTAGAAGAATCAAATTAAAGTAAGAAAATAATCGAAAAAGATTATGCAAAAATTTACTTTTCTGTTTTGAGATTAGAAAACAAATCCAAAAAAAACATATAATATTTACTATTCTTTGCTGTCCCTTGTCATCATTTGTTATTGTTTTTGTACAATGATGGAGAATAATTCAGTTGTAATTTGTTCCTTCTCTAGTCAATTAAGCCAATTGAAATTATCTAGAATAATTGCTCTCAAGCAATTTTTGGCGGTTCTCAGACATTATCCACTAAGCCTATAGCTTGCATGATCGAATTACCCTCTATGAAAGCACGGGCTCACCTGCTGTTTGCCTATTGCGACAAGCTTGTCCTAGCAGCCGGTACAGGCTCTCCAAATCTAATCTATTCAAACAATTACTGTAGCCTTTATTACTGCTATTCTATGCCGATTTCAAGGCACACAAATATGCCTTCTTCTTCATTCGTATCCGATCCACTTTACAGCAAAACTTCTTCAAGCTGCTATTACCACAGGGTAAGCGGTCGCATTTTTTTTTTTCATTGAACGCGTTTTTCTTCCATATCTAAATGAAGATCTGGTTAAATTTTCCATTTTTGATGGAAGAATTATGCGCTCAGAGATAAAAGATTTCTTCTATCGCTTACGCTGTGGTGCATTCTTATGTTGCTTAGTACTGACAACAAATCCAACCCTTTTTATCGTTGCAACTATCCTCTCCCTTCTTTGTTTCTGACACAAATATAGTATCTTTGCATCCAATTTGTGCCACTTTCGCATTTGATGGGGGCAGATTGAGATTCTTTTTTTTTCTTTTGATACGTTCTTACACCGTCTGTATATTTGATCGTATATTTAGAGTGTATTAGACAACTAAAATTCATTTTTATAGCAGTCCTTGACTCTGAAAGTTTTTCTTTCTTTTTTTTTTTTTTTTTTTTTTAGTATTGCTTGAGATGCAGTTTGATAATAAAAAAAGCAAGGAAGCATCTGAAAATAGGCTAAGATGGGGTTAGGTTAACTTGAAGCTCCAAATGAGATAGTTTTTTTTCTTTTTTTTTTTTTCCAAAAATGAGCACAAAGAACTAGTTTTACTGGTAAAATGGGATCACCTTTATTTTTATTCTGTATCCTCTTCTCTGGGCTTATTGGGCTGGTAGTTGGTATCTTCTAATCCAGAACTTGTCCTGTTATTTTCTCAATCGTATATCAGTTCATTTGCCATCATGAGCCGCAGTTCTTATCGGCTGCCTCTTGTATCTTTTGCACTGCATTTCTTGACAGAACTGCCCTGTCAATAATCATGAAATGATGCATAGCGGCCCTTCTTTGGTTTCTTAACGCTGAAAGTCTTCAATTGAAGTTTTCTTGCTTTGATGATGAGTTCTATAGCTTGAGATAGAACAATAGGTCAATCTTTCTCTTTTAAAGTTTATTTTATGCTTTTGCTATTAATCTCTCAATAAGATGTATTTCAAGTGTAATTTTGGATAAACCACTGTATTTTTCAAACATCAGGCTTTCAGACAGTGTTCAAGATGTGCATGTAGCCCGCAGCTATTCCATTGGCCGAACATTTTGACAGTCTTTTTGCAATTGACATATTGCTATCGGACTACAACATTTCATTTGGTTCCTAATTATAAACCAGTTCGTGGATTATTTACAGTACTTGATTGAGCGTCAAATATGCTGGCATCAAGTCTAAGGCCAGATAAAAAAGCGGCATCAAGATTTTTTAGAGATTGATCAACAGAAAAGCGGTTTACAAAGGTAACTATTTTGTAAGATACGCTTCGTGTACGAGAGAAGTATTTTTAGCAAGAATAATGTATAGTCTTAACTACCTTGCCTTGATGTCTCGATGCTCATTTTCTTAAAAGATTTTTATTGTTTGAAATCTATCATTGTGAATCATCATGGTAGCAAAAATCAAAAGTCTTCTCGTAAATCTCTATGATGAATTAGCATCGCAATTATTTGTGATGCTCACGCCTAAAAAAGAGTAGCAAGGACATAATTTGTTGTATATGATATAATGATTCTTGTCTAACCGTGTTTTTGCGCTTAATGGATCATATTTTGTGAGAATTTAATATAGAATTAAGAGTACACTTTATTGTTTTGTACCATGAATACAAGACTTGTTGTATTTGAATGTTAGTTAAGGTAAAAAATGTGTGGATACACCCTTCTTGTATCATGCCTCTTAATGCTTTATATGTGTATCAGAAGCAAACTCGTTATGAGACATTCAATTCATCAGGAAACTTATGTCTGTGCCTTCTTCATAAATCCAATTTCAAGATTCCTCAATTCTTGTTGAATAGTTCTTAATCTTTAAAATGGCCGCCTGCTCTTTTGAACAGAAGGATTGAATTCACCTCTGTATAATTATAAACAATGCTATACACCATCACATTCCTTCTTTCTTTTGCGCAAGTTCATATTCACTTGGAAGCATTCAAAATAGAAGGCCTTCTTTTTTTTTTATCAAAAAGTTAATGGCCAAGCGCTCTTGTTGTTTTGAGCCTTTTGTGAAGTTGAGTACTTACGGAGCAAAGATACGGAACATTCAATTAATTGAGGTTAGACAACACATGCAACCATTTCCAAAACAATCTCGATTAAATCAACGATTTCAAAGTCAATTACACTAGATCAAGAAGGCAATGTGTGTGCGTTTGTCGTTCTATTTTTTTTTTTTGCTGTCTGTGCATTGCCAAGTCTTTTTTTTTTGTTTCTTTATTCTATTCAGCTAAAGACTTATTTCAAGGTTTCTTGTTATACTTGAATCATGCAAGCTGTTCATTCTTATATTGTCTGTCAAAGAAAATAAATCAAGTGTGACACATTTGATAAGTGACATGTGTTTTATTTTGATATCTTGGGGCTCAATTGCCTTGAAGCCTTGAATGATCTGGGCATTTGATCAGATCTTTTTCCCTTGCTGATACTAAATAATGAATTCGGGATGATAACGGAACTCTAGATCAGTAAGCTTTTTTTTTTTTTTTTTTTTTTTTTTTTTTTTTTTTTTTTACTTAATTAATTCCATCTGACTTTTGCTTCCGTACACACTCTATCGATGATTAATGTCCGACTGTTCTTAATTGACAGTGTAAACATTAAAGACAATAGTCCTATTTCTCGAAACCAGAAAAAAAAAAGATCCAAAATAGTCAACTCAAAACCTTTTCTTCTGTATCTTAAAAAGAAAAATTATACTAAACAATCCAAATAAACTGCTTCAAACCAGTGTACTTAACCATAAATGCTGCATGGGAAGTTGTATCTGTTTTCATTGAGTAAACAAGAAAGAGGTAATTTATGTACTCCCTATTGATCTATTAATGTGTTATTAATAAATGGAAGTACGACATTTAAAAATCTAATTATTGAGGCAAAGAAATGCGAGAGAATATCGTCACCTTCAGTTGCAAGGCACAAAAAAATTTAGGGTGTACATTATACAAATTTAGAAACTCAAGTTGTATGAAACATAAAAAATAGAACACTTGTTCTTGCCTACAGAAAAAGAAGGAGAACGTCTTTTTGTCAGAGACTAATAAAGAAGAAAATAGCTAAAAAGCAAAACTACTGTACAACTAAAACGCTCATATTACATGCACTTTTTTTTACTATGATCAGCTGAAAATATTCTACCTAATTTAAGTTTTCTGTCGAATTTATAAATAATGCTGTCTCAAGTTCAATTCCCTTTTATTTATTTTCAATCACGCTCTGTGCTAGCTGAGATTCTTGTTTTAGTGTCAAAAAATTTTGTGTTCCCTCAAGAAAAAAAAAATCAGTTTTAATTCAGACCTTCTTTCAATTGCATGAACAAGCACCCACACATGGCTTCGAAAATAGATAAAAAACTTCAAAGCATAAGTTGTCGAATTGCATCAACTATATACATCTTGCCATTAGAGTCAGAAAAAAAGGAAGAAAAAAAAGCAATGGGTTAATAAAAAAAAGGTGCCAAGTATAAACATTTATGACACGAGGGAATGGATAGTATATACATTCAATTATTTACCCGCCAGCTGGATATAGAAGTGTTTAAAAATAAAGCGCACAAGAAAAAATTACAAGTATAAATATGGTCCATCTTACAAGTGGTTATCGTTTTTTTTTTCTTTATCACAACTCTATTCCCTTCCTTTAAATTACATATACTTATAAAATGAAGTTCTCAGCTCTTGCCGTTGCCGCCTTTGCTACTGCTGCCAGCACTGTTTCTGCCACTATCACTGTATGTATTACGAACTATCAAAAAATAAATAGATTCTAATTATTCTTTATAGCTCATTCAACCTTGGGCCTCCACTACCTGGACTGCTGGTCAAGCCGGTACTGTTCAATGGAGTTCTTCTGCTGATTTGGCCTCCAAGTACTGTGAAATTCACTTGTTGACCACTGTTAACAACACTGTCTCCTTTGTTTCCAACTTCACTGCCAACGGTAACTTGATCCCTTGTACCTACACCTCTGCCAACTTCCACCCCTTGCCCGATTACCCTGCTGGTCAATACTCCATCCGTATGGGTCCCAATGGTGAAAGCACTGACTCCTACGCTTACTCTGGTGAATTCCCCTTCGTTGGTCAAGGTTCTGTCGCCATCTAAAGTGTGAAAACTTAAAGTAGAATGTCTTTTTTTTCAATTGATAAAATACATAAATAGACATTTACTTCAATTATAGAAACACCCATTCATCCAATACACATTTTATATCCTTCAAGTCATAATAAATCATATAGTCAAGAACAACCTGTATATGAGTAATTTGTTCAATGTGGTACTATTGTTCTATTTTTTAAAAGAGAGACCGCTGCAAGTATCAATTAAAGATCAATTAATTCGATTACACAGAATGCAACACGAAATTAAACCTTGTACCTTTTTATTGCATGTCACGAACAAGTTTAAAAAAGAAAAAACTATACGTAAGATAAGAAATTAACTGATAAATGTACATGTATTAAATACAAAAAAAAAAAGAGGAGGCAATAAGGTATACAAAAAAAAAGGAGAGACTACTAGTAGTCTCTTGTCAAACGATTCGGACCTCTTTTTCTCTTCTTTTCATTCTCGCGATCCATTTCCTTTTTCATAAGAATTTGAGCTAATCTAATAAACAAAGAGTAAAGATCCATAAATAACTCCATCGAATGGCCGGGAATATCTCTTGATCCTGCACTTGCACGTTCAACAATCATTTGGGTATCATACATGACTTGATAAGAAAGTTAGGCCCGTACATTCTCACACATAATTCAATGGCTTACCAAATCCTGCAAATGCCAATAGACCAGCATATAATTCAAATGAAAATACAGAGGCCGATCTCAAAAAGAATGTATTGGCTAAGGACAGCCATAAAAGCACTCCAAGTACTGTGCTTGAAAAACCACCCACATATAACATACTGCGACGATTCGCCATGACTGCGCTCATGGAAAATCCGAGAAAAATCAATACTGCTGATGAAAGAGCCATAAACACAATGTTTCCTGATGGATCCCAATCTAGAAAGAATGATAAAAAGGTCGATAATGCAATACCACTAAATATGGAATAGGTCTACCATTCTATCAGTTATGCATACGCATGAACAAAAAAAAAAAATTAACTTACGCCAAGTAAAGACCACCGACTTGTACTATTTGGTGAAGTAAAACGAAACATTGATACACTTCCAATGGTACCTAAAGAGCCTAAAGTAGAGCCAGCTGGACCAAGATATTCACCAACTTGTGTACCAACGGTTGCTATAGCACACATAGCAGCCAGTGTTAAATACACGTTGACCAGATGCCTTCTCACAGGTCTGCTCAAGGCATTCGAACTGCTGCTACTGTTACTACCATAATAATCTTGTTTTCCTGACATTGTAAAATAACAATAGAAAAAAAGAAAAGAAAAGAAGAGGGAGGAAACAACTAGTTCGGAATTAAAACAAATGATTTGCTTTAAACTGATTGGGCCGGAGTAAATATCCATCTGGTGGGCCTGAAGTTAAAGCGAACAAGAGGCAGAGACAGCAGAAATAAGTATATATGCGGCAGACTGACAAAACGAGCAAGGATTTCCAAATAGAATGTCCCTTCTTTCACACTACAGGTAAAATACTGCATCCAAATGCATCCATTAGGATGGATGGAAACTCTATAAGATAAGAATATCCATCCATCCGTATCGTATTTAAATGTTTGCTTATCCTTTCATTTCGATTTTTGTTAGTACAACATGCCCGCCTTAGGTTTGCCCGCTGATGTCAGCGCTACTGCTGATGGTACTCGTAGATTGTTCAACAAGTGGTCTTACGAAGATGTTGAAGTCAAAGATATCTCTCTCCAAGACTACATTCAAATCCGTCAACAAGTCTACTTGCCCCACACTGCCGGTCGTTTCGCTGTCAAGCGTTTCCGTAAGGCCCAAGTAAGTTCATTGAGACATGAAGTATAATGACTAACATGCAATAGTGTCCCATTGTTGAACGTTTAACCAACGCTTTGATGATGACTGGTCGTAACAACGGTAAGAAGCTCATGGCTGCTCGTATTGTTCAACACGCTTTCGAAATCATCAACTTGTTGACTGATGCCAACCCTCTTCAAATCCTCGTTGATGCCATCATCAACTGTGGTCCTCGTGAAGATTCTACCCGTATCGGTTCTCAAGGTACTGTCCGTCGTCAAGCTGTTGATGTCTCTCCTCTCCGTCGTGTCAACCAAGCTATCTCTTTGTTGACTGTCGGTACTAGAGAATCCGCTTTCCGTAACGTCAAGACCGTTGCTGAATGTCTCGCTGATGAATTGATCAACGCTGCTAAGGGTTCCGCCAACTCTTATGCCATCAAGAAGAAGGATGAACTTGAACGTGTTGCCAAGTCCAACCGATAAATGTCCTTTATCTTTATATTTTGGGTTTTTTTTTATTAAACAAAGTTCTCTAAACCAAAATAAAAAGTCTGATAAAATGTTGCTACTGTACACTTCTCTATTTACATCATTCTCAATCATTATCTTCTTGAGCATAAAAGAACTTTCTTTCTTCAATTTGCTCTTCAATGCTTTTCAAGTTGGGTACATTTAGATAGCCCTTGTGGTAGAGCAAGACTTCTTCCACAAGCAAATGTGGGATCAAATTTCTATAGCAAAGAAAATGAATCAATACGCATGTTGCATGAAACAAAACAACATACCTTCTTGGTGCAACCTTCAGGCAGTGTTCAGCATCCATACGCAAATCTAACACACTGTCATAATGTGCTCCTGAACTAAATCCAATACGAAGGGAATATTCTTTATCGAGGACACTTTGTCTGTTTCTTTCATATAACTCGAATGTAATCTGAGTAAGGTAATCTAATTCGGGCAGTGTGTTTCGAGGCACCTTGGTTGGTACACCAGAAAGGTAAATCAGGTTGAGCAATGCATGGACATGAGATTCTTTGGTAAAATAAAGGCGAGTACGAGCCTTTTCACTAGATGTCATCTCATCCAAATCATTCAATATCTTCTTTAGTAAAGGGAAACTGATCAACATGCCAATATTCTTCTTTTCAGTATCTGATATACCATACTCTTGAGGTGCAATAAAATCAAACATGACCTTGACAGCTTTGTAAAGTTTATGAACGTCTGAATTACACTCGTTGTTGTTTGGGCTGCTATTGTCGTCATCATTGGGAACACTTTCGTCTTTAAAAATTGTAAGCAAGAACTGTCTGTTGTGAAGTGAGTCGTATTTTAAAGAATCATACAAGACACTGATCCAAGATGGATCAGGATATTTGTCAGTACTGGGCTCATCACTTTCATCGCCGTTACTTGTGAGTGTAAAGCTGCGAAACATCTTTTCCCACCTCTCTTTGAAAAGCATGGGTGAGTCGAAACAACACCAACGTCTTTGGATGTTGTCCACATCCATTGTAGCCCAGTTCTCTCGCATAACATGTTGCATACGGCTCATGATAGCAGAGATTTCTTGAAGAATAACATGAGGCTGAGGAAGTTTGGCGGACCAACCCATTTGCGCTAACATCCATTCAGGAATATTGTTTCCAGGCCTTAAAAGACCTTTCAATTGACGTTTAACGATATCAGCTTGATCTTTGGCAGCGTTACTATCGTCTAACAAGTATTTGCTTTCAGAAATTACACCATCTAATGTTTCTGGATCACCTAAGAACCAACGAGCGAATATTTGAGCTATTGTTGATGGTCGTCAGCTCAATTTCCTGTGGGCTTTTTTTCCCTTTTACCTGTGTCTCTAACACGTCTTTCTGAACTACTATAAATCTTGACATCCTCTAAAACTTCTGTATTTAAAATATACATATCTTTGCGCAAGTTTTCTGCCAAATCTTTAGATTGATGACGGCCAGCGTGTGTAAACTAAATGATATGTTACATCAATCCTGCTTGTTTCCTCTTTTTCTTTACCTCTCCTCCCCACTTGACAATCACTTGTAATTTAACCAATTCTTGCGTCTGTTTGTCGTACTTTGGTTTCAACTGAATCTTTGTGCCTGGTAAATCATGTTTTCTTTGCAAGACTTCCTTTAAAGACCTCAACTTTTCCTGTTCTTCTGTATCTTGAGGGAGTATTTCCAAACTCATGTCTACTGCCTTCATGACAGATTCCAGTTGATGTTTTTGTCTAAATACAACCTCGCGCTTAGATCCTTCTAATAAATCGATAAAAGGCTGTTGCATAATTGTGATTTTGAGCTTTTCTTTTGGTGTACGATCACCATGTCTAAACACTGCCACAAATCCCTTGAGTCGCCATGAATTTTGTGGCGAAATTTCAGGAGGAATTTGATCTGCTAATGACAATGGTCTCTCTTGCACAGAACGATAGAATGCTTCTTTAAGAATACGAGCACATTGATCATAATAGAAATCGTTTCCTTTGACAAAACTCCAGCCATTAACATCAATTACGTACGATTTTCCTTGCACACGTAAAATGTCTAGCCCGCAAACTGTCTGACCAAATGCCTTGGATACTTTTCTGGCAATGTCCTCTTCTTCTTGAGTAAGTTTAGCACAGTAGCGAATTTCTTTGCCGTCTGTGTTACGTTTGACATGGCCATCTACAGTTGGAGATCTAATTTTACAGAAAAAAAAATTAGTCAACTTGAATGATCATTTTTTTTATCTTACTTTCTAGTTTCAGCATGAACAAATTGAGGCCCAACAGTATATAGCTTGATATCTTCAAAACTTTCTGTTTGCATCAATTGTTCATAGACCCATGAGCCTTCTGAATTAGGTGTTTTTAATTCTGGATCGAATTCACTTGACTTATTGCCAATCTAAAGAAAAAATTAAAAAAAAATAATGAAAATGACTTTACCTTTCGAAACAATCTTCTGCCGCCGCCCCCTTTTTCTTCTGAGTAATAAATGTTAATATTGTGATCTTCACCATCCACAGGCTTCTCAATAAATGTCTTTGATAGGTATTGACCATCAACTCGAATGCCCTCATCATGAATCTCAACAGATTTTGAATTAGAGGCATAACGAGCCAATACACGATCCATGTCCATGCCGGTATATTCTTTAAATGCAGCTGCAGCTTGAGGATCTACTTTTGCACCACCATCTCTTGAAACAACTAAACGGGGAGGTGTTGGAACACCAATAGCATCCAAAATAGACAAAACTACTCTTCTATCCCAAAGAAGTGTCTGCATATGTACATTATTGACCACAAAGGGCTTTCTCAGATTTGTGTAAGCAATTGCCTTGTCTAAAGGAAATCCATCTGAAAAAAAACATATCAAAAAATCACAACCTGGCCAATTCTCAACCTCTGTTAAAAAAATAATAATAATAATTAATCAGGTAATTACAACTCTTTATTTTACCTTCATCAATAATGGTCTTGTCACCAAAAATGACTATCTCAAAGTTACCATGTGATAATAAACGATTTAGAATATGACGCATAGGCTTTGATCTGGCTTTTCTTTCCATGGCACAAACACCCACCACATCTATATCATATTAGTTGTTACTTTTTTTTTTTTTTGCTTGTGCTTACACTTTTCTCTTCCAGAGTTATGTTCTGGTATTAAAGGAGAGTCTGTTGCTGGCATATTCAAGAAGAAGAGAGAGAATTAAGAACAAGAAAAAAATTCTCTTTCGTTTATATAAAAAAGAAAAAAGAGTGAGAAAAAAGAAATAGGAAATTAAGGGATTTGACATACTTTTTTTTTTGTAGCCCATCTCTCTTGTACAACGCATCTATAGTGGAGTAAGAAAAGCACCCGACGTCATTTCAAAAAGCGATGATAGTTTCTCCTTGTTTCTTGTAAGGAAATCAACACAGATGCATTCTTAAATTATACGCGTATATATGTAAGTGCAGCATACAGATCCTGTAAATCTAATTCTATTATTGTTTATAGTTACTTAAAATATGTAAAGTGCGACCTACCCCACTCTTAAGAGTCATGAGTTCTGTCAAATCTTTTCTGGTAATACACATAGTTACATTTACACAAAAGAAAAAGAAAAAGAAAACTTTTCCCCCAAAAACCAACTTCCTGTACCCATGATGCAATCCCACATTGTATTATGTCAAGATTGTATTTCAAAAAATATTTTGACTTTATTTTTTTCTACAAGGTCCAAATTATAAACATTGTAGGACAAGAATAAGATGATAAAACGAAACTTACTAAAGTAACATTAGAGAAATAAGTTCAAGAATCTATAATACAGGAGTTTTATAGGTAATTGATTTAAGTCAATGTAGTTATCAAAGCGTCTAGAAACTTGTTTGTAGAACGCAATCAAATACCGTTTTTCCTATGTTGAGGTTTGTATCTCTTTCATTATTATTATTATTATTATTATTATTATTATTATTTTTGGATATGTATATATACAGATACTGATCTCTAAACTTACTTTTTTTTTCTTTTTAATTTCTTTTTTTTTATCGTTCAGAATGATAGACTCGCCCAAGATCTCAGAGGAAACTTTTAAATTATACAAAAAGTATTCCAAAATACAAGATGTCGAGATCTTACAATCGCACTTGATCGCAATCAAGGAAAAGCTCTTGAAGGTGAAAATGAATAAGGTTTTCTTGAATTAACCAATAGAAAAAAATGTAGCAAGGAAAAATCAATTATAAATGCATTGAAAGATACAAATTTGCTTATTCCCGAGTTCAAGAAAGATTCTTTTACAATGACCTTATAAAAATAGGACAAAGGCTTTTGGAACAAAAGCAGAACCCTTATTTTCTCGATATTGGATGTTGCACAGGTATGAAAAAGATAATTTGTCTATATTTGTCAAATTCATCAAAAAGTCAGGTACTGATTTAAGAAAACTATTGCTGGATGGCTATCCAAAGGATTATTTAATTGGCATAGATATTGAAGAATGCTACATTGAGTGTGGCTATGAACTGTTTAAAGACTCTCCTACCACTTGTCCTATTCAGTTTATGGTGAATGATTTGTTCTCCCTTGACGAAAAACACCCATTGTGTGACTCCATCTCGATTTTACACGTTGGTAGTGTATTTCATTTGTTCTCGGACAATCAAATGGTACATGAGTTTCTGAATAAAATAACATGGCTACTAAAGGCAGGTGGTGTACTTGTGGGTGGACATGTATGCTCTGATCAGTCAAATGAATACTTTAGGTATGCTAAGCAGACATACAAGTACTATATGGGCATTGAAGACTTTCGGCAATTGTTGACAAAACAAGGTTTTTCAAATATCAGGATAGAAACACAGCCTAGACTAGAAGATGAGGACGATTTTACAGCATTCTGGATTTCCTTCTATGCAGTTTATAGTCCAAAGGGCTAATCTGAAATAAATATGTATTTCCGTTTGATTAGACATTGCACAATGCTATCTTTATGTCTTTCAAGTGTTCCTGAAAGAAAACAACGTGTCCGAGTTAGAAAAGAATGATGCATGTCAATTTGATTGGATGGAGGTCGGTTGCCAGTGCTTTAAAAACCCAGCACAGTTGCTCCTCATTTTCTTAAAATCATGGATTTCTTTTCAAGAGGTTATACAGCACTCAGAGGCGAGCGTGGACAACCTCAGTCTGCAGACGAAACTATTGAGAAACTCGCAGACTGTCTTGAAACTGCTACTTTACTAGAAGACAGACGCGCTGGTGTCTTGAGCTTAAAGGGTTTAGTGAGAGATTGGCCAGAGGTACACGAAACAAAAAGATACGGGAACGGTCTAACAGTTTCAGGAAGTAGGAAACAAGAGTTTTCCTGGATTAATAAAAGTATTGCATACAGACTATAAAGATATCGACATTACAAAGTCACTTCTCGAGACTATCACTATTTTATGTACTGTTCAACACCAGGTATGGATAACTCAAAGACTCCTTGTCAAATAACAGCATTTTTCAGCATGATAAAGATGATAGAGGGTTCAAGTTTACAGATTATTTCATTGAGGTACCAGAAAAAAAAAAAAGAAAGGCCGAGATATATTTTGTATATTGATTCTTTACAGGACTCTCGCAATGTTACTATTTTATTGGATATTTTGGAAGAGTTTGATTTTTATGTGCGCTACAATACAATCAAACTATTGTCTACCTTATTGTCTATCAGAAGTAAGCGTATTCAAGAGTGTATCTTAACAAACCCTATGGGAATTTCTCTTCTTGTGGATATGTTGGATGATAAAAGAGATGTGATTCGAAATGGTAAATATGATCAAGTGACAATGTTTGTACTCATAGTGTTTAGAGGGCTTACTCTTGTTGATTGGTTTGACTCGAAACAACACTGAAATCCAAAAGATTGTTACTTTCCAAGCAACTTTTGAAAAATTGCTGGCTATTATTGAAGAACAGGAAGGCATTTCAGGCGATATTATTGTTCAGGATAGTCTTACTTTGATGCACAATCTGTTAAGATACAATGTGTCTGATCAAGTCTATTTCCGCGAAACAAGTTGTATTCAACAAATCCCTGGGCTTTTAGGCTATGTGGGTGACAGTGAAGCAGATCATGTTCCTTATTCATTTGAAGACTGGCCACCACAAAAAGTAGCCAATACAGTTTTGGTGTTGCAGTTGATTCGTATCTTGACAGAGCCTGACAGTAGTAGCACACCTACAAATCAGCGTGTGATGGTTCAGAGTGGCATTCTATTACCTATTATTCAATTGGGTCTTTGCTCAAACGCACCTTCCATTGTGCGTACAGAAGCATTGTACGCTATCGCCTATGTAGTTGCTGCTAACCCTGAAAACCAAATGATATTTGGCAAAGTAGTAGTAGCAAGCCCACCTGTTTTCGCACAAGACGGTCAAGTAGACGTCAATGTCGCGCCTGGTATTCCTCGAGCTGCCATTGTTTCCCTGATTTCCATTGCTGTCAGTCATGATGTTGGTGTTGCTTATAGTTATTCAAGTCGTGCTGCTGCTACTTTTGCTGTCTATTCTTGTTTGGAAGAAAACCCGGATGCACAGTTGGTATTGGTATCCACGCTCAAGACAACACCGCCTGGAGACAATGCCAACAGTTCTTTTGCAGACAAACCCTATTCTGCTGGATCTCTTCTTTTGGAAGTGATTGAAAACTGGGAGCAATCCTTATCTGATCCTTACAAGGTTTGGTTTGCCTGTGATGTCTTGTCTCATGTTCTTCGAGGTAATGAAAAAGCCAAACATATTGTCAACACGATTGTGTTTGGTGATGAAGCCAGTGGTGAAGATCCAGTGCCCTTTATGCATCAGATTGTAGCTCAATTATTAATGTCCACTAAGAACCCCTCTACAAATATTCGTATTCCTATTGGTTATTTGTGCTTGTTATGTACCTGGCTCTACGAAAGTCCTAACTCTGTGAGCTTATTTTTATCTGAAAGCACACATGTTCAATTTGTAAGTTCAAGTAGGATATCAATATAGCTAATCTGTCTGTATGAATAGTTGATTCAAGAAATGCAATCGTCTACAAACGATCCCACTGTGCAAGGTCTTGTTGCTTATTTGTTAGGTATCACATACGAATACAATGATGATCCTTCTGCGCCATTGAATCGAGCAAAACTTCAAGGCATTTACTCGAGTCGTTTAGACCAATTCAACAGTTTATTGGCTCGTCTTCGTGATAGTCCTGCTGTCAAGAATGCGCCTCAATATCTGCAAATATCTGCGGAAGATGAGTCTGTTTCTAATGCTACACACTCTTTACCTTCATTAATATTGGACAATGTCTTTGTGGATCAATTCAAATCGACTTATGGTATGTTTAATTGTGATAGAAAAAAGCGACTTACACCATTCATAGAGCACATTCAAAAGTCTATTAAGAAGAAACCCACGTCATTTAATCGACTCGAGAGCAGAACAAGTAAGTTTTATTGTTTCAAGGCATACTTCTAATCAAAAATAGATTCACCTGCACCTTCTAGCCCTGTTGTCTCGGATGAGGTCATCCAAGTCTACAAGAACACAATTGAAGAAAAATCGAATCAGATCAAGTCTCTTGAAGAAAAAGTAGCTGAATTAGAAACATCTTTGCAATCTTTTGTAAGCAAATAGACAGATTTAAAGGGAATCTTGACTTATTTGTTGAATAGAGATCTACAGATGAATTGATCAGAAACGAGTTAAAGACTGCAGCTACTGAGAACACAACCTTGAAGGAACGAATTTCTGAATTGGAATCTAAACTGAAAGAGACAGAGTCTAAATTGATAGCAGCTCCTGCTATGAACGAAGAGCAAACTGCAAAAATCAATGCCTTAGAAAAACAATTGGCTGATGAGAAAACGAAATATACTGATCTGGAAAAGGAGCAAGAAGACTTGCTTGTGTGCATGGGTAAGAGCAATAAGAATACTTGAAGAAATAGTACTTATCTCTCTTTTTTCTATCAGGTGAACAAGATTTGGATATCAAAAAGTATAAAAAGAGATTAAGAGAATTAGGTGAAGCTGTTACTGATAGTGAAGACGAAGAAGAATAAAAATGTTGTTTTATAAATGTGAACTATTTTTTTCTTTAAAGCCTTGCTCCATCAATTGAATAACATATTCTGCAGATCCCCAGCTTGATTGATATCCAAATCCGCCATGACCATAAGCATGAGTGACTTGAATCTTTTTTTGTCCTTTGAAAACTAAACTCGAGTTAAGCTAAAGCTCCTCCTCCTCCTCTTTTTTTATAAATGACTTACTTGTTTCATTCTCAAAACGAGGTCCATTGATTCGAGTAGGCCTTAATCCTACAGCACATCTTATGATTTCTAATGGCTTTTCTGCCACAAGTTTTGGGCAAAGTTGCGTTGTTCGCTTGATGATTTTCTCAGTCGTTTGATCGTCAACAAATGGGTTGCTATAAACGGGTGAATATAATGCTTTGTCTAATAAATGCACTCACAAGTCATCCTTATTGCTCGTTCCACCTAAAACAACTGTGCCATCTGATCTTGGTATAATATAAGTGATACCATGTACTCCTTTAGAAAAAAAAATAAACATACATATAAATAGCGATAATGCTGCCTTACCAATATGTGTCATTGTCTCCTTGATATGAGAAGCTCTAACAATGACTGTTTGACCTCTTGTCGGGAATACGTTCTTATCTTGAACACCTCCCAGAAACCGTGCTCCAAGTCCTGTGCAATTTATAATGACCAAGCCTTCTTCGTTTGAGACCAAGTCGCATACTTCGCTGATATGCGAAACAGTTTGTTGAACTATTTTACCACCCAATTTTAAAAAGCAAGAAGCCAACCATTTCAAATAAACAGGTGAATTGATGAGAACTAAAGAAGATGAATTACGAGTTCGTGTCTCTGTCCTCTTTACCTGTCGTATAAGTATGACCTATTTTTGCACCTTGAGGAAGTCCATCTTTTTCTTGCAAGAGTTTAAACTAAGAAAGTCAATACTCAAGTTTTAAGCATGGTGTTATTACATCCAATACTGTATCTTTGAACCATGGATCATATATCTCTGGTAAGCTATCATCATCATAGTAGTCATAACTAGGCACAATGATAACACCAGTGTCTTTTTTTGCCAAAGCAAGAAATTTATGATAGCTTGTGGCATCAAATGCTACATGATAAACAATAAGAGATCGTTTCATGTAAACATGCCATAATTACTCTGAAGTAGTTTATCATTATTTTTGGCCATGGTTCTCCAATGAGCACCTAATCTCGACATCAGCTTGACATCTTGTACTTTTCTTCTTACCTGCATAAGGAGAGGTATATTCAATATTCATGTCTCCCGGAATATGCTTAGCTACAACAGTAACTTGCTCATATCCCTTTTGCTTCAATAGTAGGGCAGTAGTCAACCCTGTCACTCCAGCACCTAATACGATAATATGTTTCATAAAAGCTGAAAAGTATCCAAGACATGATACGGCGTTTTTTATACCCACATAACTGATTCATCATGATTTGATTACTCAGAATGACACGGGCATGTCTATTTACACACTTATTTTGTTTATTCTAATTTAGATGTCAAAGAGGCAAACATTTGACGCATTTCTTCAATAGTCATTGTTCCCAAGACTTCACCCTTTCGTGTTCTCACATTCACAGTGCCTTGGTCCATTTCTTTTTGTCCAACTACGAAAATAAAGTTGTATTGCTGAAGTTGAGCTTGACGAATCATCTTGTTTAGTCTGTCCCGAGGAGAAGTGTCTACGTCAATATAGTATTGATTTTGAGATACTTCAGAATCACCCAAAGATAACTGCTGTGCTACTTTTTGAGCATAGTCTGAGAACTGAGTGGAGACTGGAATCACAATACCCTGTCGAGGACTCAACCAGAATGGCCATTTACCATGCGTATGTTCAATTAAGATAGCCATCATGCGTTCAATAGAACCAAGAATAGCACGGTGAACAATGACAGGTGTTTGACTGACATCATTCTCGTCCACATATTTCAAGCCAAATCGACGAGGCAATTGAAAATCAAGTTGAATAGTAGCTGTTTGATGTGATTTTCCGCTGGAATCTTTGACCATAATATCAATCTTAGGTCCATAAAAGGCACCATCACCTTCTTTAATAGACCAAGGTCGACCTGTAGCATTCAGTGCTTCTGTTAAAGATTTCTCAGCATGATCCCACTCTTCAATTGAACCAATGTATTGTGATTCAGGGCGAGTAGACAATGTTAAATCATAATGAGGAAACTTGAATGCAGAGTAAACACGATCTACAAAAGATAAGCAGGATGTGATTTCTGAAGCAATTTGGTTTTCTGTACAAAAAATATGAGCATCATCTTGATGGAATCGACGCACTCTTGTCAGTCCGGATAAAGCACCTGAGGCTTCGTTTCTATTTTGCTGTTAGTGAGCGCTTGTATTTTCTCATCGAATTACCTGTGAAGTGGACTGAAATCTGCTAAACGAATTGGGAGATCGCGATACGACTTGGGTGTACTATCAAAAATCAAACAGTGTCCAGGACAGTTCATAGGCTTAAGACCAAATAAGCCTTCATCAACATCAATCTCTTGCTCATCATGGTTATGGCCACATCCAGTTTGTTCACGTCCGCTCTTGACCATAAACATATCTTCCATATAATTTTGCCAATGCCCACTTGTTTCCCATAAATCCTTCTTGTAAATCAAAGGAGTCATGACCTCTTGGTATCCATAGCGAGCATACTCACTTCTCAAAAAGTCTTGAAGCTTATGAACAATACGGGTGCCATGAGGCAACATGAAAATAGAACCAGGGCTAACAGCATGGATCATAAAGAGTGATTGGGCTTTACCAATAGCACGGTGATCATTCTCATTAGTCTTGGAGACATCTAGTAAAGGATCAATAAGTAACATGAAGCAAAGAGGAATCAATTTACCATTGATCTTGCTGATCTTTTCAGGTGCTTTACTTGAACATGTTTTAGAGACATGTAGGCTACGTAAAACAGGAAGATTAAGAGCACCTAACTTCGTCTTAGTTGGCGTGTTTATGAGATCATGAAGACATGACTTACGAGAATTTGTTCTCAATGAACGATAGAGCTGTCGAGAAAACATGAAGAGTAACCCTACAAAATGACAGCCCAGGTCTTTAAGGTTTTTTTAAAAGCCGAATAGGCAGGTAGAATTGTGCTACAATTCATGCTGTTTCAAGAACATGTCAAGAAGAAACTACAGGGTTTTATCCCGAGCACTGCAATACTTGACATCTACCGGCTAGGCAAAACATGAAGCATAAAATCAAGAAGATGGAGTTTGAGACCAAGGGTATGAAGAGATAGTTTTGCTTATTCGGAATTAAGAATTTAAGACGAAGTAGAAAAAAAGAGAAAATCAAAAAGTATACAGCTAACTCAAGCAGACATCATTAATTGAACGCATTGATTTCATGATATTATGAGCTTAGTTTTTTTTATTTAGTAAACTACACAGTACTTCAAAGAACATAATCCTTGATACATTTTCTGCTTGTTTAATAGCAGACCCAGCTAGCATCCGATGGTCTCGCAGCTTGTCTCTTGCATTCTGGAATAAAATAATCCACAGTGTTTTGCCACGTCATGTTGTAACAAGTAGTTGTTCCAAAATCAGTATGTCTGTTATTAGTACCAACCTTGAAACTAAGAGCATTACAGACTTGCCTGGTTATGACAGACTAGCTACGTTTACATTTACAAGTGACAGCCAAAGCATCAGAGAGATAAACAGTGACCAAAGCGAAAAAGAGGATGACTTGAGTGGAGCGCATTTAATGAAACAATGATGAGAGAGAAAGGGCAAGCATGCCTTCTTTTTATATGTATTGTATGCTTGTACAACATAGTTACCATGCAAAGGTATTACCAATAGCCCTTTGTTTTTTGTTTTTTGGTTGTGATAGGTCATCTCTTGAATGATAACTTCTCTTTGAAATTGATCTTTGTAGAAATAAAGCTATTGATTATATACGTTGCTTTTGCAATCTCAATGACTTGAGACAAGGTTCTTCTTTCAGTCAGCAAAATGTAAAATAAGGTACCAAGGGTAATACATGTACTTGGGAAACTAGAATTAAAATAGCTTCTATGGAATTTTATATGTGGAATAACGGACAACGCTTGACTATTTTTTTTTAGTAAAACATCAATAATTATTACTGCCATTGATTCTGAGGTTTTTATTATGCAACATACAATTGATCTATGCAGTGTCTACTCACAAGTCTTTCTATGTTTTTGAAATAAAAGACTTTGTCATAGCGCCAATCATAAACAGCCTTTGTCATAATTTGAAAAAACCGTAAATCATTCAAAAGAGATCTTTATATGTAACTCAAAGATGAGAGAAAGCACATTAAGCAAGGTTTCTAAAAGTCAAAAGAAAAAACACAACTTAAAGCAGTTATCAACTAATCCTTCCACACATTGGGCCTGCGCCTCAGATTTGATTTACTTTCGATCTAGTTGTAAAATAACTTTTTGAAGCTAAATTTGTCTGGTAATGTTCTTCTTGAATACAGAAAAAAAAACATTCTTTAGTATATAACTTTATTAAACTGCTGATTTGATCTCCTAAACATAGACCTATATCTTTTACTTTGTAAAGTCACTGTTTTAGTGTCCTATCATTCCAACATCTTTAATATCAGTTTTTTTCTTGTGAGGCTAAATATAGAACGAATACATAATAAATAAAGGGAGAATGTTATCGTTCTTTCAGAACTTATCGAAGAAGAAAAGGCAATATATGAATCAAAGAAAAGGACATACAACAACAAAAACAAGACAAAGGGTTTTTAGTCTTTGACCATGTTGTCTGACGCAAAACAATATGGAAATTTGACCTAGAAAATGTGTAGTTCCAAATAAGTTGTATAGGCTAACCTATTTTCATGTAGCTTACATGCTATTTTTCGTATGATTTGATCTGACACCATGCAACTAATATGGTGAAAGATGAGCAATATAGCGTCATTTTACTCTTAGAGCTAATGATTATCGATCCCATCAAATATAACAACAAACACTACGCTTGTATTGTGTGTACACAATTGAACTTTGAGAATATTCGGCCTAGAAATCTAGAGCATGACGTGGTATGCGCTCAAAGCTCAAAGTGACTCTTTTAATGTGCTTGACTTGCCTGGAACTGCTCAATTCCTAAAAACATTGTTTGTAAGACAAGTATACTGAGAATAAACTACAAAAGAATATATTTCTACAATGTGTGTTGAGGTTTGACGAATCTAATCTAAACGCCAGTAAACCAAGATCATTCCAATGTCATTGTGCGTTGCCCAAAGGAGAGAAGCGGGAGACACCAGAAACAGGTGATTGCACCATAAATATAATACATAGTTGCTTTTTAGTTGAGAGATGTCCTATCAAATACATTGCATTCAGTGTTAGTCACTAGTCATTTTCTATACCCTTTTTTTTTTTTTTTACTTACACAACAATAACATCATCCAGTGTTTCTTTGTTCAGTAAAATGCATACCAACCAAATCAAATCAAGTAAGTCATATCTTCCATCACTAACTTTGTCGATATTTCAATAGTCTACCACCACCATCATCATAGAAATTGGCCAACAACCGAGCATACTATCATTTTTCATGATAAGGTTCCAATCAAGTAAGTTGTTGCTGTCATTGTCATTGTTTATTCGAACGTTGGTAATAGTCAAATACCTCGTTCGTCATCATCATCTTGGCCAAGATCGGGTCCGAGTCGATAAGACATTGGGCATTGAAGACGGGCCAATTCAGTCATGATATACAATCCACCAGCTGCAGCTTGATCAACAGAAAGTGATGAACGGGGCTAAAAAACAACTGAATACAGTTAGAATACAACTAATGCCTTTCCTACTACCTTTCGACACAAAACATACCAACAACATCATTGATCACTCTTAAGCAAACCCAGTTTCATTGTCGCACCGTTCCCTGATCCTTTCGATTGAAGCCATATAAAGTAGATCTATGTAACAATAGTATTAGAAATGTTGAGCCATCATCCTAAATTTCTTACCCAAATATCAAAATATACAGCCAAATAAACTTGCTGGGAGTGCTGCAGAAAAGTTCACCTATAAAGAAAAAAGAATGAATGAGTAAAGGTCAGCAGTAAGGATGATGACTAATAACAGGTAGATGGCAATATCAGTCCGTTGACTACCGTAATCAAGCAATGGCAATGTCGAAAGCATTGTCACCACAAGACTAGGGAATTTGTCCCAGCAAGGATAGCTGTCTAGTCAAACGGAACTGAGTCGAACAAGCTGTATACTGTCTTTCCATGTCCTTCAACAATATAGAGCCGTGTCCCCTTGCGAGCAAGTCCGATCTTCCAATAATGAAGCCATTATCATCATCACTAAAGAAGCAAAGAAGCAAAACAACGCCCCAGCTTTTAATTTTTCCCACCAGCCAGTCAAGACAACTACCATTTACAAAGACAGCATTGTGGGGGGCCACAACAATACTCTGATTCATACGCATGACCAAGGTCAAACTTCAGGTAAGAATTTCGTACTTTATTTGATGATTGATGATTGATTATTAACATTGATTTTTGATTCTTTCACAGGCAAATCCGACGGCAATAGTGATGATCAGTCGTACCACACTCAGAAAGATGGTAAGACAAGCGTATTTCTATTTTATTGTTGGATATTATCGATATATTTATGTTTTTCTTTTTGATTGTTCAAGCTACCCCCGATGTGCGTCGTCCTCCTCTCAATTCAGCCAACTACAATATCACAAGTAACTCCAATCCCTCCAATAGCTACGACGATGAACTTGACTATGAAGCCACCCCAGTCTCATCCTCTGACGAATTCACAGTCACATCCACCTCACAATTATCATTATCATTACACATTTTCCCAGAAAATGTAATTATGCCGTATTTATTCACATGAATGAATACAACAATTGGCTTAATATGAACCGCACCACATGGAGCTCCGTTTATCGTGGATCGTGTAGACATCTCTGAAAGGTTTTATCGATTACAGCAATATGTCTTTGATTTTGTGAAAACCAACAACTTGACAGTGGAATCTGACCTTCATCTTATCCTTTCGTTGTCATCAATTCTTCTGCTGCAAAACAACAATCGACTTAACCATGCCATAATTCCCTTTTTTGGAGACAAACTCTACAGCAAAATCCGCAAGCACAACCTTGGCGAATGGAACATGACTCTCAAATTCCCTGGAAATGTCTTGCTGGAATCTATCATCACTGCACAGAACCTGTATGACGAAACCACTGATCGAATCAATGCATGCGCTTCACTACTTCTCCTGGCAAACACCATTGATGATCCTGTCGACAAAAGGCTACTGGTCTCGGCATCGCAGCTCCTACAACTCCTCCCTGTTGATGCAACAAATATTGAAATATCTGAAACAACATTCATCACAAGATACATCTTACCAGCACTGCAACCCTTGTTTGACAATCAGGAAAAAAATATACGCTTCGAATTCTCATCCACTGACCTTGCTGACAATCACAAACGATCACCTGGTTTTAATGGCTGTCCTGACTGCATCATCACCATTTTTCAACACCAAACGGACGACGGCGCAAATGTAGGATTCGGTGAAGTGAAGCGACAATCAATGGCTGGTAATCATTATTTGGTAAATTGGGACCTTCTGCGACTGGCTGTATTTGGTAAAAATGCGATTGATGGGAACAAGTTATCCGGCAATTTGGCGATACATGTTGTTGGTGAGTTTCGTGACGGCAAAAATGTACGAGTTGTATTGATTGTACTCTATTTTCTAGGCCCGTACATCACCTTTTATTTGATCAAACTACATGCTGATGGATTGTATATCATGACTGAATTAGCCCGCCTTCAATGCCCAATGTCTGTTATGGAAGTGCCTGCTTACCTCACAAACTTTAGTCGGTTAAAAAATGTCATACATATCTTTGAAAATTTGTGCAAGCCTGACAATAGCAATGATGATATCTCTTCTTGGCGCCGTGATTCTCTGACTTCAACTGATGTTATGTTTGTGTTGGATAAAAAGAAGGATAGGAAACGAAAAAACACCACTGGACACTATGCTTCGAAATGAAAAAATAAAGACTGTATTTTTTTTATGGATTGACTTTTATGGTGGGATTAGGGAATGATGGTGATGCGATAGGGTAAGGGGCTGTTAGAATTAGGGATGATACTACAATGGTGGCGGCGATGATGATGATGATGATTATACAGGGCGATACCATGTTATTGGATCTACATACAATGAGAAAAACGATAATGACCTTTGGTTTATTGCTAACTTTTGTATGTTGATGGGCTCAGTCGTTGGAATATGGTCAAGTCAGTGGATGGATTCAGTGGATTACATTACTCTTTTGATCCCGCTTTGATGATTGTCTCAATGGAAACTCTTTTTTAGTTTACCTTGTCGCTTACCGTTAGCTTAGATGATTTGATTCTTTCAATAAACTTTTTTCTGTATCTTTACTGTCTTTTACATTGTCTTTATACTTTACATGGACCATTAGGATATCCGACAACTTCTTGCCGTCAAGTCAAAATCAAAAAGGCGACAGGTTGATCAAAAAAATCCCGATATCTGTTTTTCGGAAATCCGACGTCCGTTTTTTTCAGGTGCGACAACGATTTCAAAATGTGCGACAAGTAATTTCGGAAACACTGTATAGTGTGTATATAAACATAAAAAGCTAGGCTACTGCTATGAAACGCACAAGTAAAAAACGGCTGAACTTACTTAATTTGTATGTTGACCGAGAATAAACACCAGCGCAATTTTTTTTTGTCGCTGTCATTAAATCCGCGTTTCAGCTGAAGGCCTTTTTAAAATATTCCAATCTTCCTTAAATAGACCAAGTTACACATACATATATTATGAATGCATCATTTAGCCTTTTCAAATAAAAAAAGAATAGCTCAGACTTTTGTAACAAAAAATGTATAGTAGGATTATTTCAATTGGACATTTATAAAGAATTGGAAAGTGCAATTGAATGCAATACAGTCTTGTAACAAAACAGCCATGGTGACACAAGGCCAGGCCTAGATATTGGCCTGGATTCTTAGCCCCGAGTTTATTCGGGCATATGACGAAATTTTGGTTAAAATGTTGTCTGTGCTTCTGGGATCCATTCTAATTGTCTTCTTTTTATCATGATCAATTATAGCATAAAGAACATGCCATTGGTAGTCTCAATTGCATAGATGGCTTATAATGAATTTTTAAAAACGTTGTAAACAAACAATCAATTATTTTTGTCAATCAATACGACAAAAGGAGAACAATGCTTCATTAAAGTCAATTAGCTTTTTATGTATCACTATTTGCGCATTTACCAAGTTTGGTTTCTTGTTTCATTCATTGGGCAGGGTCTCTGCACAACATGTTCATTTGCTATATAACCACTTCATGCTACTTGACCATATTATGACTGTAATTTACAAGCTATTAATGTAATTTCATTATATTATCTTATGGAATTGCTTTATTCATACAGAGATAAGTTTAGACAACATTAGGATTCTGGACAGCATAATGTTATTATTTTGAGATTCAGAACTCCAATAACAAATAAGGCCCCATTAATTAAAGCAAATCGGGTATTCTGACCCAGTTTAAATTACTTTGACACAATGGAGTGTCAACTTGCTGATCTTGATTAACACGCGAGCGGCGGTAACTGAAGTTGAATTTCATTAATATATAAACGGATTGTTCCTGGACTCAATTCCCCTTTTTTTATTCTTCATTACCACATCATCTTCTATTATAGCATGTCTTCCTTCTCTCGCATTACTCTCTTTTTCGCTACTGTCTTCATTGCTTGTGCATGCATTGTCTCTGCTGCCCCCATTACTACCACAACCACCAGTACCACTTCTACCACTATTCTTCTTGAAACTCCTACTGCTGTTCCATCCGGTACTGTCAAATCTTTCAAAAAGTCTACATCTTCCTCTTCTGGTAGCTACTCTGGTGATGCCACTTATTATACTCCTGGTTTAGGTAGCTGTGGCGGGGAAAACTCTGATTCTGATATGATTGCTGCATTGAACCATGTTCAAATGTCCAATGGTGCCAACTCCAACAACAACCCCAACTGTGGTCGTAGTATCAGTATTAAAGGCCCTAATGGCTCTGTAACTGTAAAGATTGTTGATACCTGTCCTGGATGTGCTAGTGGTGATATTGATATGTCTCCTGCTGCTTTTGCAAAGATTGCTGATCTTGCCGATGGTCGTGTTCCCATTAGCTGGTCTTGGAACTAAACAAACAACTGTAACTTGTTTCTCTGGTAGAACAACATCATATTTAGATTATCTTGGCTCGATGCTAATATTCATTTTGTTCATTTATCCCCCCTCCTCAATTGTATACATTATCATTATTTCTTTTATGGGCCGGTTTCCATCACTTTGTGTTTAAATAAATAAAAAGCCATTTCTTAACAAATATGCAATCGTTTTCAAACTTTAAAGTTAAGAGAAATGTATTCGCATACATAATTAAAATTAATTCAAGTATGTTTATACAATTATAGTCTGACAGACAAAGATTGATCAATGCAACGATTGATAAACTCTTTTTTGCAAGTCATATCCACTCCAAAAGTACTAGACAACATATCACGCACTTGCTTTTTTGTGAGCTTCATCAAGTCATGATGGTCCAAGATTCTTTCGATTTCTTGAATAATAATAGCATCACTGGGTATGTTGAAAGACGGATTAGATTCTTTTACAGTGGAAGATTTTTGAGTCGAATAAAAGCTGCCTGTTCCGTTGGGAACTCCCTTATTGCTTGCATAATGGTAAGAGTGAATAGACCCACCTCCTCTTGAAGCCATATCTTCTTGCACAGAAAAGGCCATTCTTTCAGGTGGTAAACTAAGCGCAGTAATGGAATGCGAGTAATTCGAGTGGGCTTTGTGTGGATAATCAGGCGGAATGTAATCAGTATATTCATCTTGTTTTGAGTGATGTTCATCCTCCCATTCACCCATCATTTCTTGCTCATATTCAGACCAGCATTTGGTCGGAATTTCATTGGGATCAAAAAAGCCTTCTTCAGGGCCCACGGCTCGCTTCTGCCCCTTCTCTCCAACAACAATACGGGTTGTACCCCATGAGAAATCATCAAAGTGCCAAAAGGCATAGAGAGGGATCAAAAATGAAAAAACAGGAATGGCCAAGATATACACAATCATCCAACCAATATGCTCCCACTATATTAAGAGCATAAACAAACAATGCTGCATTCGTTACGGAGCTTACCTTTCTACGTAAGATAAAAATAATCGCTTGAAGACCGTACACGCCCGCTAATGTTATGATCGACATCAGAGGTACTTGATTTGTGTTTGTAAACAATTGATAAACAAGATAACCTAAATAAAGAACAACGGCTGGCATGACTAGCGTACTCAGCAAGTCCAACATGACTACAAATCGCATCGAAAAGCAGCAGAAACCACATAGCTGAGGTAGAAACATGAGTTCACCAAGGTTATGTACAGTCGAATTAATCCATCTACGACGCTGCGAGAGCAATACAGGCCATTGGTCGGGCGCATTTGTCATACAAGCTGCATCGGGTGTAAATTTGGTCTTATAAGAAGGAAAGTGCTTCAAAATCAGTGTGGTAAGGTATCGATCTTCACCCAAATGCAATAAGTTCTTTTTGTGGAGTGTATCAACTCGGTTTTCAGCATAATCTTTAATCACTTGGTTTGATGCAAGCAGAGGTTGGTTACGTGTCGTGGAGCGAATACGATACATGCAGAAACAACCGGGTAAACAAGTGACTGAACCAAACAAAGACTCAAATGCTTTGGCTAAATGATGTGAAATATAATATTCGTACACCTGTATCATTGTAATCCAAGTATCTTTTTCGTTTGACAACATGGTCTCACCACAAAGACCCACAATTTTGGCGTCATTGACAAAACAAGAGACCATTCGATTCAGAGATTCAGCAAGTACTTCTGTATCAGCGTCCACCATAAGTACGAACTCATAAAAAGCAGGATTAACACCAATCACATTCTTAAGTTGATGATGGATTTCGAGTTCCATAGGTGTCATAGGTGAATCGAAATGCACCTTATTAAGAAACCGCATCAAGACCATTTGAGAATCTCGCTTGCCACGATTACCAGGCTTTTGTCGTTCTTCTGGAGTACCACATTTGACAATTACAATATAAGGAACAACATGTCCAGAGTATTCATAAAGGCCAGAATATACTTTGCCCATATTGTGTTGCTTTCGGCCTTCACCTAAAGATAAGAAGGATCTTGCTGGCGGATCAATATTAGGATTGACTCCCAAAATGTCTAAAACAATACGTGGGGTTGAACGGTCATTCCCACTACCAACAATCATGCCGTCTGCAATCAAAAACATGAGCTTTCGTTTATCATCGTATTTAAGCGCAGCCAGAGAATTGATCGTCTTTCTCAAAGAGTCTTCTCCTTCTGTATAACATGGCACTTGGCATATAATAAACTTGTCGTATTCTTCAGGCACACGTTGCACACCCAATCTTAAGGCAGCTAAAAACTTGAACAGAATAACGCTGCACAAGAAACCAGTGATCAAAAGCAAAAGATACTCGGAGAACATACACTGTGTTGAATTACGTGTGTCCACCTTACCTACAAGGAACAAGTTTCGCAAACAAATGAGTTGGCGCTCTCTCACAGTCTTGTCTAGAGGAAGTGAATCAAAATGGGCAGAGATATCTGTACCAGCCAATTGTCGAAATAGTTCTGTAATCGAGTTATCGATAAAGTCCATGTTGATGTTGAGTGGCATAGGTTGCCCCTCTGCAACACGGGGACTACGACCACCCATCATGTACGAAGTCAAGTCATATACATTTTCATGAATAATAGCCCAAAGACGCTGTCGGTTAATGCCGCCTATTTGAACAGGGTAGGATGCTTGGTTTTTGATATCTACTGGATCATATCCCATAAAACCGAGACGATAATTGCGTCTGAGATAGACCATCTGCTCAAAGTACCAATCAGGGCGATAGTCTTCTCGAAAACTTCTGAAATCATGATAGACAGCATTTGAGTCTGTAATGTTGATATGGGCATCAAGAGTAACTTCTCTAGGAACTGTACCATCAATACCATCACATAGCGCAGATACTTGCACAGGAAACAAGTCGCTTGCATCTTGACCAGCATATTGAAAAAGTGCATTGGAAGGAATGACTTCTGAGGCCCAATGACGAGGTGCAAACGAAGTAAGGTCAAACACTTCGCCTCGAATAGCAATATAGGCATTGTCCTTGTCGTTTTTTGCCTGTAGTTCAGACTGGGTATAGAGATCAATATGAGGACAGACAAGTTGACCAAAAAATGCAATAAACCATATCATGACACCACAAAGTAGAAAAATCAAGCAACAGAGTGTCAGCTTTTCTCGCCATGCCATACGAATATCAGCTCTTTTCATACCGCACATACGTTGTAAGAAGAAACTAGGAACCCACCAAGTCATAATCCAAGTCATGATTAACCAGCAGCCCCTTGCCTTTGTTGTTTTTGGCTTGTCTTCAGCTTGATCTTTTTCTTGAATAGCTCTTGATTCTTGTTGTCTTCTATGCATACTACGCGCTGAGTACACTTCATTGTCATCTTCATAGGAGAAGCGATAGCGCGACTTATCGTCGTCACTAGCAAGCGTAACTGTGGTTTGAAGTATACTTTCGCATTGATTGGAACAGACAGATCCCGTTTCTTCTTGATAACAACCATCATAACAATCTTCTGAATAGACTGAGTCCATTTCAGTCATTGACCTGAAAGTAGAAGGAGGGAATTGAATACTTTCTTGATAACCATCTTCTTCATCTAAGATTTATGTTGGAATACAATACTCAAAAACAGAAAAACTTACCAAATGGGATGCCTTTTGCTATACACCTAGCTCTTCTTTGCTCTCTTTTTTCAATAGCACGAAGCTTGTTTTCTAATATGACCCAACCAATCCCCTTTAAGTAGACCTAAGAAAAATATACGTTTAGCAAAGAGTTAATTCTCAATGAATTTATGTATGCCTTTTCTTCATATTCAGCCATCATATAATCATTCCAATCAAACGCATCTCTCAAAGCAAGCCATTTGTCTCTAAGCTCTGCATCCAAATCTACAGAAGTTGCATGAATAATATCAACATAACGATCACAAAATTCTTGTAAATCCATTTGAATTGTATATTCAAATTTGGCTCGGTTGACGAGTGGTAGTAGTTTAAATAGCTTGGACTGAACTGCTAATTTTTTGGCATCGCATGAATTTGGAAGTAACAAATCGTTAGATCGAAGACAGATGACAAACCAAGTCTTTGTTGTGTTAATTGTATCCATAAGTGTAGAAATGTCTTGCTTAAACTGCTTCATTCGATTGTTGTTGGTTGAGCTTGGATCTGTTGTGTTATTTTGTGAGTCAGGAACAGATTCTGTGGTGGTATTTTCAACTTTCGCGACAAATTTTGGAGAGAAAATCTTTTTAAGCAAATGACTACTCGACCGATCCTGTTCAGAAGCATTTCGGGCACTAAAAAGCGAAACAAAATCTGCACTGACTTTGTCTATAGACCCATTGGCTAATTCAGTAGATGAATAAGTGACAAGTCCAGTAAAATGCTGAATGGTAAACACAGATCCATTTTGGCCAAAAGCTATTTTAGGCTGAGGATTCTTTTGAAGATGTTGGTTGTATGTATTCATAAAAGACTTGTTGGCTACATTTTCTTCTGTGGCTTCAGAAAAAGATGCAATGAGTCCATGCAAAGGGTCATCTAAGAACTCAATCGAGTCAACAAAATCAGCTGAGCTTGGAGCAGCTCGGTCAAACACAGAATATAGTTGTATGTTCTTTTCAAAAATGTCGTTCATCATGTAGCTGTAAAGCTTTTCGTTTGCATAGGAGGTGCAGAATTGAGCATAGGAACCGTTCTGCTGGTCAAGCGAAACGCCTGGAAAATCGACAATACCAATAAAGTTTTGAAATTCGCTTTTGTAGAGTTTCTTGTTGAATACATCCGTTAACCATGCAACCAAGAGTGTGTACAGTGTTTCTGCTAAAGCATCACGTTGCAATGCTGCTTGTTCTGAATTCAAGAAAATGGTGGTGAGGTCTCGCTTGATTAGTTTGGTTTGGTAAGTTAGACAGGTTTCCAATGCTTTTGATTCGACACCAAGTAAATCAGCAACAATGTCTAGTTCGTTCATATTTTTGACAATAGCAGAATCCTGAGCGTTTGTCACATCGTCTGCAAATTGTATATTGCCTAAATGCAAAATAGCAGCAATGATTTGTGTTATTTGCAGTAGAGTAGATCTGCCGATACCCAGTGATTTCAAAAGTGTTTTTAGCTCGTCGTATTTTTCAGTATATTCGGTCGCAAGTCCACTGGCTAAGCGCGATGCCTCCTTGGTTCGAAACAAATAGGGATAATTCGGTGTCTCGTTTAGGTAGAGCTCAGTCTTTTCTTCATTGGAGGAGCCAAATAAGACATAGTAAAATATATGAAAGTTTCGTTCATCACCCGACGTATGTGCTATGCGTGATTTTTCTAGCATAAAGTTTGAGAATTTGGCACCCGTCATTCGCCCACGTTCATTAAATTGTAAGGAAAGATATTTTCCTGCACACGATGCATTTTCATTCACTGTATTCTTGGCATGTAGAAATGCTTCTAAAGCACTATAGGCCTTTTGAACCATCTGTTGTATTTTTGAAGGTTTTTTTGTACTGCTAAGAGTAACGAGGTGGTACAAGATCCATTGATGCATTTCTGATTTTCCACTTCCACATAAACCACTATGAATAGGAGAAGTCAAAAAAAAAGTCAAGGAGAGAATTTATATACCTCAGAATTATAGACTGGTTATTTCCAGTACGGCGCATATGAAAATAGGCTTGATTTGTATGTTGAAAAATATGTGCCGGGAGTTTCTCATGTCGACCATCTGTAGTTTTGTATTCGGTTAAATAATTTTCGCTTGTTTGTTCAATTTCTTCACGACAATCTTTATAAGGATTAATAGCAAGTAACAAAGAATTTCCAATGCGAGTGTAGATCTGGTTTTGTAGAAATCGTTCTCGAAGTGCTGTAATAAAACTTTCCTCTGTAATATGTTCTATATCTGCTAAATCTTCATAGAGTGACAATTGATTCATTGAATAGTCATCCATTGTACTGTATAAAGTAACAATGAAAAAGAAATAAAGAAAAGAAAAATTTGAACAAAGAATTAAATCTTTGAATTTGATTATGGTTCAGACTGAAAAGAAAGAAAGAAAGAGAAAAAAATAATAATTCAGGAACGCTGCTCATAATAATAACTTTTTTTTTTCGCTTTTTTCCTATTGCTTTTGAAGTGGAATATTACTACTACTTCTCCTAAATCAGGACAAAGTTACTCTATTTTCATTTCTATTTAAAAAAAAGAGATGTTAACCCCCTTTTTTTATGATATGGGGGAAGAAGATTTGCTATAAATTCCTGCAGTTTACCAATAATTCTCTTCTTTGATTTAGCCCCTCTTTTCTTTTTTTTTTTTTTTTTTTTTTTTTTTTTTTTTTTGAAAATTATAAACTTTCTTCAAAGTTTGTTTTCTAAATATTTTGTATAAAAGGCGCAATTGCGATTGCGAATTCATGCTTGTCTGGTCCATGTATAAAGAAATGTTTACATAAACAAAAAAAGTGAAAAAATGGATGCAAATATAAAAAGACATGTTACTCCTTACCAAAGTAATAATACATTTACAAAATGTGTTCTTATGTAATGAAACTGTCAATCTCTTATAATCAAAACAGTGTAATTATACGAAGCATATCTTCACAAGAAAAAAAAAAGCAGTTATGTAAAAGTAAAATAGTTGTTTTCACCTTATGATCTGAAAAAATATGTAGCTCATTGACAAAGGTATTGAAATTAGTACTTGATAAGCATTTTCTTTTTAAAATAAACTCCAATATTAGAAAGCAAGTATTTTCAATATGATTAGGAACCAGGTAGTTTCTTGATAAAAAGCAGCAACAGTAAAGATGTTCATGTCTTTATTGTCTGTAGCATAAAATATGCTAATACAGCACCACCAATCTTCAAGCACGTTTTCATCTTTATGAAACCAAGCTTCTTTCCCTTTGTCTCCTGCAGCCATGCATCGAACTTATAATACCATGTATGATTCAATTGGCGATGTCAAAAAATAAATTAAATATCTTCAAATCTATCAAGTACATTATTTTCTTGTAGCACACTCTTTCCTTGAAGGATGGTTGGAACACGTTGATTGGTTGAGTTTGTTTGGTCCTTTTATATGTATATATATATATATATATATTTACACTTTTTCAATTCATCAAATAAAAGAACAATCATCGTCACTACAGTAATTGTTTATAGTCAATCCAAACATACTACTTGAACGAAGAAGACAGAATCCAAACTCGAAAATGAAAAAAGTAAGGGGAAAGTGCATCATATCAACAAATATTACTGTTGTTATTTATCCACCAATTAAAAGTGCTGATAACTTGGATCAAAATGAAATCGGCTTAGGAGCATGATTTGTCTGGGACCTAAACTAAATTTATAAAAAAAATATCTGAGTGTCATTTCTGCACGCGCGTGTGTATTAATAGACTTCGTTTTATCCTTTTCTTCCTTTCTTTTTCTTTATCCATTAAACATGTCTTTCGATACCGCTGCCATTAAAAACAACATTATCTCTCACGAAGTACCTGACTTTGTCTACACTTACGGTACTGCCGGTTTCCGTTCAAAGTAAGTTATTGACAAACTTATATATGTATCTAACTCGTCTTCTCTATCAGGGCCGACGTGTTGGGTTCTGTCATGTACAAGGTTGCTATCTTGGCTAGTTTGCGTTCCAAGAAATTGAATGGCTCCACCATTGGTGTCATGATTACTGCTTCTCATAATCCTGAAGAGGTAACTATCTTTATATACGTGTATGTGTTTATTAACATGCAGTAGGATAATGGTGTCAAACTCGTTGATCCTCGTGGTGAAATGTTGGAACAATCATGGGAAGTCTATGCTACCAAACTTGCTAATGCAAAGGATGGTGAAACACTTGTTCAAGTCGTTGAAGAAATAATTGCTCAAAACAAGATTGACGTCGAAACTCCCGCCAATGTTATTTATGCACACGATACTAGGTAAGATATAGATAAGAAAGCGCGTTTGATATAGTTGGTAACAATGTATGTGCGTGTGTGTCTAGACCCAGCTGTGCTGATTTGGTCAAAGCCCTTGAACTCGGCTTGAAGGTTTCTGGTGCTCAAAGTACCAACTATGGCCTCAAGACTACTCCTATGCTTCACTACCTTGTTCGTTGTATCAACACTGCTGGCACCAGCGATGCATATGGTGAACCTACTGAAGAAGGCTACTACAAGAAATTGACTAATGCGTATACTAATGCTGTCGTGAGTAACATAGTTTATAAGAGTATAGGTTGACGTATTTTTATCTATAGAAAGGAAAACCTCGCTTATCTACTTTGTACGTCGACTGTGCTAATGGTGTTGGTGCCCCCAAGCTCCGTGAAATGACAAAGTTCATTTCCGAGAATATTTTATCTGTCCAAGTTGTGAACGACAACATCACTGGCTTGGGACAATTAAACAAGAACGTGAGTTTCTGACTAAAAAAGAAAGTGAAAGAATGTTATTGAACTTTTATTAGTGTGGTGCCGATTTTGTAAAGACTCAACAACGTGGTCCTCATGGCATTACTCTCAAGGCTGGTGAAAGATATTGTTCTTTTGATGGTGATGCTGATCGTATCGTCTTTTACTATGCTACTGAAGATGGCACCTTTAGACTCTTGGATGGTGATAAGATTGCTGGTCTTGCTGCTCTCTTTATTGCTGAACTTGTCAAGGAAGCCGGTATTAACTCTATCAAGGTTGGTGTTGTCCAGACCGCTTATGCTAATGGTAGCTCCACCAACTATCTCACCAAGGTCTTGGTAAGTAGTGTTGTTCAAAACATTGTGTCGTACTAACTACGAATATTCTAGAATGTGCCCGTTTCTTGTGTTTCTACTGGTGTTAAGCATCTTCACCACGAAGCTGAAAAATACGATGTTGGTGTTTACTTCGAAGCTAACGGTCATGGTACTGTTCTCTTTAGCCCCAATGCTCTCAACACCATTAAGTCTACTGAAGCGTAAGTACATACAAAGAAAAAGACTGTTGGCACTAAAGATATTATAGTCAAACTCCTGCTCAAAAGCAAGCCATTACTCAACTTGAAGCCTTGACTGAACTCATTAACCAAACTGTCGGTGATGCTATTTCTGATATGCTTTTGGTTGAAGCTATCCTTACCAGCCGCCAATGGAGCTTTGAAGAATGGGATCAAGCTTACACTGATCTTCCTAACCGTCTTGTCAAGGTTGTTGTGCCTGATAGACACATCTTCAAGACAACTAATGCCGAACGCCAATTGGTTGAACCTGCTGGCCTCCAAGCCGAGATTGACGCCCTTGTTGCCAAGTACAGCAATGGTCGTTCGTTTGTTCGGTAAGTTGACATGAAAATATAAAATCATGTATTCATTGTGTTATAGTGCTTCTGGTACTGAAGATGCTGTCCGTGTCTATGCTGAGGCTGCTTCTCGTGCCGAAACAGATGATCTTGCATTCAAGGTTGCTCAACTTGTCCACGACCGTGCTGAAAAGGATAAGCTCGAGTAAAGAAAGAAATCATCTATAAACTCCCTTTGCACACACACACACACGCACACATCCCACTTGTTCATTTCACAAAGCATTTATATACACACTACCAAAAAAAAAAAGACTTTATTTACCCTTCCTTTTAAATAGCATTACACCTAAAAAAATAAAGTACAATTCCTTAAAGATCCCAGACTTTAACGACAGAACTGAGCCAAGTTGTTGTTGTCCAGATAGGTAAAGAACGGCGCACAACAGACATAATACCAATATCGCCAATCATACGTTCTTCTCCTTTACCAGCAAATCCTTCTTTTTCTAATGCAGTGAATTCAAATCGGATCTTCCATTCTCCAGACTCTGCCTTGGCTCTGTCTTGCTCAGGTACTTTGACAGATAAATCAAGGGTCCAGCCATCATTGCCATAGCCACTTACATGACGAACAACATAATGGGAGGAAGTACTCAAAGGCTTTTCATCTTGAATACTCCAATCAACTACGTGGCCATCAAAAGCAATGACAGTCCATGTATAAGAAGGAGATAGACAAACAAGGGAGAGTGAGCGAATACCAGTCACAGGATCATAACTATCGTTAAATACTTTGACTTCAGGGAATGGGCCAGAGAGTGAATCCATTAGAGGAGCATCCGATTTAAGTTTAGACAATGAGGTGTGCTTACGAATATAAGGACTGACATCAAATCGATAGCCACCTAAAAAGGCGCTGAAGGGATAAATAGAATCCCAGTCATTCATGTTACTCGAAGCATCGCGAATCTCGGCTTTGACTTCCAATTCATGTTCTAATGAATCAACGATTGTCTGGATATAGGGTCCGTGATCAGCTTGTGCAACACCCACTGTAATTTCACCCGATGTCAAGTTTTTCAATTGTTGGACAAACCTATATGATCTTTTAGTTGCCCCTTCTTCTATTAATTATAACTTACAATCGTTTGGGATGAAGTTCATCATAAGGAAAAGCCCAACCATCGTAACTTCCACCGCTCACATAGACAGCCACAAGAACAGTAGTTTGGAACAAGATCAAAAGAACCAAGATCTTCTTGAGGACTTTCTTACCAAATCGATGAACATGGGCAACAGAAGGCAATGAGACCATAAAGATAATCATACCATAAATAACGGCCACAATAGCATCCACAGGCGTATCCACACCCATACGACCCGTCAAAGGAACAAAGATATCAACAAGAGCAAAGGCATAGTCAGAGTACAACAAAGACAATACAAAACCAGATAGAATATAAGCAGCGGTACCTACCTGAGGTAAGTAAATCTTGCTAGGAAGAGGACGAAGTCCCCATTCGTTCACGAGACAGGTAATAAACAAAACAAAGCAATAAAGCCAAAATACGTAAGAACTAGCCACACCAGTTTGTGTAGTAATGGCTGTACTAATAGCAAAAAAGAGCATCAAGGAAGTGAATGTACCATATTCCATATCAAAATGCTCAGGACCAGGTAGGAAATAAGACAAGTATTGAACACCATAAGCACCAATCAAGCCCATAGGACTAAAGATAAGAGCACCATACCATTCGTGTTTAAACCAAGCCATATGGCGATTGAATCCTTGAGATGTGATCAACAAAGCTATCGTGATAGGCAAGATCAAAGCAGTAACCATACTGAGAAAGACAGACACAGTTGATTTACCATAAGACATCAAAATGTGGCTGACTGAACGATAGGGTGAAGAACTATGTGTCTTGTTGACGATGTAGACAAAGTAAACAAGTGCAAATGCTACTGTTGTCATTTGAATTGTGTAAGCCGTAGCCCATGAATAAACAACGAAAAAGAATCCTTGGACATCAAAAAAGACAACTTCACTAGAAGGCTCAATGTTTGTCAAGGAAGAATTCTGAGCTAAATAGTTGACAATGGCCAAAGTATTTGCGCCCAAGTGTTGAATAGCGCCTGGTTCCAATTGTTTTGTCACGTCAAGATGAGTGTGGTACAAGTAAGAGTTTTTGTAAATAGCCATGTCAATGCCTGTCAAGTTGCCATATTGAACGAATTGTCTAAAATCAGTGTCTGATAGAATCAAACCTGTACGGAACACATCATTTGCCTAGTTGTTCTTGTAAGCATACACAATATAAATAAATGTCTTACCATGACAGTGCCATGAGGATAAGGTGCTTGTTTGTAAGCTTCAATCATTTCTCGAGAATTAGCTTGAAATAAGATCTCACGACCACTGGTACCACAAGCATCAATATTTACAACTGAACGAATACTATGATGTATCTTTTTTAGTCTTATAGCTCTTTATTAACAGTGACACATACCTATCTTTGATCTCATGCATTGTGATAAAGGCATGAGAAGCATCTTGTAGCGATTCTTCAGCACCATTGAATACTATAAAACATAGTCAACATATGCTCTCCTGTTCTTTTGCTCTTTCTACTTACAAAATACAACAGCATTTCTATAGCTTGTCCAATCACGCTTACTCAAGACACGCACAAGGTCCATCATGATAGCAGTACCTGAACCATCATCAGTAGCACCAGGCGAACCTAGTGTTGTATCAAAATGTGCATTCAATAAAACAGCATTATCTTCACAGCTACGATTATCAGGATATTGAGGGTCGATTGGACAAGATAAACGGACAATAATATTAGTGACATTGGTATAAGCCTTCAAGACCACTACATAAATAAGGTTAAAAATAACTTGTTATTCGCTTAAATTTTTTTTCTTTTTTACTTTTATCCATGATGTCAAAACGGTGCGAACTTGTGCCTTGCTGGACCCAAATATCAAATTTAGGTGAACCTTCAATGCCCTGGGCATCTTTCTTGTATTGTGAAATTACATCATGAATATATTCATATGTCTGTTTTTCCTCGATAGTGCCAACAATACCTTATTGATGATAAAATGTCAATCGTGTGTACGCGTTACAAGTTTAAGCTTACGGTATCCAATTGTATCACTCAAATGAGAAATAATGTTTATGGCATTGCTTTCTGAGAAATCAGATAAGCCTGTCTTTGCGTTATATCCATTATGGTTAGCTGGTTCAGGCACAGTATAGTGAAAGCGAAAAGCAAGTGTAAAACCACACAAAACAGTCAATATGACAGTGAACCAAGACTTTAAAATCTTTTGGAGTGTCCTTTCTTGAGAACCCTCTCCTCCGAATGGCCTTTGTTTGGACTTTAGGCCTGTCATACTTTCTCTATAAACAAAAAAGAAAAGAAAAGAAAAAAAGAAAAGCGAAAAGTGCTATCCTGGCTTTATTTTTTTTCCGTACTGCCCTTTTTTCATACCCAGAAAGGAGGTTATCCACTTTGAGAAGTCTTGGATGACAATTGAGATAGATATGCATATGGGCTCCAATGAACATATAAAGGTAGCATAAAGCCTGTTTACATACGCATAAATGCTTTAAATGCTTATAAATTATGTTTACTAACGTCTATGATACCTTGAGAATCGATTCGGGCCAAAAAAAAAGCGACTTGTAAAAAATGATCATTTTGGCCTCGAATCCAAAGAGTATTAGCCGTGAAAATATTCGACTTGACAGCTCTTTAAGCTTCTTTTTGATGCTATAAGACGAAAAATAAAGATATAGACGAGCTTAAATACTCGAAATGCGTGTCAGAGGCTGTCGTTTTTAGGTGAATGTGTTTGCTTGCTAACTGCACTATGAAAATGAGGAGATATGAGTGAAAAACCTCAAGATTGTTTTTGCCTATTTATTCAGCATTTTAGAAGCGTTTTTTCCACCAATAGACTCAAAAAGCAACAATCTACAGCTTTTGTCGCTGCACCAAAGCCAGAAAACTGCGTCTTTATGCAGTTCTCAGAAAAAGCTTGATTTCTGATATGGCAGGATGAAGAACTGGAATCTTTCGGCTTCAATCTTCGCATACAGCCTCTCCGTATGTCCTATGTCCATTTGCTCTCACATTTATACTATAAAGTGCCTATATTTGTATTTCAATATATTTTTTGACATCCAAAATAGCACATGATAGTTTTCGAAAGTCCATTGATAGCACATTTTATATGACATCTAGGACAAAAACGCACAAGATACTGCTTAAACGAGCTGATCTTTGATGGACCATTACTCAATTACCAGATTATCAAAACAGTCTGTTTTTTTCATTTAAAACATGTTCTTTTGAAATTTATGATTTTGACCCATGAAGGATCACGAGAGGTCCGTGAAGATGAAAAAAAAAAAAAAGTTCATCGAGAATTTTTTGGAATGACCTTATGTAGGTCTGATCCAACTGAAATCGGGTGAAGCCATTTTCAAGTACTCCCAAAGAAAAGAAAACGAGTTTACTTAGATAAAAGAAGGCGGCTTAATTTGAGCATTGCCTTCAAATCTGCATTCAAAGCTCATTGTACATTATAATCAGTACAAAAGCGGCCCCTTTTAGTAGATATTGACTATAAAGTAGGTAGCCATTCTTAAACTGTTCGACGCAGAAAATGCGCACGACCAATATCTGTGATAATACATAACTCTTGAGGCCAAGGAGAGCAACTTTGATTATAACTACGATGGATGTCTTATAGCAGGATGATCATGGATTTCAAACCTCAACGTTTTTTTTTCCCTGCGTTAGCATCTTCTTTTTGATCCAGTTGTTAAAAATACTAGACATTAGATGTGCAAAAGCAAAGCGTAATATCATAGCATATTGAAGACAAAATCATTATGCTTCAGCAAGTGTGCTATACTCTGATCAACTCATACTGAAAATAAAAAACAAGATTGTTTATGTCTATAACTTAAGACAAACAAGTACCAAACAAGCACAAACCTAGATAAAAGCATGTTCTGATTATGGCGCAAAACAGGTAAATATAGAGAGAAGCTATCGAGACCTTTACTCAAACACTCTCTAGTAGTTGTAGTGCGTGTTTATACAGCCACTGAAATACCATACAAACAATAAAATACACTCATGAAAGGGCTTTTAAGCAAGACGTAAAGCTTATTGGAACAAAAAGAATAAAGAAATACTATAGTTGAGCAAATTGAGCAGGATTTTAATTAACAAACTGTATAGATTTGTACATTTGAAACGTTAAAGGTGTATAAAAAGAATAAAATAAATATTATCGTCTATTGAATAAGGAATTTACACAGCCTTTGTCCTGGCAGTATTGCGACGCTTTGTAGTGAATTCTCTAAGAGTAGTTTGTGATTTAGATAATGTTCGCTTGAGTGGTGGACGCTTTGAATTAGATGACTTGATTGTAATCGTCTTCTTCTTGCTCTTTGTTGGCTTATTTTCTTTTTCTTCTTCTTCATCTTCCTCTTTCTTTTGGGTCAAGCGCTTTTTGATCTTGTTGGCTGTCTGTGTCATTAATTTCTCGTCTGCCATTTTTTCATTTGTCAATTCCACCCATCTGTCAGAATCACCCAAGACTTCGTAATCAAAGATCTTTTCCCATTCTTTTGTAGGACTTGTACGATTCACAAACACAACACAACCACCAGGCTTGGAATGAATAATACGAGCAGCTTGCTTGATAAATTTTTTAAGTGCAGGAATTTTAAGTGAAGTGCCCATCACAATCATTAAATCAGGCTTCTTTTTGAGATCATTGACTTGCAACTGACCAATTGATTCGCCTTGAGGATGATCCTCGTTGTACAACACAATAGCAGGACGGAGGGTGCCCATAGACAACTGACGTTTACCAAGTCTTGTGCGTTCAGCATCAGCAGATTCACATTGAGGGCATCCCGGCGCTTCTCCTTTACGGAACTGTTGTTCATACTCATCTGTGAAATCAAAAGTAGCACTGCAAAGTGTGCACCGAACTTCTTTCATCGTACCGTGCAATTGAATGGCTGGAATATTCAGATTTTCTTCCAAAAAATCAATGTTTTGTGTATAGCAACGCAAAAGCTGTCCCTTCTCGGTTAAAGATTGAATAAATTCGTGGGTAATGGTGGGTTCTGCGTTGGTTATCAAAGAGCGTAATTCAGCCATGAAGGTATAAAAGCATTTGATTGTTTTTTCGCTACGAAATAAGGTAGCATCAAACAATTCTTTACCGCGTAAAACAATGTCAGGGTGGCGTTTTTTGACTAGATTATATAAACCATCTGAGGAACGGAAATCCTAAATATGCTATTAAAATAAATTTTTTTGTGCACGCGTTTATTTTATGTAACATACAGGTATACCACTGCTGCAAGAAATACCTGCACCAGTTACGACAAGTGCGCGTTTGCTTTTTGCAATATAAGAAGACAATTCTGTAAGAAAAGGGCCTATCACTTCTGAAGGCTCAGAAATAGCGATCGTCTTCTTCATATTGGGCTGATGAACAATAATAAAAGAGAAAAAAGCGAAAGAGAAAAAATTTTTTTTGTGCTGGTCTTTAGAGTGTCGATTTATTATCCCGCCAAGTGGAAACAAGCGTATTGTGTCGACGAGAGAGATAAAAGAAAGAAAAAGAAAAAGGAAAAGAGTTGATCATGAATTGAATTGGTTCAATAGCGTTTCACCAGTACTAAATTTGTCTATTTCCATTTGTGTTTATACTTTGTTCAAAATTGAATCATAATTAAATCAAGTCTATGTGAGTAAAAACAAAAAGACAGTTGGATCATTCATGATGCTAATTGGGCCGTATTTTGCTGAAAATTCAAGTCCTCCTTATGTGTTCTACATAGAAAGCATTGATGAGCCCATAAAGATAATAGAAAATTCTAAGACACACAGTAGAAACAAGTGTAGAGCAAATGACCTTTCGTTAAATCAAGTCTACTTGCTTCTTATTTTCAAAAAATGCAGTAAATTTAACTACAAGCTAGAAGAGACAAACATGGAGTCAATTATATATGGCCTTTCACTTTTTAGAGTCGCCAATATATATATATATCCCATATAGACCTTTTTTTTTTTTTTTTTAAAAAAAACATCGTTTTAGAATTGATTGATCAATTTTGATTTGATTCATTGCAGGCAATTCGGATTTCACTAAGTTATCATCTGTTTGGTAGTGTTGTAAAAAACTGATAGTTAATAGCTGACTAGCAATGCAAAAATACGACATATTGCTTGACTTGTTTTTAGTTAATATTTAAGGCTTGTGTCTATGATTGAGAATAGCACTTTGGGTTTTCTATGTTTGTTCAAGTCAAGAACAGCACTCTGCTTGATTATTCAGCTAATTGTGAAGTAAATGGATCTCAACATAATTGATCCAAACTGACATTATTATTTTTTACAATAGAATTTCATCCATCATATTTTTACTACTGCCTTGCTACTTTTTTTTTAGTAAGGAAAACTAATCTTCTTGATAAGTCTTGCTTAAAAATGTTTTATGCGTCTAAAAATACTTGAAAGTAGTGTCATTGAATATAGTATTTTGATTGGAAAACATAATTCTATCTTTTGCTTTGTAGATATACAGATTGATTTAACAGTCTCTTTATGTGGACATAGTAGAATCCGTCTTATCAACGAATCATGTCTTAATAAATCAACATGATCTGTGACAAAACCACTGTGAAGATTTGGGCCATTTGTTGCATATGTTTGTTTGTTCAAACAAAGAACAAAGGTTCATTTAATCAATTATTTTTATTTTTGCTTAAATAGACTTCAAATAAATGCTAGCGGGTAAAAGTATGCAAATCAAATGGTGCATCATGTAGCATATAGTTTTCTCAAACTAAAGAATCTATCTTTATCAAGCAATATCACAAAATGAACTCTCTTTTTCTTTTTTGTATAGGACTCAGGAGGTTGTAATATTTGTTTATGTAGTTTAAAGAAAATATTCGTTAGTATGACAATGCGATTTTTAGCTTGTTACACTTGAGCGTGATAATAAACAAATTCTGCCAAAACTGTTAGCCGACCTTTTTTTTTATTTTGTCATTATAAAAGTATAAAGTATAGTATAAATATATTAAAATTAAAATGCTAAAGTATAATAAAGAGTAAAGAAGTTCAAGATGAGAATATTAATTAGATCACTTGAACCTTCAGTAATGGCTTTTTTCTGTTTCTGATAAGGCGCGAATTAAGCAGTAGCTTGAACAGCTGGTAAAGTAGTAGTGGTAGGAGCAACAGCAGCATGTTCTTCTTGTTCAGTAGCAGCATTTTCAACAACAGTTTCGTTGGGAGTAACGCCAGTTGCAGTAGCAGCAGCTTCAGCTTCAGGGGAAACAGGTTCATCTTGCTTTTCTTCAGGTGTCTTCTTCTTGTGAGAGAATCCACGGAACATTTGAGTGATACGACGGCCTAAGGGGGAACCAGCACGCTTCTCTTCAGTGTGTGTAGCAGGAATAGCTTCATTAGTAGTTGTGGTAGTAGTAGTAGTAGGTTCAACTAATCAAATTTAATTAATATCAAATTTTTAGAATTGTAGTACATTGTATTGATAGATGAACAAGATAATAAAAAAAAATAGAGTAACTTGTAAGTTACACACGTTCACATGTGTTTCCTTTAAGAAATACTCTACACTTGATCACTACAGCAATAGAATGCTAACGTATTTTTTTTTTTTTTTACTAAACTTACCAGCTGTGGCAACTGTGGGTTCAGTATCAGTGGTTGCTTCTGTAGGATGTTCTTCTGATTCAGAAGTGTGTTCAGGCTCCTTCTTCTTGAAGAATTTACCAAGAGGACCTTTCTTGATAGTATCAATGACGTTTTCTTTGTGCTCTTTGTGTACAATATCCTTAGTGGTTTCAGTAGGAATCGATTCGTGAGCTTCTTCTACAATACCACCCGAAGTTGCTTCCGCAGCTGCAGCAGTTGCTGCAGCAGTTTCTTCCTTATTAGTAGCAGTTGTCTCAGTCTTTACAGATTCTTCAGCTAGATAAACAGATCATGAGTCAAATGACAATATATATATATATATATATATATATGTAAACGACTTACTTTTAGCAACAGGTTCTTCTGATTTCTCGACTTCCTTTACAGGACTCTATAAACAAAAAGAAAGAGGATTAGTTCTTTGTTCTTTAGAATCGTTTCAAAGTAGTCTGGACACAATCATTGTAAGAAGGTCACACCAGTGTTGCTGAGGGCAAACTTTCTTTCTGAACAGATTCATAAAGTCCGCTTGATTTGTGAAAGGAGGGGAGTGTTAAATATACAATGATTGATCCGACTCTGCATGTAGAATAGAAAAAAATGGAGTGATGTTTTTTCTCTCTTCTTACCTTGCTGCGGAAGATGTTGCCCAAGATAGATTTACGCTTTTCGTTCTTGGGTTTCTCAGACGTTGTTTCTTTAGTATGAGCAGGTTCTTCAGTCGATGTGGTGCTATCGACATTGGAAACAGGTTCTTCAGTAAGAGCGGCAGCATGAACAGGTTCAGCAGTAGGTGTTTCTGCTTCAGCTTCAGTATGTTCAGCAGCATGTTCTGTTGTTTCCTTTTTGGGGGTAACAGGCTTCTTTTCAGATACCTTATCAACAAAGTTCTTTGCCTTACCAAGGAAGACAGAGAGACGTTTAGAGGTGTTTGAAGATTTGGAGGGAGTAGGATTGGCAGCATGAGCTTCAGTTTTGGGCTCCTCAATCTTAGGTTCTTCCGTCTTGGGTTCTTCAGCCTTAAATGATTCAGTCTTGGGTTCTTCCTTGGTTTCAACCTTGGATTCTTCAGGAACAACAGTGACTGGTTCAGTAGGAGGTGGAAGGACAGAGGCGGCTTCAGTGATGACAGGAGTGGGTGCGGTAGTCTCAGACATAGTTTATAGATTAACAGAAAGAAATGGAAAAGAAAAGAAAAAAAGAAACAAGTGTGCCAATTTATCCTTTTGGTTGAAGGCGGAACACCAAAATAAAATGAAAAAAGAAGATCTTTTTGACTCAAATGACCTTACTGATCAGCCGTTCTTTTTTTTTCTTTTGTATGAGTACATTGCACGTGATGTTGTTTTCGTGTAACTTATGCAACCGTTAGCTTTTTAGGAGACATTGCGTCAATAAGTTTCCCACAAATAAAAAAAAAGTTTATTTTAGACGAGAAAAAATTTAAGCACGGGCAAGACGAGCGTTACGGGCCAATTGACGAGCATTGAGCTTGACAACCTTCTTATCAGCAGCACGGGCAACAACTTCATCCTTTTCAGTGAGAATGACTTCAATATGACAAGGAGAAGACATAAAGGGGTTGATTCTACCGTGAGCACGATAAGTACGACGACGGTGTTTGGGAGCTTGGTTGACAACAATGCTGGAGATGTGGAGGTCTTCAACGTTCAAACCCTTAGCCTATGATCATGTAAGTATATTTTCTCTCTCTCTCTCTCTCTCTCTCTTTTTTTTTTTTTTTCATTTTCTTACTTCGGCGTTGCTTTCAGCGTTCTTCAAGAGGTCAGTGACGAACTTGACGGACTTGACGGGCCAGCGACCTTGAGTGGCCTTGAATTCCTTGGCTTGAGAAGCACGACCAACACCACCGTTGAATTTACGGAAGGGGATGACTTGCTTGTGTTCGGTAACGTTGTTGAGATAAGCATAAGCCTTGCTCAACTTTAAACCTTGAACAGCAGCAGCAACTTCGTGTGTGTTCTTGAACTATAAAGGTATTAGCATTCCTATTATCCAAACTTTCAAAACACATACGTGAACACGGAGATAAGAACCTCTAGACTTGGCAGCTATATTTAGACATAGGTTAGGATTCAAAACAATGAGACACGTTACTTACCCTTAGCAGGGTTGGCTGGGGTAGCAGCGTATCTGACCATATTTATTGATAGAGTCTATAGAAAAGAAAAAAGTGTTACTATATATATTCGCTCATGACAACTCGATGCTCTTTTCCAAGATTGACAATGTTCTCCATTTTCAGATTGGACTGATCGCAAGGTACTGAATATCAACTTCTTTTTCATCAATCCAGAAAAGAGCATCCTATTCCCTCTCCCTCTCTTTCTCTGTTCTCTCTCTCTCATGCTCCATTTTGGATGGATGGCTATATCTTACGTTTTAATACGCACAGCAAAGAGAAGGATCTATCTCTTTGCCCATCTCCCACTGTGCTATAATTGCTGCTCCGTCCGTTGCTTGCGGATTTTTGGGGGAGAATCTCACTTTGGCTCCCCCCCCAATAGGAGTCTAAAAGTTCTCGAGAAAGATGGTTCGGCTCGACTCTTTTTAGTCCTCCGAACAAGCATAAAACTTTTTTTTTCTGTTTTAATGACAACCACACAACCAGAATACCGAGACCCAAAAAAACCAAAAGCTGTTTATGTATATACAATTGCTCAAGAGTCACGCTATTTGATTATTGAAAATGTACCCAATTTAGGTGTGATTGATCAACTTGTTCAGTTATGTAACTCGTTTGGTCAAGTGGAAGAACATCGTATGCTTGATAACCATACTTCCAGTACAGACTATGCAGATGTCATTTGGATTAAATATCATGAGATACGTTCAGCAAGGTTAGCAAAGCGTAAATTGGATAACACGCCCTTTTTTACCAGTCTACTATGTGTGAATTACGCTCCTGAATACGAGACATGGCAAGATATACGTGACAAATTCAATGATCGATATCAAACAGTTCTTGCTAAACTTTCACAAGATAAAAAGAAAAAAATAAGACATTTTGTTGAAGAACAAGTATTAATTTATGATTCGCCTAAAGAAGAAGAGAAAGCTGATTCTATTTCTCAAGATACACTTCCAACAGTAAAAAAACGAAGAAGAATCTAATGAAACTGCTCAGTCAAATCTCTAAACAATTTAAGAGCCTGATCCGGAGAAAAGAAAGCAAATATAGAGTATGACGCATAGTCCATAATAAGTATGATATCATAATATCCAAAACAATTGGTCTTTGACACGCAATCACCTCTTTAAGAATATTGAATGTCTAATATGACTATAAAAATACAAGGGCAAAAAAAAAGGCTCTGGAAATAAGCCGTCCAAGAAATAAAAAAAAATTTTTTTGTATCTTTCTTTTTGTTTCTTTTCTTCTTTTACTGTTTTCTTTTCTTTCTTTTTACTGGTTATATTGTTCTTGTTTTGACTTTTAGGCTCTGGCCTTATTGCAAATACATTATACCAACATCAACAACATCTTAATCTACCAACTTATACCATTTCTTCATGGTTATCAGCAACAATAATTCACGATACAATAAGGTCATGATGGAAGATAACAAATGGACTGAAGTTGTTTCTAAAAAGAAGCAACACGACCCTTTTGCTGGTATGAAGTCCAGTGTTGATTATGAATTGGAAATCGAACGTCTGAAGCAACTTGTGCCCAAGGTTCATAACAGCACAATAATCGATAATCATCACAAAAAGAAGTATATGGAAAAGAAACTCAGCCATTTTCATCATCATTCTATTCAATCTCATAGCAACCATCACTATAATAACCACACGACTACGCATCTCACACCCCACACTATGACAACGCATGAATTCAACAACAGCCTTTCTCGCTCTACCTCGCCTGATACAATCCATTCCACTGATTCTGATAATTCATCATTAGCTGAAATTGTCACTGAAGAAGAAAAATTACGTTTCTTGGCATTTGTCCGCAGTTGGACAGGTGACTGGAGAAAGGGTCAACCACTGATGAATCAATGGGCGGCAGACCAATCTCCTTGGTATACAGGTCCTCGTCGAGTATCCAAGTTGGAAGAATTCCCAACTCATGACTTATACTGGCAAACTTCCAATGTACAAACAAACACTTATTCTGTTCAACCTATTGGATTTGGTAGGAAATACAATCCTATCTTGTAGACAGCACAGTGGAAAAAAAATTTCACCCTGTTTCTTTGAACATAATTTATATCCTTCATCGCCCTCACTTTTTTTTCAGCGCCAAAAAGAAACTGTCCTCTATATCATTTTTTACAACACACACACACACACACACACACAACACTAACATATATACGCATATACACAAAATCAAGGCACGTAATACATACACTTTTTCCTCTTTAATACAAATTATTTATTTAAATACTACATGATAAGTTTCTTTTTTTTTTTACATATAATAATACATATTTAATAAAGATCTCTTTTTTTTAATCAGTTATATCTTCAGTATAATTTGCTGGGAAATAACCTTTTTTTGTTCCTATTTCACCTTCCCACCAACTGTTTCTATCTTCCAGTCTTTTTGTGACAATAATATGATCGCCTGCGGAAAAGGATAGATCAGTAGGAGCATCGCTATGATAATCGTATTTAGCTACAACTACTGTCATGCTGTCTGCTGGAGGAGGCATGGCTGGTTTTATATCCTGATGTGATTTCGTGTCCTTGCTTTGATGCAATGGTGGTATAAACATGACAGGTGATGATGGCGCAGCGTTGTTCTGTTCATGTGGCGAGTAAAAATGAGAAGGGCCAGCACCTTGTGAATGGCCCGTTTGATGAATATTGACTGCAGCTTGATTAATGGATTGTCGACTGTAGCCTGTTTGCATTACAGGTCGTTTTGTATCGGGTGGAAAAACGCTGGCTTGATTGTCAAACGAATGAGGAGGCATGCTAGGATTCGCTTCGTAAGGAGGTGGAGGATCCATGTATTTTTCATCTTTTGGCAATGGTCGTGGTGGCTGTGGTTGTGGTGGCTGTGGCTGTGGTGGTTGTGGTGATGATTGAGTGGGTAATGAGGCAGAAGTATGAGACGATTGTTTTCCTAAAACACTTTTTCTTGGTCCAAAAGAAGCACCTGGGCGAGGTCCAGCTCCTAAAGCGTTTAATGCATCGTATAATTGTGCAGCGTCTTGCGGAGGAGGCACCACACCTGTCAAAATCTCATGTGCTGTGATAGGACGTCCATAGTAAGCTTGGTTCGTCCGGACTCGCTCAGACACTTTGGAACCTTCAAATTGGTACCCTAAATATAGACCTTTCGATGAACTATAAGCATATGTGGCAGCAACATGGTTGCCTGTCATAGAAGCAGAAGCAGAAATGTCTGCACTACGACCAATGGGTCCTGCAGAAATCGATGCGCCAACGCCTAATTGTAATTGTCCTCCGCCATCTAAAAATGCTTTTACAGCAGCTCTGTAGTTCATGACAAGAATCATATCAATCGATTCTGCACCAAACATTTGCCCTACTCCCTAACACGTTGAGATTAATATTATTGATGTATGAATCAATTGCTTACCAGAGAAACCATAGACACACCTGAAGGGGCTGACCAGCCTGAAAAAAAAAAAGAAAGTTAGAGATCATACTCAATCAAGAAAAAAAATCATGAACTTTACTGCCATTAGGAAGTCTATGTACTAACATGAATATGTATAACCCAATGCTATATTTTTGTATTTACCTTGCTATAATAATTCCATTGCCAGTTTTTGCAGAAAGACCGAGACCAACTCGGAATAATCGAATAAACACAATACCATGCGCATTCGCTAATACAGATGAAGGAATCAACATTGACAAATCTTTCCCTTTATTAGGGTCTATTTTTACATCATGGCTACGTCAGTTATATGCTCATCAATGCACAGAAAAAAAATTACCTGTGAATAATTGTAGGATCTGAACAGCACGTTGAATATCGCCTAAACAAGTATATATGAGTAAGAAAAAACTTGGAGTTTGAATCATTTTAGCAACGGTGTACCCTGTAATTCTTTTGGTGTTCTTGAAGGCATTGTATAGGTTGATAGAAGAAAAAAAAGAAAAGAAAAGAAGGTAAACTCTATCTTTTATACGCTAGATAAAACAAAATTAAACTAGTCACTATTTTTTTCCCTTAACAATTCCTTGGCAAGGCTTGCTTATACTTTTCATTGGGTCTCTCTCTTTTTTTCCCTATATGCATGATTCTCTTTGTGACTACAATAAACAGAGTTACAACAAAGCGTTTCAAAGTCCTATTATGACAAACAACATTTTTGTTATTATATGCGGAAACCAGACCACGGGTATCTAATTTTATTTTATATTAAAGTGTCGTTTTTTATTTTCTTCTTTTTCTTCTTTCTTTCTTTTTACTGTTGTTGACTCCTACCACTTATACAAAAAGAACTCTCCCTCACTCTTATTATATATAACACATGTCTAATAAAAATCGTAAGGAAAAGACTTCTTTTTGGAAAAAGATTGGGTTGGGCAAAAGTAAGAGTTCGATAAGCTCGCTCAAGTCAGAAATACAACGTCAAGGTAATAGACGCTAAATAGTACCTTGAATGTATTAACACTATTGATAGATCAACATGATACCCATAGTGTAAAGAGCAAGCGTTTTAGGTAACATTCAGAAAATTCAAAAGATGTTTATGCTTACAACTAATCATAGTGGTCTATCTATAAACCATTTACCACCTAAAACAACCGAGCAACAGCAAATACCACCTATACCTACTACACCTAAACCTGCACAATTTAGACCACCACCTTCTCCTGTTGAGACACCTAAAATCGAACAACAACCTTCTCCTCCATCTTCTCCTATTCCAGGTAAAAGAAACATGTCTATTTATATATATATGTATCCTTACTCTTATTTTTTATTGTTCAGATACGACCCGAACAAGTGTTACTCAAAATGCCGTTATTGAGGATGACAATGAAAAGAATGTAGTGGCATCATCTGACACAAATAATAAGCAAGAAGCCGAAGAAAATCTCGACGCTTCTTATGTTGTTGTTTCCGAAACAAGTCAAGAATTAAAAGCGACGATTACTGAGCTAAAAGCTGAACTCGAGAAAGAAAAAGCAACTGTCAGTGCACTTCAGAAACAAAAAGAAGGTAAGAAAAACTATCTAAATGATTTCATTGACATAAAAATTAGCTGTAACAAAAGACTTGGACTATTTAGAACTCACTGTAGATGAACTATTTACTGAAAAAACAGACTTATTACAGCAACTTGAAGACGAGAAAATCAAGAGTCAACATCATTTAGATGATTTAAACATTTTGCTTGAGAAAATGAAATCAAATGCAGATAGTGCAAGAGATCAATCATTTGCTGTTGACCAATCGAGAATGGAATTTGAGGTTTGTTTTATCATGTTGTCTATTTACTTGTACTCATAAAACAACAGGCTTATCAAAAGAAAGCAAATCAAGAAAAAGACTTGCTTTTGAATGAAATAAAAAAGAAGGATGAGCTGATTCAAGGATTAAAGGTAAGTTTTGTTTGTTTATTATGCAGACACTGATTTCTGTAGTACAAATTGAGTCAATCACAAGAGCAAGTTGAGTTGGTCAAACAAACAATGAATCAGCTTGTCACAACACATGCCAGTGAACTCAGTCGAGTCACCGCACAGCTGCAACTCGTACAACAACAACAACAACAACAACAACAACAACAACAACAAGTAGAAAAAGAAAAGTAAGTTTGGTTTTATTGACGTTGTTGCTTATTCTTTTTTTTCTAGTTCATTACATACACCCAATGGTTCACCACGTATAAAGCCTGAACAAAATAATGATGACAGTCATCATACTGCTTATCACACACCTCAGTCTATGTCCCGTATTGATTCTTCTGATCAATACCGTACACCTAAACAGTCTATGGAGCATTTTGATCAAGAGGACCTTGATAATCAATTGATGAAATTGATTAAAGAAAAAGAAAAGGTAAATCACATAAATCATGAGTGTCCACTAAACCATTCGTTTATAGCTTCAATCTGATTATTCCAAGATTCCTTTGAGTGGTGGTGGACCTCAAGCTCGTAAACGTAAAGAAGAGTTGGAAGCTTTGTTAGATCATGTTGATTCTCAACTCAGTAAAGTCAAGCAAAAAATCAAAAAATCATAATACATACACAATATACCATAATTCACTGTCAATATTCCTTTTTTTAAAAAAATATCATAAAACCTCTTCATTCAATAAACATCATCTCATCGTTTAGTCAATCCATTCTGCAACATATCACGTGATCTTCGTCGTATGTCTTGTAATGCGCCGAATTCTGCATCTCCCTTTACCTATGACCCACGAACAAGATAGATTGGCTATTTGGCATGATATTTGCATAAAGAGCTTCAACCAAGAGCCGGTTGAAGTAGACTTTGTTAAGCATGTACTTTTTGAACATAAAACAACAGAAAATAGCTGTACATGGAAAACACATCGTAAAGAATTCCAACATTACTTTAAACAGCTTGACTTTGTTACTACTGACAATATGACATTCACTTTGTCGGCAGATGAGCTTACTTTACTTCGACAAGAAAGAGACAAGACACGATCTTATTGGCATTTTCATCACCGTGTGCAAGCAAGAAGACAGATTGCCAATCTTGTTCATCAGATGAAATCCCCTCTTGACATGACTCAAGCAGAACGCATACAGAGCGTAAAAGAGTTTGTCGACACTTTTGGACGCGATGTTACAGCTCGCTCCTTGTTTTGTGGACTAAGTCGTCTGTTGTATTATCAGCTAAACAACAAATACGTGGTTGAATGGAATGCGCCTGAAGCTATTTTTGTCGATAACGACGAAAGCAAGTTGCCAGCGTACATTCGATTCTTGTCTAGTATTCTAGGCATTGACATTGTTTGTCAAGATCAAGACCCATACAGTGATATACCCGCTGCTCCTCTTACGTCTGACTACAACACTATGATGTCTGCACAGCATGAATACAGCTATCAACTGAGAATGAGTGCATATATCGCAGACCAGTTTATCAAAAAGGTTTTGTATTACATTCCAAAAGACTTGCGTGCAAAAGACATGAATCAAGAATTACATGTGACAGACATGCTTCGTCTACAGCAACAACGTAAGACGCTATGTCAACGCATTCTAGATTTTCTAAAGCGCTTCTTCTCATTCTTCAAAAGACATTAAAATATAGCAAAAAAGTGCATACATTTCACAATTTTATTTGTTTATTGAGAGTGGATTTAGTAACCGAGGGCAGCAAGGGAAGCGTTGACATCCTTAAGGGCATCAGCCTTAGATTCAATAGCCTTCTTTTGGATAGCAGCAAGGGCAGTCTTGCGTTGGTAGTAAGCAGCAGACTTGGCCTTACGCTTTTCTTCGAGCTTGGCAACAACATCTTGGTACTTCCAGCCAACTTCGTGAGAGATACGACCAATGGTGGTGTACTTACGTCCGGGCTTAAGACGGAGGACACGGAGAGCATCAGGGATGACCATACGCTTAACACGGTCATAAGGAGCAGGGACACCTTCAAAGAGCTTGATACGGTCCAAAGCAGCAGCACCACGAGCAGTCTTGTGAGGGACCATACCACGGATAGCCTTGTACAAGATACGAGAAGGAGCACGGAAGTGGAAGGGACCACGAGTGGGGTTAACAAGACAACGCTTGTTAAGGTAAGCGTGGTACTTCACTATAAGAGTATTAAGTTAATATTCGTTCTATTCAAGCCAAGCATCTCCCCCTCCCTCTGTCCTATTTGATTTATTCTTTTGTCACAGAATGGGTGTTTATCATAACTATATTATGCCTTCTTCTTTTCTCGGTTGCGTGTTTCGTTTATCCTTGGTTCAAGTATTTTTTGTTGATTTTTTTTCAAGTCGTCTTTGTTGATTTGATCTATTCTGTGACATAGAAGAAAAAAGGAGGGGACACACACACACACATATATATGTTGTTACATACACTTGTTACGGAAGAATTCACCAGAAACGTTCAATTCTTCACAACGGACAACAACAACCTTTTGACCGTTAAGGGCTTGCTTGGCGATGATGGAGGCGAGACGACCTATCAAATTAATTTAAGTATATATGTATATATATCGATAACACATGGATATGTACCCAACAAGTGACCTTTGCCATCAATGACGATTTGCTATACAGTTTATATTAGTTGTGTACAGAAATAACGTGGATGAACATGTACCTTCTCGAATGTAGACATGCTAAAGTTCAGTGAGAAAAAAGAGAGGGAGCAAAAATTTTCAGCAAACCTTCAGGTTTGTTTACAGAGCGACACCCCATCTAAGCCACAGACTTCTTTTTTGGCTGTTTAAATTTTTTTCTTTCTTTTGACAAAGTCACTCGAAGTTTGTTTTTAGTCACACAATGGAATCAGGTACGGGCATTCAATTGAGATAGTGCCCATTGTTCATACCAGTTTTGCATGATCTATTTACAGAGACATCTACAAGTTGTTTACATGATATCTCATACAGTACTTTTGATTTTTGTATAGAAAAAACCAACTTGAAATATGGCCAATATCTCGGTTATTTTTCTTCTTTGGTCAATGATGTCTTTCTTTGCTATAGAATAAACAATGGTAATGTGGATAGAGACCAATAAGAAAATAAGATTAGTCTGAAACAGCAATGAAATGTGGCTTGTCTTCCAGCCTATGGCCTTGTTGCAGTCACACCAAAAAAAAAAGAAAGGAAAAAAAATGTCAAACCCAAACTTCTCTTCTTTCTACTACTATTAATAATAATAAAGAAAAGAATGACCAAATATATTGTTGTTTCTGGTGGTGTTATCTCTGGTATTGGTAAAGGCGTTATTGCCTCCAGTACTGGCACTCTCTTGAAGACTTTGGGTCTTCGTGTTACCGCTATCAAAATTGATCCCTATCTTAACATTGATGCTGGTTTGATGAGTCCTTTGGACCATGGTGAGTTAAAATGAAGCTAGAAAACAAGGGACTTATCCGATGATAGGTGAGGTTTTTGTATTGAACGATGGTGGTGAAGTTGACTTGGACTTGGGTAACTATGAGCGTTTCCTCGACGTTGAATTAAGCCGTATCAACAACATCACAACCGGTAAAATCTACAGAGAAGTCATTGAAAAGGAACGTAAGGGTGATTATCTCGGTAAAACTGTTCAGGTTGTTCCCCATGTCACAGATGCTATTCAAAGCTGGGTTGAACGTGTTGCTGATATTCCTGTTGATGAATCTGGAGAAAAGCCTGATGTCTGTATCATCGAATTGGGTGGTACTGTAGGTGACATTGAATCTGCCCCCTTTGTTGAAGCCATGCGTCAGTTCCAATTCCGTGTTGGCCATGAAAACTTTTGTTTGATTCATGTTTCATTGGTGCCTGTGGTGGGTTCTGTGGGTGAACAAAAGACCAAGCCTACTCAAATGAGTGTTCGTGATCTTCGTGGTGCTGGTCTCACGCCTGATTTGATTGCCTGTCGTTCTTCCAAGATTCTCGATCCTAGTGTTGCTTCCAAGATCTCTATGTTCTGTCATGTTGCTCCTGAGCAGGTGTTAGCTGTCCATGATGTGTCTTCTGTTTACCATGTCCCTATTTTGATGCGTGACGCTGGTATCATTGACTTTTTCCGTCGCCGTCTTAATTTGGATGCTCTTAAGGTCAGCGATGAATGTCGTTTGGCTGGTGAAGCCTTATGGGCCAAATGGACTACTTTGGCTGGCAGCTACGAACACATTCATGAAAATGTCACGATTGCTCTTGTCGGTAAATACACTGATCTCCACGACTCGTATATCTCTGTCTACAAGGCTCTTGAACATGCTGCTCTTGCCTGTAAGCGCAAGATTGTGATCAAGTGGATTGAAGCCACTGATTTAGAGTCTGAAGCACTCAAGACGGATCCTATCAAGTTCCATGAATCATGGCAAGACCTGTGCTCTGCCGATGGTATCTTGGTCCCCGGCGGTTTCGGTGGTCGTGGTATTGAAGGTATGATCATGGCTGCTAAATGGGCTCGTGAAAACAAGATTCCTTACTTGGGTATCTGTCTCGGTATGCAAATTGCCGTCATTGAATTTGCTCGTAACGTGTGTGGCATGATCGATGCTGATTCTGCTGAAATGAACCCTGATACACCTACGCCTGTGGTTGTCTATATGCCTGAAATCTCCAAGACACATATGGGTGGTACCATGCGTCTTGGTCTTCGTCCTACTGTGTTCCAAAAGGATACTGAAAACTCCCGTGTCCGTAAATTGTATGGTGGTAAGCCCTCCATTGATGAACGTCATCGTCACCGTTATGAAGTCAACCCTGAACTTGTCGATAAGATTGAAACCAAGGGTCTCAAGTTTATTGGTAAAGACGAAACTGGTCAACGTATGGAAATTGTTGAACTAGACGATCACCCTTACTTTGTCGGTTCTCAATACCACCCTGAATACCTCACTCGTCCCTTGAACCCCAGTCCTCTCTTTAAGGGTCTTATTTTGGCTGCTATTGGTCAACTCGACGCTTCCTTGTAAATATTATTAGAAGAATCCATATGTTAATTATTATAGAATTTTTTCGCTTTTTTTTTATTAAAAAAATTGTACAATATTCTTAAACGTATTTTAATGCTGATTCAATGTTGTCTTGATCAATGGCATGTTGATTCTTTTTGAGTGCTAAAAGACCTGCTTTTCGAATGACAGCTTGAAGATCTGCACCTGTGTAACCTTCTGTTTGTGCTGCAATGGCTTCTAAGTCAACACTTGGGTCGAGTTTTGTCTTGCGTTTCAATACGTTAAGAATTTGAGTACGTTCGTGTTGCGTAGGTGGTCCTACAAACACAAGACGATCTAATCTTCCTGGCCGTAAAATAGAATGGTCGATTGATTCTAGATGATTGGTTGCACCTAGTAATATCACACTTTGATCAATTTTATCTAAATGATCCATTTCAATAAGAAATTGTGTGATAAGCTATCGGAAATCAGTATGTTACATAGTCAGGTAAGGTGCTTACCTTTCGACCCACATCCCCTGAAGTCTCTCTGGATGAAAAGACAGCTTCCAATTCATCTAAAAAAATAACACAAGGACTACACCGAATAGCCGTTTGAAAGATTCTTGATACTGCCTTTTCTGATTCACCCACTTCGCCTTTAATCAAATCAGGAATACTGATGGGAAGAAAATTAGCAGACGATTCTGTAGCGACTGCTTTTGCTAAGAGTGTTTTGCCTGTTCCTGGTGGACCATACAAAAGCAACCCTTTAGAAGGTCGAATACCTAACCGTTTATAAGCATCAGCATGTTTATAGACCCACACAGCCGATTCTTCAAGCGCATTTTTAGCAGACACAAGACCACCAATGTCTGTCCAATACACTGGATCTGGTTTCTCTGCCATGTTTTGAAACCCACTAATTCGGATCTGATCAAATACATGTCCGAAGTCGTCCATGGTGACACGTTCTCGGCCTTGCAAGGCTGCATTTTCCTCAGCGCGCTTACACCATTGCGCAAGATCGGCAGCGACAAAAGCATGCGCTCTTGCTGACAGTGCGCTGACGTTGAATTCAGCATGAGGAACACAAGCAGAAAGGATATGAAAACGTTCATAAGGTGTGGGTATTTGTAAATGAATTTCATCCGTGAACAAGATTCGAATGTCGATGGCAATATGATCGGGACGACGTGTGGTCGCTATCAACATCATCTCATGCTTTTGCACAAACGAAGAAAACAGAGGCAGTAACGATCGATCTTGTGGATCGCCTTGTTGAGGAAAGAACAGATCGATGTCTTTGATCAGAATAATATCGTTTTTCGTGGCTTTCCAGAGAACGCGCTTAAAGCCTTTGGCGAGTTGTCCGCGGTATGCTGTTGCAAGTTCGCCCAAGATTACTGAATGAACACCAACACGATATGCATCGGCTAGTTTGTGAGTAATAAATGATTTCCCTAGAGAACCAATAAGCAAAGAATGAAAAAGCAGGTAACTTCTCAAGTACCTACTCCCGAATCGCCTTTTACTAAAACAATGGAAGGCGACTCATTTTGCTTGAATGTTAAATGAAAAGCTTGATCTAATCTAATGAAGTCTCTATATTAAAGACATGGTAATCTCTACATTAACAAAATTACCTAGCGCCTTCCTCGCCATAACAAAGTGCTGCAAAAGACATGATTTAAGCAAAAAAAAAAAAAAAAAAGACCGTACAGCAAGAACTCTAGTCTGAGATTGAATATCAATTATTTTGATTTCTTGTTTGGATGCCAAATTCATGCTTTTGTTTAGAAATGGCTAAAGATGAGGTTATTTTTTCTTGAAGTATTAATAAAAGATGTAGAACTCTATATGGTGAACTCAATGATTCAAATAAAAGTAAGTTTTTGCTCAGTAGAATACTGAAATAATCGGTTGTTTTGATTTTGACGTTTTTCGTTAAAAAACCACATTTCTATATAAAAAATTTGTATAAAAAATAGCCACAATAAACTAGAACCTTAGGCGGTTGTTTTGAATACTTAAGAGTGCAAATAGACCTACTCCTTGTCCCACAGTATGCAGGAGAAGCAGAGTGTCGGGGATTAAAACGGAGACCATGGATTAAGTATCCAGAAAAATCATCAAAAATCGCGTTTTTTGTCATGTTGACGTTTTGATCTCAAAATGACTCTTAAAGTGCCACATAGTTTGCTAGACATATCACAAACATATCAAAGCTTCTGAGAGTGATCAGAGTCGATTTATTTTGCTACAATGTACCTAATAAACACAGCGATTTTAGGTACATTTCTAGCAAATACACTGTATAGTAAGAGGCACAATGGATACTTTATGCAGTGCAAATCAAACTAAAAAAAAAACCTTTGACAAACTAAAACTGTATCATAAAGAAAAAAAAAGAGGGTGTTTTTTCCTCTTTCTTTAGACAGAAAAAGCTATTCTATATGCAACATGATTCTATTTTATTTAACGGCAAGTAATAGGCTCATTGACTAGATCCATTTCATCGAAATCTGCCAGACTTGAAGAAAATGCATAGTCGTTCATAATATCGTCTACATCATATTGAACACGCTCCTTTCTCCTCAGTTGGCCTTTACTCTTGGTGGCCTTTTTTCCGACAAATTTGGGTGCTGTAATGCCTTTCAATAAAGGATTGTGAGAATAAGTACCTGCAGAACCCTCGTTGGTCGGTTTCTGTTGAGACAAATCCATCTTTTCCACTGGATCATCATCATCTGAAGACGACGACAATTCAGCGTCTTGCACTCTCACTTGTTTTGACTGAACATCAATGGTCATGACCTTGTGTCGACTACTTTGACCTTTTCTCTCGATACGCTTTAGGTTCGATTGTTGTTTTTTGAGCAATAAAGCCCTTTCTTGTGGGGTGAGCCATGGATTCGCTTGATCTGTAGGTAACTCAAAATCTGTTGCTTGATCAATGACTGTACTTCGTTGCGCACTTGTACGTTGAAACTCAAGTAACTTCTCCTTATGTCTTTCTGCCTTTAAGCGATCTTCATCATCGCTACTTTGATAAGGCGAGTTATAGAGACTGTTACCAGTCCCACCTGTCTTGACAGCATAAGCAGACATGTTTTGCGATTGGCCACTTGGCGCACGTTTAGATGGTTGGTTTTGTTGTTTTTGCTCTGCACGTTTTCGCTTTGCTTCTGCAATTAAAGCCACCTGTTGCTCTTTCGATAGGACAGGTAGGCCACAGAAGGTACAAGGACCTACACCTTCTGCTGTACAGATAATTTTGCCACAGCCAAGACAATTAGGTGCTGCTGTCAACAAAGGATGCTTTGTTGCTTGACACTGACATGGTTTTCTTTTTTTGCCCGGCTGCTCTGCTTTGATGTCGAGCTCTTTCAATGCTGCTTCCAACGACATTTCTTTCGACTTGTTCTTCTTTTCCTTTTTGGGTGTAGGTTCTGCAGAAGGGAATGCTGCGGCTCTTAATTCTTTGGTCGCATTTTGTGATTTGTTTTTAGATTTCTTGACTTTACGCAAACTAGCGAAATACTCGTCGTCTTTTTTCTGATGGACACTGATATTGGCTGGCCACATGGTTTCATACGATGGTTGGTTTTTAGGTAAAGAAGGAAAAGAGCTCTCTTCTTGTTGTCTGGGTGGTGTTTTTGGAGGCGTGGCTTTAGGTTGAGGAGCTGCTTTCTTGGGTTGAAAACGACGTGTGGTAAACTCTTGAATGAATTCCAATGCGTCTTCGCTTGTTCCTACCATTTCCTATCATGATAGAAGTGGGTGTAAGTTTTTATCGGGACTATAGCGTGTACTTGTACCGTAAGTTGCTCTGCAAACTTGTCAGGCGAGTCGCTTGACATAAGAAAGGGAAGGATTTGTGTCTCAAGTGTTTCAGGGTCAAACCCAAGAAATACACTTAGTTTGTCCACTGCCCAGCTCTCAAGTGAAGGCATAATATATTAAAAGAAAGTGAAAAAAAAAAATAAAAGCGAAAGAAAAGGGCTGCGGCATGCACTTTTAAGTCAGAACCACTTCATTACGTAAGATTGTTGAATTTCGCGTTGATAGGCTACGATCAATAATGCACGGATGATCCAAACGACTCCTCATTATCGTAAGTATATGCATTCTTTAATTGACACCTGTATCATAAAACCTCGAAAGAGGCCGTGCATACATTCTTCTGCTCAACTGAACTTTTTTCTTTTTCCCTTTCTTTCTTTTCTCTTTTCTATCATGACATACGCCATTATTCTCTTTCTTCTTCCATTCGCAATGGCAATTCCATTGTTGAACAAACGCGGTACTGGTGTCCATCTTGATGTTCAATCCGAATCTGACTTTTGCTCTTACTTACCGCCAAAGCAAGGTCAATTGGTAGCCGCTACAGAAGAAGACGCGAGTCCGTTCTGTACTGTTGCAAAAGATTACGCTGCTGCTTTTCCTCTGGGATTTATTCAATCTGCTCATTTCTTACGTACCAAAGATTTTTTTCAAGTAACAGGAAAGATAGATCATACTAAATATAACCTTATCTCTACGGATGGAGGGGGACAATATGACCACAAAGACTTGCCCCATGGCACTTGCAATGGTCTCAAATATTTTGTCAACCTTGTTGAACCTGACAGTAATGTGTTTTGTATCCGATGCTGTCAAAAGAAAAAAGACTGTAATACAGGTATTTCGACACAGGGTTGTCGTCGTATAGTACCTGGTATATATCAATAAAGAACATGGGTTCATCTGAAGTTTTGATTCATTTTGCTTGTGTTTGGTATTTCCTCAATGCAGTCAAAAGGTACTTTTATACTTAAACCCCCCCCCCTCCCCCAGATCTCCCTGCATAATTGAACGGACATTGACCTAATTCGAATAAATGCGGTCATTCAAGCTTGATTAAAATTTTTTGCAAGATCTCAATTGTTAGATCTCTCTCTTTCTTTTTTTTTTTCTTGTGATGTCAACACCCAAGACAACTGTTGCTAAAGCTACAGTCAAAAAGGAGGAAACTCCTACCAAGTTAACACCGGGGCAAAAACTACTCAAGACCATGACAGCTCAAAAAGCAGCTAAAAAAGCTTTAATGAAAGGTGTTTCCAACACTCGTATCTCTTTTGACGAAGAAGGCAACGAAAAAGTTGAAACAGTAGTCAAGAAAACTGTAGCTGAAAAGAAGAGTCGACCTGCTATGAAGAAGCCAGAGCCCACCAAAAAACGTTCGGCTGACAAAATCGAAGAAGAAAAAGAAACACCTAAACCAGCTCCTAAAAAGGCAAAGAAGCCAAAGAAATCAAAGATTGAAGTGGAAGAAAAAAAGAAGGATGATAAGCAAGAAGGTAACAAAAAGTCATGTGAGTTTTCTTTCCAAAACTAATTGTTGTTACAGAGGTTCTTGCTTATGTTCGTCTATTTGCTCAAGATCGAGAGAATTGGAAGTTTAAAAAAATGCTACAAATTTGGTTACTTTCTAACTTGTACAAGGTAAAAAAAAAAAAAAAAATCAATTGAAAGAAATGATACTAAATTTACTTGTAGCTTCCTGAAGATGAATTTGATCATGTATTGGAATATTTAAAAAATCTTCAAGGTTCAGCACGTGAGGTAAACAAAAAATACCATTAAAAAAAAAACTCATGATGTTGTAGAAAACAAAAAAGGAGGCAGAGGCCAAAATTCCATCCATTACAACCACACATGCTTTGACAAGTTATGCTAATGTTGCCACTAACGATTTTGATGATTTTGATGCAGAAAAATTATTGGCCCAAGCACCCACAACAATTGAACCAGAACAACAAGAAGAAGAATCACTCGAAGTAAAGCGAGCCAAACGTATTGTAAAAATACTCTCATAAACTTTAAGGAGATGTAATTTAATCTCTCCTTTATCCTTTTTTGTCTGCATATACGCGTGTGTGTGTGTATTTATTATGAAAACAATCTTCTTTTTTTCTCTTTTTTTTTCTTTTTTTCTTTTATTCATTCATTGTGTCACTATGGACGAATTAGTATTGCAAACATTTCGTTGGATGTTTTGGTCTCCTTTGGTTAAAGATGATGTCTTTTTGGCACCTTCATCACCCTCTTCTCAGCATGATTTTATCATGATTCTAAATGAACCTCCATCTTCCTCAACAACGATACCAACTCCTTGTTTGTCGCCCGTGACTTCCCCTTCCGACTTTCTGTGCGACAGTGAGCCTTTATTTGAAGGTTTGTTATTAACAGATGTCGAGGAGGAGGATGTATTACCTTCTACACCTTGCTCCATAGAAGAAGAAGATGTACCATCTGAACCTGTTGAAAACAAACGTAAAAGAAAATCCAATGGTCTTTTTTTGCCTTCAAAAAAGGCCAAGTGTCGAACTGTATTTGAGCGTCTAACAGAATCTGGTATTGATTGGTGCCGGTATTGCGGTACAACTGAGGGAGTGAACTGGAGACCGGGACCTTGGGGGAAGCGGACTTTATGCAAGTAAGTACATAGATATCACAACGCGTAATCTCATTTTTGAAAGTAAACATGGATGCGATTACAAAGGGTATGGCTTGGCGAGTCGATTACCAAGACTTGATTTATCTGCCTATACTACTGAAAAACTGTCGGATCGTCGGCGCCCTATTGTCCAACAATTCTGTACTGTCTGTCAATCTCCTGAACTATCCACAAAAGACAAACTTATCCCTTGTCAAGGTGGTTGTTCTCGTGCATATCATCAACATTGCTATCACAGCACCATTGACTTGAGTTCGCCATGGTATTGTACTGATCAATGTCAAAAGAACAAACACAACAATTTGATTGGTAAGTGAGTATGTGTTGTCATAAGCTTGTTATTCACTCTAGGATGAATGTAGCGGTTGATCTGCCACGAAAATACCTGCCATTAATGCGCCCACAAAAACCAAAGCATGCTTGATCCAGCCTTGTATATTTTGATCCATTATATTTCTCCTTCCATGTACAAACATTTAACCATTTATATCCATCTGAAATTCCCCTTCTTGTTAAGAAATGATAGACGATAATAAAAAATGACCGAAAGTATTTACTTTTAGACCATCTAAACAAACTGCTTTTTTTAAATCACAAAAATATATTCCCTTGTCTTCTCTCTCTCTCTCTTTCTTCTTCTCTTTCTTTAGATATCATGACTAGAATCATTCTACTTCTTATAGGCAAGTATTGAACATAAAGGAGAAAAGGGAATTCTAGCTAGACAAAAAAAAAACTATAGCTTCTTTACTTGCACATGTCAGTATCACACACGCTTTTGATGAAGGTAAGTGGTGTTAAGGGAAAAACAAAAGTTGGAAATTGACCTTTGATCAGGATCTGTCATTTTGCCTGTCTGGAACCATCCTCTCGATGGTCCTCCAGGAGGTCCTGCACCTCAAGCAACTGCCTGTGCCAATGCAGGACAGATTGCTGTCACCTATGTAAGGAATAAACATGGATAGTTCTCTACTTATCGAGTTAGAATGAAGGTCCTAGTGATGTTACTGCCAAAGTGCTAAATGGTTTAAAAGCAGCTCAAGCCAAAGCTAATTTCTTTGTGAATGCTACTTGGTAAAACACAATGTACATGACTAAGCTAAAAGCTGAATAGGCTCTATACTCAACAATATGCCATGATCTTACAACGTGCTTATAATGATGGCCACTTTATTGGTATGACTTACCGTCTTCCAGGTGATTCTTCAGAAGGCTTCACAGACGATCAAATCAAGGCAGACGTGACCAATACAGCCAAGATTATTGAGACTCTGATTGGTGTGGCTCCTAAATATGTGCGATTGCATTATTCCCAACCTGAAGATGTTCGTCTAGAGAACATTATCCGTGATATGGGCTATACCTTGGTTGCTTATAACTTGGACACAGCAGACTATAATTTCAAGAACAATCCAGAAGGTATTTCTGATTTGTACAAGCAAGTGTTTGCCAAACAACTGGATACCTATGATTCCAAGGGTTCTTTTATCTCTGTTCAATATGATATTCCTGATACTGGCTCATGGCAAGCAGTGTATGATGTAATTCGTACGATCAATGATGCTGGTTATACCATGGTTCGCTTAGACGGTTGCCTGAATGATAATCAACCCTATAAACAAAGTGCTGATTCAACCAAATTTGTCAGTGATAAGCATTCATTTGGACAATCCAATTACAAATCAGGACAAGTATCGCCTGAAAAACCAACCAATAACAGTGCTCAGTCCAATATAGCAGCAGCAGAAGCAGCAACTAAAGAAGAAGAAGAAGCCATGAAGAAATTTACAGGTACAGGATCTATTTACAAGTTTGAATGGACACATCTTGTTCTTGGTCTGGTTGCTCTTTTTTGTACTTGGGCTTTTTAAAATAAATTAAATAAATCGTGTTTGATTCGTCCGGCAAAGGCAAAGAAAAAGGTGGCAACGTCTGAATTCAAATCTCTGTTGTGGTACACTTTTAAGGTTGTAACGCTGTTTTTTTTCCCTTTTTTTTCTTCTTTATTTTTTATTTTATTTTTTTTTATTTTACTCCCTGATACCTCATACTCTTTTATACCATATGAGAGAATATAAGCTTGTTGTTTTAGGCTCAGGCGGTGTAGGCAAATCTGCTTTAGTAAGTTGCGTGTCATTTTTAATATTTTGTTTTATTAATTGTTACATAGACTGTCCAATTCGTCCAATCTATTTTCGTGGAGAAATATGATCCAACTATTGAAGACTCTTATAGAAAACAAGTTGAAGTAGACGGTCAACAGTGTATGCTCGAGATTCTGGACACAGCTGGTACAGAACAGTTTACAGCTATGCGTGATCTCTATATGAAGAACGGACAAGGCTTTATTCTTGTGTTTTCTATCATAAGTCAGGTTACTCTGACTGACCTTAATGAGATTAGGGAGCAAATTATTCGAGTTAAAGGTTCAGATAATGTAAGGAGAACACAAGAGTCATCTGAGCACTAACTCCATCTTGTAGGTTCCTATGGTATTGGTTGGTAACAAGTGTGATTTAGAAAGTGAAAGAGCTGTCTCTAGAGAAAAGGGTATGTCTCTATCACAACAGTGGGGAGGAAAGCCTTTTTATGAAACCTCAGCTCGATTCAAAATCAATGTTGATGAAGTCTTTTATGATGTCGTAAGACAGATCAACAAGCAAAACCCTTCAAAAGATAAGACAAAGAAGAAGTTTAAGTGTCTTATTCTTTAAAGCTCTATATTATTATTCTATATTATTATTACATTTGTTACTATTGATAATTCCCTTTTTATAAATTTATTATTCTAAAGAATAAACATGATTTAAAGACACTCTATGTTTTCTTAAGGCACCATGGAACCAAAGTAAAAGTGGGTCTATGCTTTCAAAACTTCAGTTGTTTTAGACAAAAATTCAATAGTGATAAGACCTATCCTTCGCGTTATCTCTATCGTCAAATGGCTTTCAGCAACAGCGCCCTTTTAAAGAACAAATAAAGCATTTGATTATTTAAAAAAAAAATATTACTATTCCCATTGTGTCGCAATGACTGTAGACAAAAAGACGATAGGCTGTTGATTATTCAACCTATTTAATTCTTTGATTTTTTTTTTAGTTTGGTTTCAAAGAGTGTCTTCAATGGAGTGATGTTTTAAGCTGTACAAGTTCCCTCTCGCTTTATTCAAAAAGCATCCATTGTTCGCGTCACCATAGTAAGATACTCTAAAAATGAATTGACTGCCACACGAAGCATCTTTGTGTTATAACATTCAAAATGTCTATGCCCTGTAAGTCATCTGACATGATTGTTGTCTGTAGATACTTACACTTGTAAAAGGTTATCTTTACTTGTAATGACTCGCTTCACTTGGTCTGTCTTGAGTTCCTTGTCTACATTCATAACTTGTTGTGCAATAGAAGCCAAACGTTCATTAGGAAAAGGAATCTCTACAAAACTTTCAAGTGTCAAGCTCTGGTTATCTAGGACTATATTACATTTTACTATCCATGCTTAAGAATAATAATAATAAAAAAAGTAAGAGATTCTTTTTAAAACTCATTTGTAGTTTTGTTTGTGACGACTAAACTGAATGAAGCTATTCAGGAACAAACGCACAACTTGACATGTCAAATGTATCCTTCATATGAATAGAGGAAGTTTATTTTAATAAGAATAACACCAATACTTATTCATAGGTGACAAAGTGTCCATCTGTCCATCTTCAAACAGGATCATTTTCTTTGAATAGACAAACCGAGGATCATGTCCTTGTTGACTATAATAGGTTCTTCTTCCTTGTGTTGTCATTTTCCAATAATTCAACAATTGTGATGGATATTTTTTGGAAGTAAAAGGACTGACCTCAACTGTTTGGAGATGCTTAAACTGCTTAAGTCGATTCATCGTGTGCACCAATGACCCATTCAGTTCTGTCAGCGGTGTACGAGCCAAGTTGAGATAACCAAGGTGTGCATGATGGTTGTACAAAAGAAACTTCTCCAATATGTCCAGCGTGATTGATTGGCAGTAAGCGAATGAGAGGTGTCTTAACTGTGGGAATATCACCTTTTCTGTCATTAACCGCGTCAATACAGCAGGACTCACATTGACATGTCCTCCCATATCTAACAGTCTGACAGTTGACCTTGATTTCAATAGTCTATAGATACATTCATGACAGAACCTTGAGGCACCAATGCCATTAAAATCCATATTGAGATTAAGATGTTGTAAGTTTTCACAGCGTTCAATAAACTCAATCAAGGGTGAACAACACGAGAGTGAATGACATCCTTGAAGGTTCAGGTGGGTCAATGTTTGGTATTGTCTGCCTTGTAAGAGATAGGAAAATAGTTGACTATTGATTTGTGTGTAAGCCAGATCCAATCTTTTCAGTTGATTTCCGCTGGATGAGAATTCTTTAAAGAAGGGTATAAAGAACTTGTCTTGAGAGAATGCCATACACATATAGAATGAGACATTGGATAATTGCTTAGGTATCAGCCATGAAGACACCTGTGTGTGTTGTTGATTGTTTGTTTTTTGTTTTTTTGTATTCACAGGTTCAGCAAGCAAACTAGATACGTTACGGTCACAGAAACCAGTAAAGTCAAGCGTGCGTAACTTGATTTTCTGGTGATTAAAAATGGCTTGAATGACTTGAGGCGATACAAATGCGTATACCATTTCTTCTCCAATCAAAAGTTCTTGTAATAGATCACAACAGCCAATCAAATAAGCCAATTCTTCAGGAAGTAGAACTGATTTAGCTCTCTCTTCTGACCATCGGGATCCCCTCGTTGTATAACTTGAGAAGTCAAGTCTATGGACACAATGGGAGAGTGACTTGGAATGGCAAAGAGAATTCTTTAGAAGAACGTATTGTCTAGGACTTGTAATCATTATGTGTTTATAGAGTAAATGAATGACAGCAGAGTAATAATGGCGATTGACTTGACATAAGTTTGCTTTGTCTTTTGGAGAGACACAGTAGCTTGCAATCAACTCGACTAATTCAAGAGATAAGTGTTGCATTCTTTAAGGAAAAAGAAAAAAGGATGAATGAAAAAAAAATTAGAATTTAAAGGTCATGCAATGTTACTCAAAGTTCACACGATAAGAAGTGCGATGTGCACGCTTTGATTGGCTTATTGCATCAAAGAAACTTCTGGTATATTTACCATGGCTTCACTCAAGAAAGGGGGTTCAGATATACTTTTTTTTTTGTTTAACTGATAACATTGTATCACTATGAAAACAGCATGACAAACACTTTTATTTATTTATTTATTTAAGCTTTGGTAGCTTCATTTGCTTGTTGACGAAGTAAACGGCGTTGAATTTTACCGGAAGCAGTTCTTGGGAATGATTTTACAATAATTAAACCACCTCTTAAACGCTTTCGATCAGGCAGACGACTATCAGCATACTCTTTTAATTCACGTTCGACCGCTTCACTGTATTTTTCGTGGCTCGCTAAAAGTACATAAGCACGAGGCAATTCAGTCGTTAATTCTTGAGAATAAAAGCCAATAACAGCACAATCCGAGACCTTAGGGTGAGTCATCAAGACGTTTTCAATATCGCTAGGGTAAATGTGTTCAAGACCGTACTTGATTAAATCCTTGGAACGGTCTACATAGTAAAACATGCCTTCTTCATCACACCTCAAAAGATCACCTGTGTGTAAATAACCCTCCGTATCAATCAAAGCAGCTGTGGCTTCAGGGTTACGATAGTAGCCAGTAGTCATGGTAGGACCCTTCACACAGAGTTCACCCATTTGACCAATAGGAACTTCATTTCCTTCATCATTAATCAATTTAGCCGAGTAGCCTGGAGCCAAATAACCGAGACCATTGGCCAATGTGATAGCAGGTGTGGTTCTGAACAGACCAAAGAGTTCGGTCATACCAAACCCATTAATCACATTGAGTCCGAGTCGTTCTTTAGCGGTTAAAGTAATATTCTGATCAAGAGCGGCACCACAACACATGATACACTGGAGTGAAGAGAAATCGTATTCAGCTGCAATTTTGTCCTTGGCCATCGAAGAGACAATGTAGGGCTGAGCTACCATAAAGGCAATCTTATATTTCTGAATAGCTTCACAGATACCAATAAATGTGAAATGAGGCATGACATAGACAGTGATACCGCAGTAAAGAGGTTGGTGTATAGCCGTCAAGAGAGAACTTGCATGATGGAACTCAGTATAGGCCAACATGTTGGCAGAAGGTAGACTGAATTCCTCAATCAAGATTAAGCTGGTAATAATCATACGTTGTGTGACTTTGACAGCCTTCTTTCTACCAGTGGTACCAGAAGTGAAATAAAGGTAGGCAGGGTCATTACCAATTTGTTCAGGCGTGTATTCATAAGGTGTAGCTAGTTCATCGCCACTTAAGAGAGTGGCATCGACAGTACGAGCACCTTTCATATCTGTGTCACCAAAGATCAAAATATGCGATTCATCAAGGCCATAGATTTTAGCAGCAGCAAGAACACTGTCGATTGTATCGATATGTGCAACGACTAACTTGGGTCTGGCAATATCAAAATCACTAGCAATTCTTTCAGGGGAAGAAGCATGGTCAATAGCAGCAGAAATACCACCTAATCATCATGAATATGTCTACAACTACGGGGTTTTCACTTACCTATAGTATGAGCACCCAAAAGTAAGATGGGATATGCGACCTGGTTTGGAGAACAAATGGCAATTACATCATCTTTTTGGAAACCGAATTTGTTTTGCAAGTTGGCACCTGTTTTAAGGATTTGGATGTGTGCTTGAGCAAAAGTAACAGATCTTTCAGGATTTTCAATGTCAGTATAGATCAACTTGTCTTGAGGGACTACCGTACGATCCTTGCTGAAAATAAGATTGTAAAGACTAGTATCGTTAGGATATTCTCGGTGAGGATATTTAGAATAAATGACCATGATGACTGAATAAGAAGAAACAAAGAAAAAAAAAAGAGGAAAAAAAATAGCTTTTTAATGCCTATCAAGTCTTAGATCTATGCAGGGCTGATATATTTAACCGAGCTGAACTATCAGTTTTCAAACTTAATTTGCGTATTCAATTCTTGTACTCCATGACTGTACATTTTGCTACTGGCTTGGTATGACTCTTAATATAGTTTATAGTAAACCTTTTAATGATAATATTGCCTGTTTTTTTCTGTTCTTTGCTTCTCACAGGTTTTCGTTTTTTTTATTATTAAAGGTGGTGAGGAGGATTTTTTTTTGGCAATATGGATAACATTAGAGCAGTAATATAGTACCAATAATCGTGTAAGGCCGAGAACAAGCTTTTTCAGTTTGTACTCGGGCAAATATTCCTAAAACCAGCCTAGTCCAATGATTGATATTGATTTCAGTTTCATGATGAAAAACGCATTTCTCAATGTATCATCTGCTTCTGCAAAACCATAGACATTTGACTGATTTATGATGTACCAAAATAGAATTCGACTAGTCCTCTCAATTTGAAGGTTTCTTTACAAGCCTTTGGTGCTTAATCCTTGACAATACATGTATGAATGACCCAGCAGTACAATACTTGTAATCTTTAATATCAAACTGATCACAAAATTACCAATGAAGCTGTTTGACTCTCAGATCACCGAGTTCAATCAACTGGAAAAAAGTACGACCAGACACAGTGACTAAAGAATAGAAAAATTGATGGATTGTCACTCACCAATCAATGCGTATACTACAGACAACTAAATTCATTTAAATACCCTCTTAAAGTCAACATAGAACAGTTGTGAACTTGAAGTGGAGACTTGTGCATCTTGAGGGAAACAAGGTAACTGTAAAAAGGTATAGTTTAGTTTGTATCTTTCTCATTTAAGAAAAGAGAGGCAACTTATTTTAACAAGCAACGTCTTGTCAAAATATTTCACCTTGAGAGTGAGAAAAAAATAGACAATTCTTTATTGTGTACAATGATGTAAGACAATAGTACGCATGGACGCAATATTACAATATAAGAATCTAAACATAAAAAAGTGTCTCTATAGTCTCACTATTTCTTATCCAACAATGTATTCAAAATAAGCTTTTCTGTGCAGTAACAAAAGGCATAGAAAAGCAAAGGTGAGCATGCTAAAAAGAGCAAAAAAGGGAGTTTGAATCATTGCAAGGCGTGCCCGATTAAAAGCCAGTAAAAGCAGGTCAGTCCAAATAAGGATCAATGACAAACGCCTTCTCTATTTTTGTTTTGAAATAAAGAGAATAAGATCGAGTCTAAGCAACACCGAGTCAATTATCAATTCGTCTTTACTGCCTATTTGTATGATAGAGATACTTTGCTTTTAAATTAGTTCTTCTTTAACGTGTTGTTGTTGTTGCGTACACTTTTATTATTATTAGTAGTAGTAGTATTATTTATTTATTTATTTATTTTTTCACTCTCTCTCTCTCTCTCTCTCTCTCGCTCTCTGTTTTTTCTTCTCATAATACCCTCCCTCTTTCTTTCCCCCCCCCCTCATACTTAAAAAGTAAGAAGGCATGTCTTCTTCAACACATACGCTTGTTGAAACTACAGAATGTGACTCTATATCAGCACCCAGTAATAGTAGTTCCTCATCAACTTTGTCTCAGGAACCATGGAACAAGGTCCAATCTTCTTATGCTGCCAAAAGAAAGCAAATGCAAGCAGAGCGTATGAGACAGCTCAAAGAACTAGAAGATCAAGTAGCTGAAACCTCTCACTGGAATCAGCGAAGAAAAGATCTTGTCGTCTCTACTTCCCGTCGCTCTTTATCGGAAGATAATAACATATACCCAGCTTCCACACCTTCACCAGGTATAAAGAATAAAATAGACTTGGGAGATGCTACTCTGGAAGATTTGGAGGACTTAATTGCTGCTTCTGCTAAACGATTGGCTAGTTATCGACTTCGAAATCAAAGCATAAATCAGCAAGAACCGCTTTCGCCTACCACAAGCCGAAAAAAAAACAGTACGGATGATCTTGATCGCTGGAAAGATATACTATCACCAGATCACAAGTCGCCTCATGAAAAGAGTCCTTCTGCTTCTTATCAAAGACTTCGAAGCATGTTTGAAAAAGATCATGAACCCACCTTGCTTTCTTCTAAAGCACATCATGAAATCATACCTAGAACAAAAAAAACGTCGAGTTTCTCTTTGGCTGATCTTGCCAATCCTTCCTCTTCTTCTTCGTCTTCTTCTTCACAAAAACCTTCAACAACTAGCACACATTGGAAACACAACAATATCACTACAACACGCTCTACAATGGCCAATGCAACACCCAAAATTGAATCACCTCGTATTAGTTCAAGCACAACTCCACGCGCAACAAATCCCTCTTTTCAATTAAGAAAAGCAACGCGAAGTCATAGCTATCAACGCCTAGCAGATCCTTCGTCTATACCGACTTCAATTGAATCCAAACAAGGTGAACGCCCACGCAAATTAAGCACATTGGCTTCTTTACGTCAAAGACAACGCCAAAATAATGTAAAAGAAGAAGAAGAAGGCGATATTAAGACTATTGATGATTATATTCATAGCATGCAAAAGACTGAAGAACCCAAACGCAAAGTTAAATTAAGTATCAATGCTTCAAACACATCTACGTATAAAAAGACAATCCCTGCATCTGAACCTGATCAAACTGTGGCCAGCAATGACAAGACAGTAAGGAGAAAGAGAGGAAAGGTAAAAGTAAATATCTTTATATCCTACATCTACAAGCAATTCGACTCAAATCATTCCTTGTAGACATTACCAGGTAATTTAACAGCTCCTACTTCAATTGCACCACTCTCTTTACCACCTATGAAAGTGGAACCACTTCATATTCCTCAAAAAAATAATCGTACCATACCAAAGACACCTACACGCATTCCATTACCTTCAAGCATATCTTCATCCACCAACAAGACACCTCGATTAACGAGACGCAACAATGAGACAACAGACAGTTCAGATGAGGACTATCAGAAGAAAACAAAGGCCAAACAACCCATCACAAGTCGACAACTTCGTAAACCTAAATCAAGTTCAACAGTCTCTAATACACCTAAACTTCAAGCAAGTCGATCCAACAAAAGCACAGATGACAACACACTCGGAAAGAATGTAACAGTCAATATGACGCCCAATTCTTCTTCTACTACTATTACAGGCAAGTAACCATAGGCTGCATTTAATTAAAGTTAATACCTTTCTCTCTATTTTTTAGCATCTACATCCAAACGCAAAGTATCTACACTTCAAGAACGACTTCAAGGACTTGTGGATGAAAGTAAATCATGGGCAACACAAATGGAAAAAGACAAACTTAAAGTAGAAGGACAAACATCCGAAATTGTCCTTCGTGGAAAAGGCAGTGTGAATGAAGACAAAAAGATCATTGAGCGTCCTTCCAAGATCATGATGCGTGTGGCCATGACACCTCAAGCAGCCCAAAAACTCTATCAATTCAACTTGACATCTTTTGAGAAACAAGAAATGATGGCTTATGAGCATATTTATTTTGTAGGTCATCATGCTAAAAAACGGCCTGCTTCACCTAGCCATAATCTTTGTAACTATGGTTACGATGATGAACGGGGTGATTATCTGATCCAATTGCGAGATCATCTAGATTATCGCTATGAAGTACTGGAAGTCATGGGCAAAGGTTCTTTTGGCCAAGTCCTTAAATGCTTTGACCATCGTTCAGGGCAGACGGTGGCTGTCAAGATGATCCGTAACAAGAAGCGGTTTCATGCTCAAGCACTAGTGGAAGTCAAGATTCTAGAAGAATTGATTGCTTGGGACCCAGAGGATAATCATAACAATGTTCGCATGTTGGGTCATTTCATGTTTCGAAACCATCTCTGTATTGCTTTTGAATGTCTTTCTATCAACCTATATGAATTTATCAAGAGCAATAATTTTCAAGGATTTAGTATGGGATTGATTCGAAGGTAAATCAAGTGTTGCAAAAACATGTTATTAATACAGTATAGATTCGCTATGCAATTGTTGAATTCCTTGACGCTTTTGCAAAAGCATAAGTTGATTCATTGTGATCTTAAGCCAGAGGTAAGATTATACCAATATGTACTATTGGCTGATCCTATTGCATCTAGAATATTCTGCTCAAACACCCTACAAAAAGTACAATCAAAGTCATTGATTTTGGTAGTTCATGTCTTGAAAGTGAAAAAGGTAATTAGAAATATATTCAGTATTTAAATGTACTCATCCTCTTGTATAGTGTATACTTATATTCAGAGTAGATTCTATCGTTCACCTGAAGTCATTTTGGGTATGAGTTATAGTATGGCAATTGATATGTGGAGTCTAGGCTGTATTCTAGCAGAACTTCATACAGGCTATCCTCTCTTTCCTGGTGAAAATGAGCAGGAACAATTGGCCTGTATTATGGAAGTACAAAATGTGCCAAAATCTTATATCATTGAAAAAAGTTCAAGACGCAAGCTGTTTTTTGGTAAGTCAATGACTGGTATATAATAACATACCCACAGCCTTTAGATTCCCAAGGAAATCCTCGTATTCAGCCTAACTCAAAAGGCAGGAAACGTAGGCCAGGTACAAAGACATTGGAACACGCATTAAAAAGTACAGACGAACACTTTCTGGACTTCATCAACAAATGTCTTCAATGGGATCCTGATCAACGTCTTAAGCCTGACGAAGCTTTAAAACATCCTTGGATGCTTAAATCGTCCTCAAGAAAAAGATAATCATAATAAAAAAAATAGCTCTTTTGATTTATTCATCAAATGTCTTGCCATATTTCTTTGACATCAAACTCTTTACTTGTTGATAATCTCGGTCTAATTTCTGCTTTTCACTCATATCTTTACGCTTTTCTCTGTTTTTTCGGCGACCATCACTTAATTTGACACCAAACTGAAATGCACTCTTGGGATGAATTTCTATTGTATCTTTGTATCGCTGCCATTCTTCTTCTGTATCGAAATCCCAGCGAGTCAATTGTGCCTTTTTGTTGCGGTTGGTGCCTTGATCCATCATTTGTGGTATCGTTTCTGTGTTTTCGTCTTCATCATCATCCGATTGATAGGCGGTTTGATGCTCATCAAATGAAGTAGGCAAAGCAGATGCACTAAGACCAAACATGTCAATATCAGCCGCATCTTCATCTACTTGAAGATGGTTGAATTTTCTCTTTTTAGGTGTCTCTGTCGTTGTTTGTTCTGTGGCTTTGGATAATAAGGCATTCACTGCATCATCATTTTCATTAGAAGCCTCCATCATGTCTTGATCTTGTTCAAGGCCTTCAAAATAGTTATTGTTGGTAGTTGTTTTTGGCTGAACACTGCTTTCATCCAGTTCATAATCTCGACCAGCATCAGCAAAGATGTCACCCATAAACATATCTTGATCCATGGCAATAGGTTCGCTAATGATTTGCTGAATGATCTTTGCTTTTTCAGGTTTTTGTTCTCGAGAAAGTACTTGTGTGATCTTTTCAATCACTAGATTGGATTCTGCTTGATTTTCTTCAGACCAGCCAGACTTGGCTACAATGTCTGCCTTACTTCGAATAACAGCAGTAGGAATAGCAAATGCATCAGAATAATGACCTACTTCATCTGCTAACTCAAACACAAAGGCCATTCTGCCAGGCTCAAATAGGTCTACTTTATGCTGTGGTTGTTCAATTTGTTCATAAATATTCTTGGCCATCAATGAACGAAATACAGGCTTATTTTCATGTGTTTGGTTATTTTCAGTTGCAATGGATTCGCCTCGCTCAAATCGATCAAGCACTTGATCCAAGTCTTGATCCATTTGATCTTCTTCACTCTCTTCTTCTTGTTCTTCTTGTTCTTGTTCTTCTTGTTCTTCTTGTTCTTCTTGTTCTTGTGGTTGTTTCTCAAGATCGCTTTTGATTTTTCTTAATAATGCATAATCGAGACCTTTGACAAGGTGAGTACGTTCAACATCCCCACCAAGTGACTTTGATTGTTCATAAAGCTGTTTTGGATCCATATCTGCTTGTTCTTGTTCCTCTTGCTGTTCAAGTTCTTGTTGACGTCTTTCTGCTGCACGATCGCGATAGTGGATTGTGTTTTTTGGTTCTTGTGGATCCTCATCTTTGTTCTTTTGAAAAGGCTTTTTAAAAATACTAGAAATACATTCAATTATTAATATTTAATAGTATTTTACCTTTTTTTTAAGGATCGTGGTTTAGCAAAGATGGCACCTGTATTTCTAGGTGTTTTTGGCGCTGGCTCTTTAAAAGTAGATTCCTCAGGATTTGTTCGACGAGGTGTTGCTAATAAGCGTCTGAAATCTTCTTGACTCAAACTGTTATGTGTGTAAGCAAACGAACAGTATATATAAACTGATATTACCCTTCACTCATATTATACCAAAAAAAAAAAGAGAACAGAGAAAATACGCTATTGAATTTTTTTTTATTTTATGGTCTAAATAAATTCGTCCTTAAAAAAGTGCTCAAGGATAGCTTAAAGCCTATTTATGCATGCATGAATTACTCTAAGTGTCTATAGACAGTGTTTAATGCTATACATGGTACTTTTGGAGTTGGCTTGACTAAAAAAAAAAAAAAAAAAAAAAGAGCGACTTGTAAAAAGAATGGCCATTTTGCCTTCGAATTGAAAGGGTACTAGTCGTGAAAATTGACAATTTGAGAACTTCTGACCTTCTTTCTGACACTACACGACAAAAGATGGAGCTATTGAAAAGCCCAAGTACTCAAAATGTGCCTAGAGGCTTCAGTTTCTGATGAACGTGTTTGTTTGTTAATTGACCTATAAAACCAATGAAATATGAGCGAAGAAGCTCATAAACATTTTTTGCACATTTACTGAACATTTAAGCAGTAAATTTGCTGTATTTTCTACATCAAGAGGCTTGAAAAGTAAAGATCTACAGCTTTTGTTGTTGTATCAAGACTAAGCAACTGTGTCTTTATGCATTCCTAGCTTTAGAATGAATAGAAGTGCAAGATGAAGGTGATAGCGAATGCTACAGCTGTGAATGATAGTGTGTAAAATACAATTCAATGTGTGTGGAGTAGGATGGAAGATGGTCTGAAAAATAAGAAAAGGATAAAGTCCCTGCTGCATAAGAGTGTGTCGAATTAATGAAGTGTTTACTTAATACAGCCCTTTCCCCTGCATCCGAAATCAAGCTTTCATGGCTCTTTCATTTAATACACTCTAGACCAAGTGTTTTCAGGTTGTAGCTGGATAAAGTTACAAAGAAAGCAGCAGTTGCATAAAATATATTTCAAAATAGCTATTTATTGATCAACAAACAACAAACTACGAGCCAATCTTAGCCGAACGAAAGACTGGCTCAAAAAATAGAAACAAAAGACTTCCTTATCAAAACTTGACACAATATTTGCCACAATCGTTACAGATTTTATCAGCGTCCTCATATCTTCCACCTTCGGCAGCATAATACAGATCTTTACATTCATTATCGACATAACAATAGTTTTTAGAGATAGCTACATAGCCTTTGTAACCATTCTTGGCCAACGCATTTTTACATGAAACGGTGCCCGGAGAAAGATGAGACTTGAAAGCACAATACCCATTCTTGCATTCCAAGTTTGGACCACAATTTAAATGGATGGTCAAGAAAGTACCTTCAGCTGAATTACCACGGGTAACACCACACTTTTGATCACGACCGACTGTCACGTAACGATTCAGATCAACACCTTGCACAGTAGCAAAAAGCAAAGCAGAAAGAGCACCAAAAGTAAAAAGCCTGACCATGTTGTATAAAGATTGGACGAATGGCTCTAATTTGATCTGTACAAGTCCTGTATTTATACCTGTTTCTACTCATTGAGACAGTAGATCATGCATCGATCGACTTGTAGCTAAATCATAAAAGGCGCATAGTATTCATTAACCCTAAAATAACAACTTTACGATTATGCAGCTCTCTTCCCCTTAGACTGTGTTTGCATGCAGAGCCTCTAAAGGTATAATTGCCTACAGCCGCCATGTGCATTCACGATATACAATGAGTGAGAGTTTAAATCGTAGCCTCTGATGTCGATCACTGCATAGTATGCTTCTTGATACTTCCCCAAGAAGAAAAAAAAAGTTATATGAAATTTACAGAATGTTTATTAGCAGTCTTAAAAACATCAAGCGAACAAGCTAGCAGCCACTCTCTTATTCGAGTGAAAAGCTGATCAAAAGAGCAGCAATGAGAGCTTCTGTTATTATGACTTGAGCACAGTATTTGCCACAGTCATTACAGTTTTTGTGAGCCTTTTCGAATCCTCCGTTTATAGCGACGTAATATAACCCTCTCATGCAGTACCTACATAAAAAATATAAGACAGGAAATCACAATATCTATTCACGCATTTCAGGTTCGAGTCACAAACTAGACTCGTTCAAGTAGCTATCTCGTTAATGTTATCGTACTTTTCCGCACAACCAACTATTATCTTAGTGTTCAAACTACATGCACCTTGCGTAGTAGCAAAAAGCATGACAGGAAAACTTGACCATTGTGTATATGAATTAAATGAGTAAATATATATGGGCTATACAGATCTTATGTTCATACTTGCTTCTAGTCGTTTTAATACCAAGTTATACGTAGATTGATTTGTCACAGGATCTAAAAGTAGTGTATAAAGCCCATTAAATTAAAAAGGCAGTTACACAATCTGTAGCCTTTTTTCTCTCAAAATGTGTTTGTATACGGAGCCTCAAATGATATGGTCTCTCCTAATTGATGCACATGTTCATGCTACAGAGTGGTCAAAAGCCTAAAGTGCGATGTTTGATGTCGATCACTACATGATGTGCTTCTTGATGCCTCAAGTAAAAAGTGAAATAAATCTTACTGTATCTTCATCATACAACTTAAGAGGCTTCTAGCGAACGCTTTCACACTAAAAAATAGCATAATACTAATAAAGCTGTTACAAACTTGTTATCTAGACCAAATTTTTCGATGATGTTGCATGATGATCAGGTCAAACAGACTAATATAAACTAAAGCTTGAAAGCATTTTGCCCTAGATATCCCCTATGATATGCTTTTCTTATTTGATCTTGCGTCAATATGCTATTTACTAAATATAAATAAGCCAAATCGATATATATTTGAAGACTGAAAACTTATAACTAGTAAAAGACGCCCAAATAGCTCAATCGACATATTTTTATGCATTAGTTGGTTTATAAAAATGAAATATTTATGTTTTTTTTATACAAAAAAAGAGCATGATGCACAACCAAAACTATTTTTGTACAACAAGCTGAATGTAGACAAGCCTATGTTTTAAATATTAACATTATCAATAGCTCTATCCCCTCAAAGAAAACGATCGCCCTTAAGGAATTTAAGTTTAACATTCGTTTGCACGAATCAGGTTCTTGAGGTGATAATGGTAATCTTAAAGAAAAGGAACTGCCATTGTATAACTTCTTTGTATGTTACTCGTCTGCATTGACAGCGTTGTTTTTTATGAACTTAAGAATCTTATCTAATGGTTATTAACCAAAAAAAAAGTTCTTGGAGTGTAAGATTATACATAGAAACTAAAGAAAAGTAGTACAACATTGGTAAAATGAGCGTGTTTTGATGTTTGGAAACTCGGACATGCTTTGACCAAGAATGTTCAAGGTTTCTGCCTGTAATTAATGACCAAATGCTATGGATTGAGCGAAAAACAGCATATTTTCATGCATATCCTTATGATTAAACTGTCCCCTCAACCTTTTCTCTTAAAATATGAAAGTAAATGATTAAATTAAAAGTAGCGTTGATCGACTGCCTTTTTTTTTCTGGAACAACATGAAGAAATACACCTAAATAGATTTTTTTTGTCTATTGCTTTCTTTTTTTAAAGGTTTTTATTTTTTGTTCCACGTAGACTATGACTAAAGTCTGTCAAGAGGTGGTCGCAATTTTAAGAGATAAAACAATTAATTATAAACGTTTGTGCAAGTGTTTCTCGTCAATCAGAGAATTGAGAGAAGCACGAGTGGATGAAAGAAGTAGAATTGGATTAAACAGAATTTCATTGAAGATAGTATTCCAATGGGCTTTCCAAATTTGACCCATGCCTTGGAATACTATTTCTTGAGCATCTAACTCACTATTCTGAGTACAACGAATGCATTGGAAGTTCATATATTGAAGTGCTTGTATGATATAATTAACAGTAGTGGTTGGCTATAAAAACTCAAATATAAGCTCTTTCCAAAAACGTGTTTTTTGGAGGGCATAAAAAGAGCATATGGTTGTCGTTTTCAGTATAAAGATCACACATTTGGCATAAAGGAGTTGGAAATCGTTCATGCCAGAAACGATTCATACGTATCTTTGTAGGCAGCTTATAGTTTATATGTCGACACACCACATTTCGCACAACGGCGGTAAGGGACAATGTCCAAAATGAGTCCCAAAAAGTAGAGGAAATGGCTGACAGGGCGAAACGGGCAGGATAAACTCCAAGCAAGTCATTCGATATACCTTAGAGCTGATCCTATCGCTCGGGCTCTTGGTAGATAGAACAGCAAAGCAGTTCATAAAAGAGCCAAAGCTGAATCCTGCATTTATGTCTGAAGGAATGGCATTGGAGGGAAAAGATATCGCTAAATGGCGTTGAAAAAAGGGAGCGACACCTATAGTCCTTCTTGCTAAACCACGAACTAACCTCTGTTGAATTATTTGCAACTCTTCGGGGATATTTTGAGGGAGCTTCCGAAGAATAACCTTGAAAAAATCATCGTACACCATGAAGTCATTAACTTGAATTTGACGCATATCAGGAGGCAAAAAAGGTCGTTGAACATTCGTATAATGCATAACCAGAGATTGATAGTACCATACAAACTGCTGGATTGAACTCCATAGTATCAAAATTTCTAGGAAGTCTATCTATAGACGCATAGAGCAGTTGAATCGTACTGACTTTGTTAGTGGCGCCATTGGATCGATTTATAAATTCTCTTGTAGATGGGAAGAGCAAAGGAGCTTGTACATGTGAGGCCCCTGTGACATTATGCATATGAAGCCGAATAATTTTCAGCCAATGTGCTAAAGAACGATTCAAAAGCAAAGAAAAGGTCCAGCGAAAAAAACAGTGCGTCTCTTTGTAGCAGAGGGTCCAAGATACCCAATTTACCCTTGTCTTTCGGAAGTATTCATGTTGACCAAGCTATTCGAGGGAAAGTCTGTCTATTCAAAAATTGGCTTTCCAATGATCGAATACGAGACAGCTCGTGTGTACTGAAAGGAATGACTCGACATAAATACCAGCATTTAGATAGGATCAACGTGTTGGTGATGGTGGCACGCCTTACACACGAAAGCGATCTACCCGAATGCATCTGGAAATGAGAATGAATCTTGACAAACAGGTTTTCGAAAAAATTCTGTCTTTGAGCAATTGATTGAATGGGAGGAAAGCCTAAATATATTGCAGGATGTAGACCGTCTGCGGAAAATAGTTTTTCAATTTGCAGCGGTTGAAGATGACGGCCCCAAAAGGAAGAGGAATTGCGTCCGGACAAAGACACTGCTTCAACTTTTGAGTAGTTGATCTTCGCATTTGATGCTCTACAATAGCACTCAATATGCTGCATCACTCGCGTCGAGTCATCAGAATCGTGTATAAAAACCATCGCATCATCAGCATAGCACAAAACTTTGGTAGCAATTGAGGTTGGCCAAACAGTGATTTGATTTCGAAGCTCGAGACGTAGTCTTAGTCGATACCCCTCAATCGCTTTGTCTTGAAGAATAGCTCGTAATAAAGGATCAAATGCAAGGTTATACAAAACAGGGGAAATTGGGTCGTCTTGCTTTAGTCCACGCTTCTTGACAAATGATGGTGTAGAAAAACCATTGACATTTACTTTGATCTGATTACCAGAAAGTAAATTGCCTATGGTGTTTACTATGGACTCTGGGAATCCAATTTTATCAAAACTTGTTTAAGGTACTTCAGATTCACACGATCATACACTTTCTTTTGGTCTAGCATCAGTGCTAAATCATGTTCTCCTTCTTGACGATTATTCCGGGCCTCAATCCAACGCTGTTGGGCATCTTCCATAATCACGTGAACTGTGAGTCCATTTTCAGCAATGTACCGTCCAGAAAGAAATCCCATTTGACAACGACTAATGAGCATCGGTGCAACCTGCATAATGCGACGATTAAGGATACGTGTAAATATCTTATAGTCAGAGTTTGTTAAAGATATAGGTCGATAGTTCTTTAAATCTGACAAATTCCCCTTTTTTGGCAATAGCACCATGATGGACTCATTCCATGAATTGGGAAAGACACCTTCGAGAGCTGAATTGTATATCTGTAATAGAATGGGTTGAATCATTGGGCATTGGAGTACTAAGCGAAGAATTTCATACGGAAGTCCGTCTGAGCCTGGACTACTCTTTCTGGGCGACCGCTTGGATTCTTCTATAATTTCGACCATACTAATGTTGGCTGTCATATTCGAACAATGTTGCTTGGTGAGACAAATATGATCTGGAATATAAGATACCATTCTATTCACTGTTCGAGCGTCTACGCTAGTAGGCGTATATAATTGCGAGTAGAACTCTTTCACTATCCGCTGCTTAGATTCTTGGTCACTGTAAATTTCGGTTGTTATGGGGTCTGTGAGATTTCCAATCGATTTCTGCTGTTCCCGTTGCTTCAACAATGCCTTCAAGTAACCAGGTGATTTCTCATCCTTTTCCCTCCATGTCTTTCCAGCGCGAAGTATGGCCAAGTCGGCCTGCTCTTGTTGTAAGCTTGAAATTC